GGATTAGTGAACTTTTACTGTAGTGTTATTAATGCTTTTTTCAATGACTTGAATATGAATTGGCTTTAAAAAAGCTGTATCTATTATCTAATATATTCTGTTAAAGTAAGGTTAAACTATTTGTTGAGTTTATTTAAGCAGTCATTTGAGTCTTATGTATGGGGTTCAAATCCCACCAATCACCAATGGATTTTATCGAAATGATGATGCCCCAACCTCCAGGCCCAGCTTGAAGTAATGTTAAAAAGCAATCCCAAGTTTAAGCCTGGTTAAAAAAATTCCACGTGGAAAAAGATAAGTTTTTCTTCAGACTTGTACATTAAAGACTAAAATGACTACCTAAACTATTGTTGAGTGTCTGATAGCTAGATGCTTAATCAATATATACAAATAACTTGAGTACCTAAACAAACAAATAAACTCATAACTAGTGTTTCTAAAGACGCATACATAATATTAAAAAGTTTTCACACACTAAATATAAATAAATAATAATAAATGATTATTACTAATTGGTCAATGATCATATTATTATACTCTGTTCACAAAATTTAGGCGGTTTTAGGGCAAGAAATCTATTCCCTCCACTTTTAATCCGAACCTTTACAACAATTGCTCAACAGCTGAGGTTTGCCAATACCTCACTCAGCTGCAACATATACATTAAGCAAAAAAAGTAGCGAGGGAACTTCTTTTCTAACCGCCTAAATTTTTTGAACGGGCTATAGTAACAGAAAAATACAATATAAATATGATAGGGAAACATTGGGGTTAATCCCTTGCAAAGAAAATCCTTTGCAAGGTAGAAGATAAAAACTAAAACACATAGCATGGCAAACATTGATGTTGAGATCTTATTTTTAGTTTTGTCAGTTGACACTATAAACTTAACAAAATTTGTGTTAAAAATATTTAATTTCCACTGGCAGATGATAGAACTTAGTAACTGAACTAATGATGAATGGGGGAGTGTAGTACTTTATATCTGTGGTCCCCAACAGGTGGTCAACAAGAGCCTTGGAAGTGGACCATGTGGGACTTGTGAGTGACAAATAATTATTGAATGGAATTTGATTGAACATAAAGAAAAATAAGTTTATATGACAAATAACTTAAAACATGATAAATTAGTTCAAATAGACAAAGTGTTTTCAAGTTTTTCAAATAAGAGCGTATGTGCAATATTAGAATTATGGAAAACTTATAAACATATCTTTAGTTAGCATTTATGCACCAAAAGAAGAAGCAGATGAAAAGAAAAAGATATAGGTATACTATGAATTGCTCAAATCAGAGCAAACCACTGTTATTAAAATATCACCCTAGAATAGTTCTTGAGGATATGTACCAATTCAAAAATTGGCAAAGAAAGTTTATGAGAAATGGTTGCTGATAAACATAGCCTTCATGATGTTACCAATGACAACGGAGTAAGACTCTAGTTTTAGCGAATTAATGAATCTCAAAGTTGTGAGCACTGTATTCCCACACAAAGAAACATGGGTGTCTCTAAATGGATTGATTATTAACCAAATTGACACATCCTTGGTGACCAAAGACACAAGTGAAGCATCCTAGATGTTCGTAGAAGTGCAGAATGTGGGTCAGACCACTTTTCAATCTTAGTCAAAGAAAGTAAAACTGTGCATAGCAGCCAGTAGAAAAGAAAAAATGCTAGTCAGGAAGAAAGGTGGGAAATTAGAAAGCTAAAGAAAAATAGAGTGAAAGTGAAAGAGTGAGGTGGATGAATCTGAAGTTGAAGAACAGATTTCAAGTTCTAGAAAAAAATAAGGAGTACTTTAGAAGACAACTGGAATATTTTAAAACGATAATGCAAGAAACAACAAAAAATGTATGTGGTAAAGCAAAGAGAGCCAGAAAGAAACCATGGTTTGACGACGAATGTTAGCACAGAATAAAAGAAAGAAAAGCTTTCAAATAAATCTAGTTAGGAAATCAAAATAATGAAAATAAAAGAAACTATACCAATATCTGTAGAGAGATGACTAGACGTCTCGGGTTTTAAAAAGGCAATAAAGTAAATTAAAGTCTTCTAGAAAAAGCACAAAACGGAAGTGGTAAGAACCCTAGGAATTTCTATAAGACAATAAGGTCTTTTACTGGATGATATACTCCCAATTCTTATGGTGGGGAAAAATGATTAAAGTATCACTGAGAAATGTCAAGTAATAGATATATGGAAGGATTATTTTAGATTCATTAAATGGAGAAGAGGACACTGATGAATTAAACACTCCAACATATATGAACGTTCAACCAAACATTGAAACTCCTATAATGGAAGAAACACAGGAACCTATTAAGCATATGACAAATAACAAGGTACCTGGAGAAGACAGGTATGTGTGCAGAAATAATAAAAGCTGGAGGACTTGAACTGTAGTTAAAAAAACTACATAAAGTATTACAACATGGGAGGAAGAAGGTATACAAGATTAGAGGGATGAAGATGAAATAATATTCCCAATTCACTGAAAAGGCGATAAGTGGGACCCAAACTTATCAACAAATATCAGTACTAAGTACATCCTATAAAAGATACTCCAGAAGAGACGTGAAAAATACACAAAAGAAATAATTGAAGAGCATCAGGCTGGTTTTCAAAGGGGCAGGTCTACAACAGATCAAATGTACATCCTTAAGGAAGCAATAGCTAAATATTGGGAATTTCGTAAATCTTTTAATGGACTATTTATCGATTTTAGCAAAGTGTATGATAGTATTCACAGGAAAAGGATTTGGCAAACGATGGAAACTTTTGAAATCCCAAAAAACTAATAAAATTGGCCTCTTTAAGTGTTAATGGCACTAAGAGTAAGGTTAAAATAGAAAATGAGTAATCATCCTATGATATATAAACAGAAGTTAGACATGGAGATATTATTCACCTACGCTCAGGCCCGCTTTAATAAACAGGCAGACTGGGCATATGCTCAGGGGCGCCAGTGGTTGAGGGGTGCCTGGCGGGCGCCGTACAACTACTGCCCGCCTGCACTAGGAAAAAAGGGGGGCGCTGATTTAGAGTTTGCCCAGGGCTCCACTGACCCTTAACGCAGCTCTGCCTACGCTGTTCAATATAGCTCTTGAGGGAGCTCTTAAAGAACTGAAGAAAACAGACTATGGTATAAGAATTAGTAAGAAGATAAGTGCACTTGCATTTGCAGATAATATAGTACTTCTCTCAGAGAGCAGAGAAGAACTCCAAGAAATGTTTGAAATCTTTAAAAGAGAAACAAGATCAGTAAGCTTAAAAATAAATGACAACAAAACCAAACTTGTTCGATTTGGAAGAGGAGCAGAGAGCGAGGAGAACATCACAAAAATAGAACAACAATGTGAACAGCAACAGGTTGAGTCCTTTAAATATTTAGGAGTTACTGTCAGCTCACAAAGAAATAAAGAATAAAATTAATCTTGGCCGGTATAAGTAAGCTTTAAACTAATTATTATCATCTAGAGATTATGATCTCACCACACTAAACTTAAAATCTACAAAACTAATACAAGACCTGTGTCCTCCTTTACATAGCTGAAACCTGGGTTATAGATAAAAGTGCAGAGAAAAACTAATTACTTTTAATAATAAAGTCCTGCGCAAATTCTTTGGCCGTACTAAAGAAGGGGATACATGGAGAATTAAACATTATCGATAACTATGATTGTTACCTATCAAAGTTAAAACTGTTTTATTTTAATGGTTGGCCTACTGCCAAAAATAAGTGTCCATCTAATGTTAATTTCTATTACAACTTACAAGATAGAATTACAGTACAAGATGACCTTGTTTTTCTAGATGATAAGCTTATAGTACCGTTATCCCTCGGGAATGATTTGTTATTACTAATCCATGAAAGCCATCTAGGCATTGAAAAGTATAAATCAAGAGCTAGGGAAATCTTATACTGGCGCCGAATATCAAAACAAATACATGAAACAGTTCTTAAGTGTAAAGTTTGCGAAAGATTTTGTAAATCTAATAACAAACAACCTATGTTAAGTCATTCACTTCCTGACAGACCATGGCAAAAATTAGCTGTGGATAACTATGAGACCGGGTAACTAGTTATCGAAAAATATTATCAATAACTATGAGACCTTTTCAACGAGCCTAATATTGTCACAGGGGCTAAAAGAACATAATTAGGAGAGACGAAACAAACACAATATATAAAGTGTGGAAGGATGAAGTTAAAAAAGACATGGCCTGGATTGAAGTCAATGAAGACACCGCAAGAGAGGTGTGTGTTGCTAGCCTAATGTTAGCGTCTCCAACTTCGGTGCAGGAGGGACGGGTTCAATTCCCAGCACATCCACTAAACATTTATTTCTCTTGTTGACCTCTCGTAAAATGCCACTGGCGTAGAAAGAAAAAGAAAACAGGACAGCGTGGAGGCAGTGCGTTGGCGAGGTCAAGTACCACTTGGGGTACAAATGGCCATGGGAGTAAGTACAAATTTCAAATTCAAAGTTACACTGAAATCATTGCTAAAAAACAATGTATAACTGTATTGTTATTATACATTTTTTTAAATGTGTGTAACTTTTGCTAAGATGTTGTAAAAAAACATTACGTTTGTATTATTGTATTATTTGTATTGTCCTCTATTATTGTTAAAAATCTGTTTTGGGGTCTAGCAAATGGTGGTCTACCGTTAGTGTCAGGGTAAGTTGTTGTGACCCCAGTGTGTTGGGAACCACTGCTCTATCTCTACAGGCTTGTAGCACTTGAGCAACTGATGCACAGGGTAAGTTATTTAGATTATGTAATTAAATTGACTAAAGGTGATTTCATCACCCCAGGGACAGGGAGGATTGATGATATTTATCACAAATGTGGCTTAAATATTCATAGCAAGGTTAACACAAAGTTAAAACAAATGCCTTAACAAAGGTAATAATGTTCTGACATTTATCTGATCATAAAACATATTATATAATCTTAAATTAGTTCTGTTAAGAGTGGTCAAAGATAGACAATAGACAATAGACAAAGCTTTATTGTACATAACAACATAAGATACATACATAAGATAATTAGATGATCAATTAAGTCTTTAACGTCAAATAAATAACTAACTAATGAATGAATATGATTTTTTATAATCTTTAAACAAATGAAACTTGAGGCTAAATGGGGTTTGTTTGAACAATTTACCTAGAAATAATAAATCCTGGATGTTGATACAGAAACTGTTAGTAAATGAATATTTAAATCATATCAATATTCTAACAAGTTAAGTCACCAAGTTCTTTGCTCACCCTTAACAATTGGCTTAGCCTATTATTAATGATTATGTAATGTACACATTTAATCATTATGTCTTAGTAATAGTTTTGTCTAACTAATGATAATAATCCAACCAAACACGGATACTTATAAGAAGATAAAATATTTAAAAAATAAAACTCTTAATTAGCTATTGCAGCTTTAAAGCTTGATATCTAACAAAATTAAAATTGATTTTTAATCAAACAAAAAATGATTTCTATTACAACGCTGATCATTCTGATCTTGTCAAAGGACCATTAAAAAACATGCAAGGCCCTCGTGTAGTTTAACAAAGGCATGTAATTTATATACCCTGGATGTTTTCTACACAGATAATTCTAGAAAGTGGAGGAACATGATTGTGAGAAAGGAAATAAGGGTAAATCTGTACAGGGGGAGGGATGAGGTTGGATAAGCGTATTGTGAAGGAAATCGGTGGTGCACCATGTCATACTTCAAGGAAGTCTTTCAGTAGTGTTGTTCTTCTTTTCTCTGCAATATCTATCTGATTCTCTAGGTCTCCTCTATCTGTAGATTCGGCTCGTTCTATTTTCCAAGAGAGATTTTCAATTTCTGCCTCAAGCTGGGCTTGTTGATATTCAAACTGTAAGAAATTAAACTTCAATTATCATATATTATTTTAAGTTCCAGACAAACAGAAAATTTCTGACCAAATAAGGTTCTAAGTGAAGAAATTGAAGATTTTTATAATTAGCGTAAATGTTATGTACAGTATTATTGGTGATGATGGTATATTGCATATACATATGCATACGGTATATTGTTTAAAAAAAAATTTAGGTGCCTATCCCAAAAATTTTAATAAGGTACCGATGGTGCCGGAACCTAGAACCGAGAATCGACTTTGCCTTAGAACCAATTTGAAAAAGTCATACAGACCCATCACTAGCTTATTTACATTCTTCCAATAGCTCCATTCGGTAGTTATTTTTTAGTTTTATTTAAATATAGGTTATTTAAATGTCATCAAAGCTAAGTTTGTTTTCATTATTTACTTTTACTCAAATACTATACCTATCATAAAACTGAAACAAATTATTCATGTATAAACAAAATAGGTAATTCCTGTTTAAATTTATTTTCGGTGATGTAATATATAAAACTAAACAGAAATGGAACCATTTTTTTGTTTATTTTATTCTGAGAGCTGTATTCCCAATTTCAAGATTGGTTATGTTAGGTACTGACCAGTTCCTTGCGGGATCCAGGTTCCATGTAGTAGGCGTAGGGGTAGGTATACTGCAGGGTGTATCTACACTTAGCTAGCAATGTAGCAGCATCCATAAGATATTGCCAATCAATCCAAGTGCCAGACGCTGTCATCACCTTCACATTTATGCGAGACTTGATTTTCTCAAGGGTCTGCTCCTCCAGTTTCAGACTTTTTGAATGGTTCTCCCACTGTAAAAATGTGATTATTTTAACTGAAGCTTCAGAACATCCTCAACGATAGTTTCAGGTACATTCTTTTTCAACTAAGGGCTAATATAACTAAATTCATAAGATTTTAAACATGTTTAGCTGCTGTCAAAATGTTCATTTGAAGAACATTAAGTACTCTGTGCAAGCTAGTTAGTTAATGTACACAATCGTAAGTGACCAATAGCATCTTGACTAAAAATTATCACTCTTCAAGCTTTGTGAAATTCTTGTGAGGAAATAAACACTGCTGTTGATATTATATCTATGTACACAATAATTTTTTTGAACAGTTTTTTTATATTATTAACCCATTCCTGACTGAGTTATTAGTCTAGTATCGTGCAGTTTTAGCTGAATAAAAAAGGGCTAGTGTACAATATTTTAGTAAAAAACTCATTAATAAGGTAATTTATGAAATAAAGGCCTAACACTGGTATTTATTGATCTACATAAAATTTACTTTTATATGACACTAATTTTAAATATAAAATATTTTATAGCAATTTTAAAATAATATATGCATTTTTTATAGATGTATATATAAAAATATTTTTTTAAAGCAAACCTTTAATTTTTTTTAATCTATTGGTTAAATTCATAAAAAGTATTCAATTTGTTGCGTAAAAACTGTATTTGGTTTGTTTGTATATCAAATCCTTAATTTTACAGCTGTTTTTGTAAAACTCTTCAAAACGACAAAATTGGCCTAATAGTCTACAATTTTTGCACCAAAATTGCATGTGTACTAAGTTATGGTGTTGTGACTATTGAAATAAATGGGAAATTATTATATTATATTGTTATAATACTATATTTATACTATACTATACTATATTTTATATATTGTATCCACTGGCGTAGAAACAAACAAAAAGTGCATTATGCGTGACGACGAGCGCTGTCCGTTTTTAGTCTTTCGTAACCTGATGCACTAGGATGGATGCCGCCCGTCTTTAGGTGGGAATAGGTTAAGTACTCTACCCAACAACAAAATGCACTCTACCATGGAGTTTACAATATCAAATTCAGATATCAAATTAAACCTTCCTAGACCAACATTGAAAATAGAGCACACAGAAGTATAGGGAGAAGCCACCCAATCACAATTATAGATGGTATCAGCAATCTGACACATACTTTCTCCCATTGTCAACAACTATGCATGCATTTATACAGGGTTAGTAAAAAGTTTGGAGACCCCCCTGTTAATTTTTAACGGCCTGTACTAGAAAAACTAAACTCGGCACACCATTATGGCATGTTATGAAGTACTTTTTGAGCCTAATAAGTACTCGGTTCCCAAACCCACAATGGGGGATTTTGGGGAAACTCAAAAATTTCAAACGGTAAGACCCATCGAGTTACCCCTCATTTTGAAGGTCGTGATAAAAGAAAACTAACAGAAACTAGAGGTCTCTATCTCAAACCAGGAAAATATGACAGCCAATTGAGTATAAAATTGCAAGTTAATTCTGATTTCCATTCCGAGACCTTTAGATTGCGTTGTTGGTTTTCTTTTACCAGGACCTTCAAAATGAGGGGTCACTCGATGGGTCTTACCATTTGAATTTTTTTAGTTTCCCCCAAAATCCCCCATTTTGGAGTTGTACACTAAGTGGAGTCTATGCCCAAAAAGTACTTCATAACATGCCATAAAGGCGTGCCGAGTTTATTTTTTCTAGTATGGGCCTTTAAAAAATTAACAGGGAGTCTCCAGACTTTTTACTAACCCTGTATATTGTTCAATGGGAATTTGAATAAAATTGCATTCTTGAGTAAGGGCGAGGCAAGATTCTTCTAGGATAAAAATCAACCAATTTTTATCTATGGGAGTGTAAGGATGAAACAGAAATCTGTTTATGTAAGATCCTTTCAATCTTTTCATACAATAATAAAAAATATAAATGTTACCCCAGAATTGACTAAAAATGTATTACAAGACAATACATGCACATACATATATCACCTTTGTTACTAATGGAGAGCAAAGAAAAAGTAAGGAAAGTTTTCCCTGTACCATAATTATTCCACCTCAACCCAGTTTTGAACTGACAGTAAAATCAATAATAATACCCTCTCATAGTAATGAAGATATTTCTTTAGAGCCTCTCTTGCTTGAGCATGAATGGACTCGTTGGCAATGTTGGGATTCTCCTTGTATCGTGAACATTCATAGTACTCAGAACCATGTGACTTCCAGTCTCCTAAACACATCCAACAGAAGTCATGTTTGCAGTTGTAACACTGCATGTGATTACAACCTCCATTCTTCTCTATGCAAATATGACACCGTGGACACTGCAACAGTTGAATGTATTGTTTTAGGTTAATGATATAACACAGGGCACAAGGACCTAGGTATGAGAATATTTGTTGGCATGTTTACTTGAATGGGAAAATGCCCTTCTTTGGACAAGAAACACGAAAAAATTACACTAAAAACAGAAGTTCGAGTACAGCTTTGGTCACCAAAGAAAGCCAGTACAGTATGGGCCTGTTTTCCATTCAGGTAAGCCTGTTATCACAACAAAGATACAAAATTAGGGATGGGGCGATTCCGATTATCAATACCTTGATACCTTTGATACCAGTGGTATCGAAGAATCGCGGATACTCATTACTTTGCTTCATTGAACTCGATACCGATTCTGAAAAGTGAGGTTAATTATGGTAAAAAACTCGACTGACATTGAAGGTTGTAAAGAGTAACACATCATGGTTTATTTGGAATACTCTGAAGTCAGCAAATATAAATAATTCCAAGTTCATTAGCAGCTCACATTCAATAGTTATATAATCTAAAATAGCGAGCCTTTGCATTTCACAACGAATGACGTGTACAACTAACAGCTAGTAGAAAACTAGTTAAATGATAGAGGCTTATCACTTGCCGCCATGTTGTCAGATCGAGGGCAATGTTGCCAGATTGGCCACATGGTACAAGCATTGAATAAATATAATACAAAGAGTATACAGTAGGGATGGTCAAGTCTCAAAATTTCGGGAAATTTTAAATCTCGTTACACGAGACGAGATTTCTTTTTGGCCGAGATTTTTATCGAGACGAGAATTAAAAAAAAAAAAAAAAAAAAAATTAAAAACGCCTGCAGAAAGTCAATGCAATACCCGCAATACAGGAGCGTGTTGTAGTTGCGTTTCCTTTGCGAAGGCGTTCTTATTTAATTAATTCTATAAATGTAAATATTACTCTAATTATTTTAATAATATTACTTTAATAACATTTGAGAAGTTTTGTTAAGTGTAAGCAGTGTGAGGAATGTTTTATTACTATAAAAAGTCAAAACAAGTAACTATTTTTTATAAAAATTAATATTGCTTTTATTTTATGATTTATTTTATTTTAGGATAAGTTGAACTCTATCCTAACTGATATCACTATGTTTCCTAATCATAGGCATTTTTAATAAGTTAGGCGTGATTAATAAAAAAATGTTATGCTGATGTTTTTTAATAAAAGGTTGTAAATATTCTTGCATATTATCATTATTTTTGTATTTAAACAGTCATCTAACAATGTTACAAAATCAGGTAAAAATTTTGAACGTGCATTTCTTGTTGTGTATGTGAAGGGAAATCCCGTCTCGATCTCGTCTCGAAATTTTATGAGAAATAAAAAATCTCGTCTCGTCTCGTCTCGAACTAAAAATTCAATCTCGTCCATCCCTAGTATACAGTTAATGGTACTAATATAAATCTCGTTTTCTAACTCATGATAGACTTTATGTACATTTCATTAGCAGCTAAAGAGCTTGATAACGTGCTGATCATAGTGTATAATATTATTGACTATAAACACACTTCGTGAGTATACAGTAGTTCGGACTAGTAAATAGTTCGGATTACAGAACATATTGTTGTTTTTATAGAACAATAGCTAGGGAAAAGTGAAAAATGCTTTATAAAGTAAAATACAGTGTTTATTTAATACAGTAGTAAACATAGGGAATAAACAGTAATGTACATTACAATAGAAATAATTACAGTGTGTGTATCAATAAATACAGTATACAATAAAAAAACTACTGTTCTGAATATAGAGTACAGCAATGAGGCGTTCGGATTAGTGGACGTTCGGATTACAGGGGTTAGGATTAAAGAGGTTCTACTGTATATAATCAATGGTTGATCCGATCCTTTAACCCTCTAAGTGTCGCCAACCACATATTGGGTAGGTTTTCTGTTGAACAATATCGGACGAGTTTGTAGGCACTAAGTTTTGTTTCAATGCCCAAGCTTACTTATACTAACTGTTCAGCTAATTCAGGGCTTCATGGTGACTATTGGAGATGGCCGTTTGGTGATGTATTTTATGATTATATCTGTTGTTTCTCTCTGACTGAACAGAAACAGCTGTCGTGAGTGTTCGAATGGTGAATTGTTTATGTTTTGATGTTGTTGATTACTATGCATGGTTTAAAAATGGATTGTGATCCCCATTCCAGTGATGTGATGAACTCCATGATTTTTTATGTGAGTCTTTAAGTAATTTAAGTGATATTGATTATGACAATATTTAAGATGACTTTGACATTGACTTTGAGAACCCAAGCAATATGGAACATTCAATGTAGGCCCAGATGTATAAATGCTTATGCAAACAAAAAACTCAGTGAAAATTTTAGGCCTTACTAAACCGGTGTTTGTTGTTTCAATTTAATTTAATATAATATGTTAAAATGTATGTCATCTTGAAGTATCTTTTCCTTATAGGCTAATGTAATCTATGTAACCTTATTCAATAGAAACGGAGTTATGTTTGTATTACGATTAAATAAAAAAACATGCTCATTTATTTATAGGGATCGCGAATCACACATATGTGTTATTAAATGAATTTATAACAGGTATCGGTATCGAGTGCGGAATCGAGAATCGAAAACAAAGTTCTGGAATCGGAATCGACCAATTCTGGAATCGGCCCATCACTCAGGGCCGATTTACCGAATAGGCACGGTAGGCACGTGCCTAGGGCGCTAGGCAATTGGTTTTTTTGAGGGGCGCCAAAAATTGGAAAATTAAAAAAAAATGTTGTAATTGTATTTACATGCGATCGCGGTAAACCTCTGATAATCCCTCGTGGCCGTGTTGACTTCATTATAGTCTCCCGTGGCTGTATAGACATCATTATCGTCTTCCGCGATCGCGGCAAATTCTAAATATTTTCCACGGTCGTGTAGACATAATTATTGTCTTCCATGATTGCGGCAATATATGAACATATAACGCCGTCGTGAAGAGATTATCGTCGTCTACCGCTAATGAGGCAAAATTCTGATCTTTTCCCTCGGTCGTGTGACATTATTATTGTCTTGCGCGATCGCGGTAAAATTCTGATAATCCCTCGAGCCGATTGTATCTCCTTCGGTAATGTAGAGATCTTAATCGTCTCTTGCGGTCGTGAAGACGTCGTAATTGCCTCCCGCGATTGCGGCAAAATGTTGATCATATCCCGTAGTCGTGTGAAGATTATCATCGTCTTCTGCGATCGCGGTAATATTCTGATCATCCCTCTTGGCCGTGTGTTGACATATTATCGTCTCCCGCGGTCATGTAAAAGTCACTGTTGTCATGTGCGATTGTGGTAAATTGACAATTCCAGGTAGAAATACAAAATCCATGCATAATTCCCGGATTACCCGGTGGTGGTCACCCTTTTTTAAGGGTGTCCCGTAAGTAAATAGCGAAACTCTACGGGTCTTCCAAAATGGTTGTATGGGTCAATGTAAAAATAAAATTGAGAATAGCATTTTTTTCTAAGATCGCTTCATCAACCAGATATTCGCCATTTAAATTTTTTCAAATTAACATTTTGATCTTTAAAGTTTTTCAACCGATTTTTATTAAACTTGGTATAGATGATATAGAGAGAGACCCATGTAAAAAAAATTAACCTTGACTTATCATACAATTTCTAAATGGCGGCCATTTATTTTAATTTTTTAAACTCAAATTCCTAAAAATGGCAGATTTTATGAAAAAAAAATGACTAAAACACTTTTATTTGGCATTTTTAATTCCCTATCAAACGATATCAAGTTCAAAAAAATCGAATCAGAAATAGCTGAAATATAAAGATTTTTAGTTGTAAAATGGGGTAAAAAAGGCTAAGCTAGTCAGGTTTGTCCCATTTTACATATAAAAATCGTGATACTTCAGCTATCTCTTATTCAATTTTTTTGAGCTTGGTATCGTTTGATAGGGAATTTAAAATTCAAAATAAAAATGTTCTTGTCGTTTTCTCATAAAATCTGCCATTTTTTTGTAATTTAAGCTTTAAAAAAATTAAAATGGCCTCCATTTTGAAGATTTATGATGAATCAAAATGATTTTTTCTAACACGGGTGTCTGTTACCTTAACATACATACCAAGTTTCATAACGATCGCTGGAACAACTTTAAAGATAAAAATTTCATCTGAAAAAAACAAAATGGCGAATATCTGGTTCACGAAGCCATGTAGAAAAAAATGTTATTCTTGATTTTCGTTTTTTTACCCATAGAACCATTTCCTGGAGTTTGGTGGTTTACTTACGGTACACCCTGTATATTTCAAAGGGGCGCTACTATTAGTTGTGCCTAGGGCGCTGACATTGTCAAAAACGGGCCTGCCATCACTAACAAAAAACAAAATACATTACTAGTTTACCAAATAATTAAATACAAAGAAAATCGACCATGGTCAAAACTGGATTACTTTAAAAATCTACAAACCCTCATTTTGACAAAATGAAATAGGCCTATGTTGGGAGTATCCTCCAAAATGTTATTTTTTTTAAATATCCTTACTTATAAAATATGAGTTTGTTACATCCCAAGCTTTTTAAAGACTGGTGGTGTGGTGTTAGGCTTTAAGTTAAGAAGTGCTTCCCCCCCTTTGAAACATCCAACTCCATACATCATGGCGTAACGATGGAATGTGAACGCCAAGTTGTATCACTTGCCACTTGGTGGTGAATAATAAAAGAACAGGATAGGTTTGAACCTGTTAGCAGTTCAGACTATTTTTGTAAGAAAACTATTAATAGCCTACACATTTCTCTCACTGAAAGTATGTTCGTATCCCAAAAATTGCAAAGCTACTCGCTTAGTGACGTTTTAAGTTAAATTTGTTTTCAAAAATATCCATTAATAATAAATTAAATATTTTCAACTAGGGATGGTCAAGTCTCGAAATTTCGGGAAATTTTAAATCTCGTTACACGAGACGAGATTTCTTTTTGGCCGAGATTTTTATCGAGACAAGAATAAAAAAAAAAAAAAAAAAAAATGAAAAACTCCTGCAAAAAGTTAATGCAATACCCGCAATACAGGAGCGTGTTGTAGTTGCGTTTCCTTTGCAAAGGGGTTCTTATTTAATTAATTCTTTAAATGTAAATATTACTTTAATTATTTTAATAATATTACTTTAATAACATTTGAGAAGTTTTTTTAAGTGTAAGCAGTGTGAGGAATGTTTTATTACTATAAAAAGCCAAAACAAGTAGGCCTAACTATTTTATAAAAATTAATATTGCTTTTATTTTATGATTTATTTTATTTTAGGATAAGTTGAACTCTATCCTAACTGATATCACTATGTTTCCTAATCGTAGGCATTTTTAATAAGTTAGGCGTGATTAATAAAAACATGTTATGCTGATGGTTTTTAATAAAAGATTGTAAATATTCTTGCCTATTATCATTATTTTTGTATTTAAACAGTCATCTAACAATGTTACAAAATCAGGAAAAAATTTTGAACGTGCATTTCCCGTTGTGTATGAGAAGGGAAATCCCGTCTCGATCTCGTCTCGAAATTTTATGAGAAATAAAAAATCTCGTCTCGTCTCGTCTCGAACTAAAAATCCAATCTCGTCCATCCCTATTTTCAACCATCAGACACGGTGGTTAATACAGATTACAGTATGTGTAACGCAGCCGCACGCTGGCTCGACCCATGCATCCACAGTGATGTCACAGCGTCACGGCAGTGGAACCACCTGTCCGTTGACGTGAGCCATCCCCTGCATTCTATAGCCCCAGCAATGTTTATCCACATCTGCTAAATGTAATGCACATTGCACATACCTCTATAAATCCCAAAACATACCCTTGTAACTTGGATCACATACATTTCAGTAGTTATAAATATGGGACAACACACAGCGGCCGTCTGTCCAGAGGCTGCGAACACACAATGGCCAATCATCAAGCCTACTTGCATTTTCCGTGTGATGAGCAACAGACGAGTTATGGCTGGAATACCTCGGTACCAATTCACTCATTTTCAGTTCATTTTTGCTCCAGTTATTGTGCCAAAGGACATATCTTTATGAATTTTAACGGATCATGTTTTTGGCCTCTTGGGACCTTAAAACGAAAAAGTAAATTGGTCCTGGATCCAAGTCATACCATGAGACCTACGGTAATAACTTATTGTCGACATGGGAAATTCGCTTAAAGCATTATTATTATTAGATAATGCTTATGCATTATATTAGACAAATTTTATGCATGGACGTTTTTACTTCAAGCAACGAGAATAGTTTTTACTTATTTTTTAATTACTATAATTATTAAGGATCTTAAATAGACTATTTATTTACTCTTGATTCCCAGGCTGTTTGCCATCTCATCTGAAGCTTTTTGAAAAAATGGAAGAGGGTGAATGTCCGGCCATATGACATTGTGCTAAATCGCTTACCGAGCGATTTTGTTGCGTCAGCTTGCGGACAGACGGACGACTGGTGTGTGTCTTAAGAGTGAACATAAATAAAAAAAAATTGCTTCCAAAAGCTGTATACTCACATCTTTGGTATGAGCACTGATATAGTTGGCAGTTTCACTGTCGTCGGCACACTTGGTCAGCCATTTCTTGATTGTGGCACAATCTGTTGGAGCGTGATAGTCCATCCCACACTTGAAGCTAAAAATGTACAAATAAAATATTACTATCTTCAGCTCAGATATATTGAATTAAGCAAGCAGAAAAGAGTGCTTAAGCAAACCATTTACTAACACAGAATACATTATCCAATAGTTCGCTTGGTGGGCTTAAAAAAATATAGGTAAAAACAAATTTCCATTATATTTACCAGAAGACTGTTTTGCAAAAGGAACAGGTGGCTCTTTTGGCCTGGGGTTCCTTACTGCGCAGCACGACTTGGCAGTTAAGGCCAGGGCAGAACCGCAACTGAGGATGAGATTTGACATAGTCTCTAAACGTAAACTGTTGAAACTTTTCCCTCAGTTGAGGCTTGGTCAGAAGTTGCAGAACAAAATCTTCTGTGGCCAAAACTTCACAGTCTTGAGCCATGCAAGCAATGCCTACAAACAGAATTACAACTTATTTCATTATTTAACCAACCTGATGTATTGAATCGTCACCACAATGTGTATGACTGAGTAAACTAATGTGAAACTGAAGATCTATGTGGTACTTATTTTGTTCAATGGTAATCCATAGATTTTTTTAAATTCATACTCATACATTAATCGAGTTAAAACTGCAGCAGCATTTGTTTTGATTTGCGATATACAGCCCAAAATTGAGACAATTATTAGGCAGGCTATAATCCGTAAAGATTGTGCAAATCAAAAATTTATGATGTTGCTGTTATTGTGGGAAACTATCACATTATCTGCCTAATTTCAAGATTTTGCCAAGATAGATGAAAACTTATTGAAATACAACCATCCCCCCACAGCTAAAGGGGGGGGTTCCTAGCTGAGGAATACAGCAGCGTTTGTTGACAATAACTGTAACACAAAGGTCATGTACAACTTTTCATACAGGTTTTCTTAGCTGCCGAATTTAGCAGGTGCTATACTATGAACAAAAACTATGAACAAAAATGAAGGTCGGATCAAAAAAGTCATTTGGCAGCTAGTAAAACTTGCTTTTATCCCCTCCTATCCTTTAAGAGTCCTTGGAGGCTAGCGGCTATCTTGGATAATTTAACAGGGTGTCCAGCAAATGTGCTCGGCCAAATTCCCGCATATTTCCCGAATAACTTCCATTTTTCCCCGAGGCATTTTTTTAGGGTATATTTAGCTTATCAAATTGAATATATATTTGATATGCAATACCACTTAACAAAGTCCATCTATGTGACAGAAGAGGTAAGGCGTCTAGTTGGGGTAGCGGTAAGGTGGTCGTTGTGAAAGGGTGGCCACGAGTGAGAAATTATCAGTTGCGGTAATGGCTATTAGAGTCATAGCGCGTAGCGGTTAACCCCGTGAGCGGCGTATACCAGGCTTGGAGGTTTATTATGTCAACATTACATGCAAAACAGATATTTTTGTACAGTTTAAAATGTAAGTTATTTTCTTTTGTTAAAATTTCTGTATCCATGATTTAGATTTTGTTTTTGTTGTATATTAATGTAATTGTAAAAATATATGTGTTATATTTATGACAGGTTAAGTGTAAGGAAGGGCCATGTGGCCCTAACTTTTGCCTGTATAAATAAATAATATTTCATTTCATTTCATTTCATCTTGATGCGGGAAACTTTAATTTAATCAATGCTGGTATTTAAATTAAGTATTAACAACATTCAAGTTTCTCGTTAACACGTTCGCTGCGGGCCATCAAATGGCAGGCGTAGCCCCAGTGCGGTGCAGCCCGCAGCGTCGAACAAACCCGTTTGCCGGGTGATTGACACTCATATTTCGGTATGACGAATAACAAATAACGTGCGGTGATGTCCTGCTTTATAACAAGAGTCGACGTAGTTCGCTAAACACTCACAGACAGCAGCACTGCTTGGAACGTAGCCGGTCCCATTGTATTGCCAATTGGAGGGAGAAAGACGGGACAACAAGTTGATTTTTAAGTTTGCCAGACGGGGATTTTATGGGGAAATTTTACTACTAACCTACAACACAACAAAAAGCAAGTCACCAAGTTAAATTATAGCAATTTAAAATTGTTTTCTATCTTTATGACCTGTTCAGTACGAGCAAAATTCTTGTATTGTTGTATTATTATTATTATATTATTATTATTATTATTATATTAATATTATTATATTATTATTATTATATTAATATTATTATTTTATTATTATTATATTATTATTATATTTATATTATTATTCTTAGTATTATTGTATTACCTCATATAGCATGATGTCAGAAATTAGTAGGTGAAGGTACAAAGGTATTTAGGCATGTTTGATTGGTCATTGGAATTGAATGAATCATCAATAATATTACAAAGCACTTGGGAGTTGGGAGAGTTGCACGGAATTGTGGACTAGAAAAACAGGCCATGCTGCAGGATCAATGACGTCGCACTAGTGGATAGATTTCATTGATAAATTCATTGCCATCACAATTCCCATATGTTTTAGGTAAATAAACAAGCTGGTTGTTTGTAAGACTTTAATGGTAAAGAGTTTAGTACAACTATCCACCACTGTGACGTAGTGTTGCGCTGCCCGTGCTGCAGCATGGCCTGTTTTTTCTAGTGGGGCCTTGGTTAGGGGTGAGCTGGAGATTTATTGTTGCACCATATTGATGGGCGTCACAAATTAATGAGTTATTTTGTTATTTACAATAATGAGTAAATTTGGAGCTAACTTTACACCGTACCATTCACATATACTACAGTTGCGACAACATGGGAAATTCTATGTTACAATATTATTTTGAATACTAAAACCCCACCAATCCTTGGTGGAAAAGGATTTGAGACCGGGTTTGAAATTCCAAAAAAGTAATTTCCCGTTAATTACATTTAAAACGAAGCTAGAAATGTGATAGAATTAAAAGCTTGCTGTATTGTAAATTATATTTACTTATGTAGTTCGTCGTAGGTCGTCAGGGATACCCCTACACTCGGCGTCCGTCTTACCGTCTGCTTGCCTATTGTTCAACTATGCTAAAAATAGAAGCGCTGGATCAAGGTACAGTATTATATTTCCTGCTCAATTCAAAACAGAATTGAGAAACGGAAATTCTTCTGTTATGGTCCTAATAATTCTAAACAAAATAGTGCACCCTTTCATTCCTGTTAAAATTACTGTTCAATAGTTAATGAAACTTTTGTGATTTTACCTTTTAAATATCATAGTTACTCTCATCGCTTACCCATGATAAAGGTTGTTGACAAGCTAATGGGAGAAAGTATATGTCAGATTGCTGATACCGTTTATTTATCAATGTATAGGTTGCCTTCTAAAAAAAAACACCTCAGAAATACTTCCCCTGTCAGATAAACTAGGCAGGCCTACTGTACTATTTAGTTTCTGTGATAAATTAAAGTAACCTCAAAATATCTACTTAACGATGAATTCTTTTCATGAAAGCTTAGGTGATTAGATTTAAAAGAAGTGAAATTCTTATTTAAAAATTCATTTACCAACAGGATAGTAATTAATTATCCTATAATATGTCTATTCCAAATACTAAACATCAAAAGCAACAAGTTCTCCAATCACAAGTTTCGCAGAAGTTCATAATGCATGAATATTACAAGTGTCGTTGAAAGCAACTCTAATTTCAATTACCTGTGGAAACTCCTTGAGAAATCTGCACCTCAAAGTGCATGACCCAACATTGACAACAGAAGGGGTGGCCGCAAGCAAGACTGAAGAACATGTCAGGATAGTTGGGAACTATGCAGACGGGACACGGAATACGAGACCCGTGATTGGACACAGGTTCAGGCTGGGTCGGAGGCTTGATCTTGGACGTAACAAGGAGACGAGAAGCATCTGATCGGTACTCACTGATGATAGTAGTAATAGCCCACTCGTGTGTGTGCAACAGGATTTTGGCTAGCGAGGGTGTTATCTAAAATAATATCAAGAAAAACGTCACAAACAAACTGATAAAGTGTATTTTTGTTTTAATTAGGCCAATTCTACACGAGCGTGAATTTCTCGACAGGCCCGTTGAGTGACCCCGCCAAAATTGTGTGCAAACTACACGTGGCAGGATCCTTGTTGCATGGAGTCCGCTTGAAACCCGACGGACCATTCTATATGAGGTGGTTAAGACGCGGGATCGATTCAGTGGAGCTCAGTTTTAAAGCTGGAGTTGTACAACTCCAGCTATTAATTTGGACTCAGTTATTCTTAATTTTTTGTATATTCACATCATGTAGAAATATAAATTACTCAATCTTTGAAACATACAAAGTCGCAAATCTCTGACGAATAAATTGCAATAGGCCTAGAACTCATTTTATGGAAAAAATTCTGGTTGTCGTATGGTGAATATTGTTACTTACTAAATACTTGTGATTAAAGGAATACATATGAAAACAAATGTTATGCTACATTCATGATCGAATATCACACAGCACTGTATAGAACCTCAAAGCAACTGGACAAAAGATTGGAGGTGTGAGCTGCAGCGCACGGTGATACCGCTACATATAGAATGGCTGGGCGGGATTCCCGACGCAGGATTGACGCCAACGTCAACTCCGCGCTCCCGCCTACTACTGCGTCCCACCCAGGTAGACACGGCAATCTACCGAAATGATCCCCGTCGAGCGTGTGGTCCCGACACAGGAATCCCGTTGTGGGTTTCACGCACGTGTAGAATCGGCCTTGGAGTCTCAAAGTTCAGTACCTAATTTAATAATTCAGACTCTTTATAGTAACCACATTCAGCTACTTTGTAGAGCTAAACTAAGTTTTATTCTGATAAGGCTATGTTAGAAAAGTAAAAATGATGTTCACTGACCTGAAGACTAGTGCTTAGTGTTTCTACAGACTCATTGAGCAACCTCTCGACCTCTTCCACACTAAGACACTCGTAAGCAAAGAACTCAGGATCTGTTTTGCACATATCCTCTTGTTCAATGTCACAGTCCTCCCCGTTATAGTATCCCATGTTGTAATAGTCATTGTAACTTATTTCACCATCTTCGTCATCACTGTAGTTCATATCCGATTCACTATCCCCTGCCTGTAAACAGATTAATCATTTTTATATTCTTGCTGGGTCTAGAAAGTTACTGTGGTTTATATGAGCTAGTTTCCTCAATAGGCCTATGAAATAGTTTAACCACGTGGTGAATAACATACATTTAAAAAACTTCAGATATTCAGAATTAAATTTAAAATGGTTGGTTTGAAATTAGGCCTAAGTGAAAAATGATTGTTTTAAATTCTTTTGTAAAAAAGTACTGTATTACAAAATGCCAAAGGCTTCATGAAAAGAAAAACCTACAATTTTGTACTGAGGCCTAACAAAATTGTATGCATCATTAATATTCTTGATGTCGATCGGGAACAACTAGCTAATTAATAGAAGTTATTGCAGTTGTAGTAAATAAGAACAATTTACTACTAGACTATTAGTACAAAATATTTTTTTTTATTCAAGAAATCAATCAATTTATTTGTACCGGTACTGAGGATGTACCTGATGAGCAACCACATGCGTAAAGAAGCAATGCTATCATTTCATTTCATTTCAAACAATCTTTATTCTTTTAGTACATATTTATAATACATTGAAAAGTGTCGAAAAGTGATTCTTTATTATAACTTAAAACTGTTTTCTAACTTATTTCTACCATTTTTTACCATAAAAAGAAGGTTATTTATACTATTACAATAGAGAATCTCAAAAAAACAAACAACAATCATAAATAAATTAAGAAATCAGTAAAATAATCTAAACATCCAAAAGCCCTTCAAGTCCCAGAAGGCCAATCCAAGCAAGGCTTCATCTGATGTGGTTGCAATGACCTGTTTAGTTAGCACGTTCGCTACCGATCGACACATATTTACGATGCTGCGGTCATTGACACGGGCCGAGTTATAGGCCTACATTGGCAAAAAACAGTTTTACCAACTATCATATGACGTCAATAATCATTTTATACACAGGCCAAGTGACGCACATATGTTATGCGACAGACATTCAGGGCTTTCAAATAGACCAAAGTTACGAATATATCAGCTTTTTAATTACATATGACACTGACACAAATATGCGACGTTAGTCCATTTAATGTGACCAGCCGTCACATACATGCGACGGCAATCTATGGGAAGAAACCGGCCATTGCCGTGTCGCTGGTCCATATGATTGAAAAATGTAGTACTATTGGGGGTAGCGAACGTGTTAAATCATGTAAATGTATAGCGAAACATAAAATTAAATTCTAAATAAGTGATATAGCAGCACATCTTGGCCTAACAAGTGTATAAAAGTACAAAGAAGTGTGTAGTGAGCGTTAAAAACTGTTACTGCTAGCCTATAACAGGAAAACATTAAATTTTTATGATTAAGAACAAAGGGGTAACTTATTTGTAATAGGCCCTTAGGCTAACATAGGGCCTACATTTTTTTTATTTTGCAGTTAACTTGGATAACGTAGGCCTATTTCATAATATTATTTGTAACTTAGGCCTACATTTGAAAAAATAAAATTATAACATTCATTGGTAAATTGTATTCTTTTACCAACTTATTTTGTACTTAACAGAATAAGTTAGTATGCAGTTGTTTATACAAGGCTATTCAGCGTTTGCGAAAACTTTTAATAGCCTACCTTACAGCACGACGTGGGCATTCAATTTAGACCACACCACATTGTGTGTATTTAGTTAAAATTGCTCAATCTCCCAAAAACTTTGGATCTTCTACATTTGAGTAACTTAGTTCAGTTTAAACCTACAACGCATTCTAGGAGTTTCACTTCGGCCAATGTCCAAATCATATACCGTATCCACTTCTGCAACCTGAGCATTTCACAGTTTCTACATTGCCGAAAGGGTAAAAATTTCGGACATTGTCTGAATTCGAAGTTTGAGCGTAGCATATACACTCACCAAAATTAACTTAACTTACAACAAAGTTCTTTCTAGGCCTGTGTGTCTTGACTTGTGGTTTTGAACTAAGCTAGCCTATGTTAACTGACGTTAGAGCTTGAAAATATCCCATTAAGAGCATTACTAATTTGACTAATGTTACCTTTTAAGCATTTTAAGTTAACTTGTGTAATTTTATTAGCCTAAGTTTATACCAATTTTCTATGAGTGAAATGAACATTAAAACCCCATATTTTTAAGGCTAGATTGTTCGCCAACCCTCAATCTTTTAGAGTAGGTAGGCTAAATTTACTACTTAACCTTCCGTCGGGTGCATTGATTTTCAAACACCAAATGGCGCTCACGGAAGTTACCTCCAAGAGTACAAAAACTATACAATGATGAGTAAAAAACATTTTAATAGCAATAAAACTCTATGAAAAACATTTATTATGAGTTATTACACTATTACTTAAGTTACCGGTATTACAAAGAAAATGTTATAATAAAAAATAAAAATATGTAAGTGTTGTGGATAAAAAATTATTTACTTTTTGTACTTATACAGTACTATCGTATGCTATTAGAAAACAAATGTTAATATACCATGGCATAAAAACACATAAATGGTCTAATAAAAATAATAATTTTGTACAAGGACAATTCATTCAATTAAAGCTCTTAGACAAAAATTGCATCAGTGTATGGCATAAAAACACCAATGGTATTATGAAAAAGATTATTATTTCAAGGATAACTTACTTTAAAGCTTTTTATAAAAAATTGCTAAGTTATGGTGTTTGAAATAAAACACCTATTGTCTAATGCAAACAATAATTTGTTCATACATTTTATAATATCGCTAATAAGGTCAAACACAAGGGCGCACACGGAACTAGGCTCCGGGAAACCCGTAGCATCACAAGGCGCTCACGGAAAGGAAGCTACTTCCAGTAGTGACGCGAACCACCCCCCCAAGGTCGACTGACAAATTGGGAAAGGGGTACAAGAGTATATAAAACCGATTCCGCAAAAGAGGTTCGTGAGGTAAATCAGGCCACAGCCCTGCCGCACACATAGGTAAGTTACTAAGGTTTTGATAACGTAAAAAGTAGTGACCCGGAGGTAACTTCCGCGATGCGCCCGATTTAAGGTTAAGTTACTGAAGGACCACTAAATATGGAAGAGAACATTTAAATACACAATTTGTTAAGATAACTTATGGGCTACGAATAGGTCTAAGTTACTTACATCAGAAGTCATCTCTGGAGATAAGTGGTAGGATGTGTAAAGCGTACTGGATTATTGCTCAAATGAAGTTTTGATTCTGTCAATAGATTTATTAACCTAGGCCTATTTAATCTATAGCCTAGTTTATGGCCAGGTTTTACTTCTTGCTTGAAAATTTTCGTAAGGGGAAATAATTAAAATATAATACAGTATTGTAATTATAGGTAAGTTAACTTGAGTACTAAGTTATATACTTTATGAAGTAGGCTAGGTATTCAAAGCTAAACAAAGCCCTGTTAGTTTACAAAAAAGGCAATTCTAAGTTACCACTAAACCTTTCCTGTTAGCCATTGTCAGAATCAATTTTTGGCACAGATAACAATCCTAACTAAACTTGTTCACAGTATAAAACATATTGCTTCACTTTCCTAGTAAACTATGTTATTAATACTAAAACAAGTTAGGCCTAAAAAGGACATTAAGAATTAGAATTAGGTTGTATGATGGTTGCAAAATGGTTTAGAGAAAATAAAACAACTCGTTAAAAAGATTAAATAGGCTTACGCTACGAAATTGGAGTTTAATACGATATGTTACGATGACTTTAGTCATAAATAGTAGACTAACAAAACTTCAACAAGGCAGCTGACAAACTCTGGTATCCAAACAACAACTGTAGCCTTCCTAAATTCGTAGGTTATTCTAACATCACTTACGTATACATATCTTAATTAATTGGTTAGGCTACTATTTATTGCTATGAAATGGTCAATTAATTAACAAGTTAACATTTTTGGCACAAAAAGTGAAGCTTCACTTTTATGATAACACGGTACGAAAGAAAACGCATGAGGCATCAGGCAAAGCAAGTCTACTAAACGCTAACACAAAAACACTGACTGACAGTGACTGACAGTCGTATTCGTATAGTCTAGTCGTATGCCCCTACAGCAGAAAACAGATTGGGATTGGGTTGGGTTGGGATGGATATACGTCAAGCAGAATGAGATGAGAAACACGCACTTTTGCTTTTGCTTGCTTTGCATTTATTTTGTTCTGCACCTAGTCTGCATCTGCGAGGAAGTAAACAGGCAATGTCAGCTGTTGGTTTTCCTTTTTTCGGAAAGCTAAGTTTAGACTTTATGGTGGGTGACTTTGAACGTGATCCATGAAGCAATACAATGAATTGAATAGGATAGTGACAATCTGAATTATCTGTATTCAAAGACCAAGGCTCCAGAAAAATGTCTCGGCAGTTCTATTATCGCTACGATGTCATATCTTTTAATGGCATATAATTGCGAATTTGTTCCATAGCTTATAATCGTGAAAATGTGACATAGCTTATAATGGAAAATTTAAATTGTTCCATTGCTTATAATAGTAGAAATGTGGCATAGCTTATCACGGGTTTCTTAAAATGTGTCATAGTGTGACGGGTAGTCACCAAAAATTATTTTCTAAATCTTGGGAGTATATTTCAAAAGTAAAAGACCTGGTAAATGGATTTCACAATTCATATACCGGTGTCAGAACATTGGCATTTAGTAGACAGAATTCTTGATGACACGTACCTTGCTCAATCGATCGACCCACAAAAACCGTAGACTTAGCATTTGTACTTTGGAGGGACTGAGGTTGGAGTTGACCGAAAGCCGAAAGGAATACACTTGGCCCCAGACTGTTCAAGGGGGTACTTCGCCTGTCAACGGTTTTTTGGTAAGGCGACTACACTCTATAATATTAATATTTAAACTTTAAAAATTTTGTGATTGTCCAGGCTAACTTAACGTTTTAAAGTCAGTGATTGATTGATGTTAATCGTAATCATTTTTATAATAATTGATTTTATTTATAATTTGTGTGGATAAATATAGTTACTATTAAATTCCTGTTTTAATATTATAACGTGTCAAAAAGAATTTATAATTATTAGAGTTTTTTATATAAATTTCATTTGCTTAGGCCTACTTATGTAAAAGGATCCTGTAATCATTTTATTATCCATTTTTATTATTGTCTTTATTATTATCGTTATCATATTGTCATATTGTCCATGGACGGGGCCTCTATGGAGAGGATTGTAAAGTCCCTTTTCCCGACTCACACACTGCGCCCATTGCGGGAGTTCGGAAGGGTGGACGACGTACCGCTGTTCAGTCTCGAGGAGTTGGAGGCGGCCGTTCTATCCCTGAAGAACAACAAGGCTCCTGGACCGGATAGGGTACCTGGTGAGGCACTGAAGAAAGTCTTTTCAATAGGTCCACAAATCCTTTTGAGCACGTACAATGCCTGTCTGGCCGAGGGGAAGTTTCCCTTCTGCTGGAAAACAGCTAGGCTTGTGCTCGTGGGGAAGGGAAAAGGAAATAACCCAGACCTACCCTCCTCTTACAAACCTCTCTGTATGTTGGACACTGCTGGGAAAGTCTTGGAAAAGTTGATCAGTTCCCGACTGAATTCAGCCGTGGTTGCTGCAGGAAATCTATCCCCTCGTCAGTGCGGCTTCTGGAAGGGACGGTCAACGGTTGATGCTATTGAGGAGGTAAAGCGAGCCGTAATGAGAGCTGAGGATTTTAACAACTATTCTCGTCGGTTGTGCTGCTTGTAACACTTGATGTGCGAAACGCATTTAATTCCGCGAGGTGGTGCGATATGCTGGACGCACTGGAGAACACTTTCCACGTCCCGGCATACATCATGCGCATGATAGAGGACTACCTCCGGTACCGCCTCATCATTTATGACACTACAGAAGGCTCCAGGACGATGGATGTAACTTCTGGTGCTGCTCAAGGATCCATACTGGGCCCGGACCTCTGGAACGTCGCCTACGACAGCCTCTTGAGATCCGAGATGCCTGAGGAAACTGTCCTAGTTGGGTATGCAGCTGACGTTGCGGCTTTAATAGCTGCACGTAGCATTGAGCTTGCCCAGCTGAAACTAAATCGAGTCATGCGCACCATTAACGCATGGATGGCAGAACGCATGGTCTCTCGCTTGCTCTGAGCCAAACTGAGATTGTGATTCTGACTAAAAAGAGGATTGACACCATCGTGCCTTTGATGGTGGGTAACGTTGAAGTCCAAACCACTCGTGCCGCAAAGTACCTTGGGGTCAGGTCATGGTGGACAGCAAGCTCAGCTGGCGAGACCAGATCACCCGTACGGCGGACAAGGCCGCTAAAATGGTTTCTTCCCTTAGTCGGTTAATGGCCAATGTCGGAGGTCCGCGGTCCAGCCGCAGAAGGCTGTTGATGTCTGCGGTCCAGTCCGTGCTCCTGTACGGTGCGGAAGTCTGGGCAGACGCTCTCAATAAGGAGATATATAGGATGCGACTCGCCCGAGTGCAGCGTCAGGCAGCACTAAGGGTAGCATCTGCCTATCGAACAGTGTCCGAACCCGCCGTCCTGGTGGTTGCTGGAGTCATCCCCGTCAAACTATTGGCGGCGGAGAGGAAGGCAATTTATCAGCGCCGTGGGGAGGACCAGGCAAGAATTGGGGAACGCACCCGGACCTTCCAGCTGTGGCAGGAGAGCTGGGAACAGGAGACAAGGGGGCTCTGGACCAGGCGACTGATACAACAGGTCCAACCTTGGGTTAATCGGCGGTGCGGAGAGGTGAACTTCTACCTCACCCAATTTCTGACGGGTCACGGTTTTTTCCGGTCGTACTTGTTCAGGATGGGCAAAGCCGTGTCACCCGATTGCATATACTGCCCAGGCATTCCCGATGACTGCCAGCATTGGAAAAGGCCCCGCCTAGAGGCTCAACAGTTTGTAGGACTGCTGTCGGTGGACACGGTCATACCGATGATGATGGAGGGTGAGGACAATTGGACCTGTGTGTCACTTTACATCCAGGGTGTTCTCCGCGCCAAGAAGCTTGACCTCGACCAGGATGCGGTGTAGGTCAAAAAATAAATAATGCCAGAAACGGTGCGAGCCCTGTGGGCTTAGGTCACATGTTGGCCTGACTTGAAGTAATGTGACAAACAATTCCAGGTCTGTGTCCAACAGAGTAGAGGGGGTTTTTTAGTGAGTAGTCTGTGATAAACTCAGGAGTCTCACACTACAGGCTGGCTACCTGTATGCGTAAAAGCATTTTCCCTCCTCATAAAAAAAAATCATATTGTCCATCCACTTTATTTAAATAATGATTAAACATTCTTTTACCTCTCACTGAAGTATTCTTATTATTTAAATCGATCCCGGTTACGCCCCAGGTCACAATTCTAATCGTGGCAATAGCTTAATGGTATAACATTTTATGGTATAATATTTTGCCTTTTTCCACTCCCATCATTATTTACGGAACCAGGCTCTGGGGTCATTCTTCTGGTGTAAGTAAAATTCTAGTGTTGCAAAAGGAGGCTGTCAGGGTGCTGAGTGGAGCCAAGTACCTGGAACACTGCCTTCCCAGGCAGCACACTTTCTCCTCAGGACATCCCATGGATATTGCGACAGGATATGCAAGATATCCCATAGTAGTGTCCTAAGGTCAAACTGGGATATCTCAGGACATCCGCAGGAATGCGTAATGTCCCCGCCCGGGGATGTCCCACGGATAAGCTCACAGCATATCCGTGGGACATCCGAGGTCATCCCAGGGTAGTCCTCGGGATTCTCAGGACATATGGGACTACTATGGGATGTCCCTGGGACAAAGTGTGCTGTCTGGCATAAGCCCTCAAAATATGGCTTAATATGATATTAAAAAATCGAAATTTTAATGGGCAAGAAAATGTTTCACTTTTTATATTCGTAATTTGATTTGAATGGCTGTGAGTGTAATAAAAGCGAGCCACTGTGCATTTTTTCTCGACTTCGGCTATTTCAAATTACTTGCCTAGCACAAAAATGCCTTAAAACTAGCATAAAATGAGATTAAAAATTTTAGAAAATAATCAGGAATGTTAATTTAATATTTATTTCAAAATTCAAATCATATTTTTTATTTATAACCTAAATTGAATAAACTTGTTGGAAAACTGTAAAAATGAAAAAAAAAAAGTTAATACGGTTCTTATTTTTAATACCCCGATTAAATATTGGTAAATATATTATTTTTATTTTGAGAAACTCTTAGGGAACACGAATAAATTTATTTTGTGTAGATATACCATATTTATTTCAAAATTGTAATTAAAGTAATCATATGTTCAAAGTCAAAGACAATTCATTCAACTTTGATCTTCAATAGTAAATAATAGTTTTTATAGAAATGATTTACACCATTCAATAGGAAATTTAATTTACTTTAAGAATGCCATTGCTGAATAACACAAGTGTTTTAGTTTAGCGGCAATTTCTATTCGAAAAAACGCGCAAAGCGTTCTTCCCTATCTCTCCCATGTTATAGCCGCCGCTCTTTGCCACTCTACGGCTCCGCGCGCCCCTCTAGTGTTCTGCTAAACCTGGCTTCACCGCAACACGTATATTCCTATTCGTGTTCCCTCTCCTTAATGTTTAATCCTCCTAGGGCCAAACCCCCTAGGCCAAACCCACTGAGCTATAATTATAACTCAAATAATTATAGCTCGCTCAGTGGCCAAACCCAAACAATTTGAAGACAAAAAATATCCATTTGTTTATTTTTTTAGGAAAGGTTTAAAAGTGATCATCAAAGAATTTAGAACACCATTTCATGAACTATAATATATGAAATAAAGCCTTTTTAAATACAAAAAATATTTGTAAAGCAATGGTTTTTATTGGTTGAACAGCAATAGGCCTGTAAGTCATATTATTTTAACTGACCAGGATCTCATTTAGAATTTGTAGCAGGAGCTGCAATTTAAGTACAGTAGTATAGAGTCCCATGATTTAGAACTAACTGGGATAAAAATCAGCGAGAATGGCATGCATTAAGGGTGCCAAAGGGATTTTTTATGAGAGAAACCTGATAAATCATTCCAGGGATCAAGAAAATACCAAAATTTAAAAATAAAATGCTTCTCTTTCTAAAAAGCCAGAATTATATTTTAAAAAAGTTAACAATATACTTATTTGTATCTGTTGTTGGAAAGCTAAATGTATACTGATAGCTGTTATTAGGGATTTATTAAACATTGTTCATCTGCAATAACATTTATTTGTTACACAAAATTTCAATTTTCAATTTTCAGAGAGGAATTTTTACTGAAAAGCAGATGGACTATAAATATTTCAAAGTGGGAAAATACATGAATCTTATATTAAAATATGTTTTCTAAGTTCATCAAAGTATCATGGAAATACAGAGTCTATTTGTGACTTTTACAATCTATTTTATTTCATATTTACAATAAGTTCACAATTTACTAGCTTTATGATTAAAAACAAACATACTCTCTTACACACACCATTCATGTTTTTACACAAACTACTAAAAGCAAAAATATTATTATGTGGGCTGATAAAAACTAGTAATAGTATCTACAGCTCACTAACAACTGATAGCAATGATAATTTACAAGAATTTCATATTCTTCTAAATCCCTTTAAGGGGCATTTACAACAGTATGTAAAAAGGCAAGAAAATTCTTAAACAGGTATTAAACCCAGCTGCCACATCAATGCTGAGGATTTATTTTTAAGTAAAAAACAAATACTCATGCAGATAGTTAACAAACTATCGTAATACTTACGATAATATTAAAATTTTAGTTACCATTTCATCACAGATAATAGTATCTTACAAACTGTACATTTGTACATATGTCAGAGACAATAGTGGTGTATATACACTAAGATTAGTTGAGCTGTCACAGCACCAAGCATGGATGTGATCCGAGCACCTTCAAATAACACAAAAGCTTAAATGAGAGTACAAAAGTGGCCAAAGCTGCACCGGATCCTTTAATACTCATTGACACAGTGGCTATTGTTACTATAAAGCTAAAGAAATTATGTAAGTATTAGATTTTACATATAATGCTAATGGTCATAAATACAATATGTCACATACTCGGACAATCACTGGGAAAAAGCCTGATAAACCTTTAAAATATTTTACAGAATTGGGTAAATTATGTAAGAGATGGATTAAAAACCATTGTGATTTCATCTGTTGGTAAATCCCTGTAAATGTACCTTTGAAAACAGTAAATAATTCTGTATAGTTATAATATTTGGCTTACAACTTAAAGTTACAGTACCAGTAAGGACACAAAAGTGGGTTCAAGATTGTTTAAAAATTAACATTTCTAAACTAGATTTTTGCTCAACTTATCGAAAACATAATAACTAATTTACTAGTTTTTTATTTTTCCCTGAAGCTATCAGATATGTTGAATTGATCTTCTAATAACCCTTTGTTTTTTAATAATATTAAATACACAAACAAGTTTCCTTAGAACATTGAACTTCATTAGCGCATTTGTGATGGTAAAAAAAAAAAAAACATTCTGGTAAATTAGGTCATCCACATAAAATGTTGCTTGATACTAGTTTTCATGAATTATAAAATCTAGATTGTAAATAATTATTTTGTATAATTAGTAACTTTCATGAAGATTGATGAAGGAACATCATTGCAAGATAACGGACTTTAAAAAAGCTTACATAATTTTATAAATACCACAGGGAAATACTAACTGTAACCCTTTATTGCAATGAAATTAGTCCCACACAAACACTAATAACATAATAATATGCATACTATTCTTAGACAAAAAGTAAATTAAAAGTAACGTATTGCTGTAGTTACAGTAAAATGTGTTAGCCATAAATTATTTCTTGTAAAATAGACCTTGGATTATCTGGACACAAATAACCTGAATGCCAATTTATTCAGACAGGTTTAAGAATAACTTGAATTTCCTCTCAAGTAGCCTTCAAAGTCTGAAATGAAACTGTCTATTGTAGTAGGCCTAGCGTGCATAAATCTAGATAGATAGCTGTGTTTTTGCCTGAGTCATCCTGAAAGCATGTTTTTCTTTGTCTCTTTAATATTTATTACAATCTACGATTTATGAGATAAATTGTTACTCGTTAGTGAAGTATGTGTTAGTCTATAGTTATTCTAAAATCATGAGTAAAATTAATTGTTATATCCATATTAAAATTAATTGCTGTCAAAGTTTATAAAAAATATACCATTATGTTAAATGCAAGGATTCACATGTATGTACTTAATTGAAAACACTGTTTTTTTTATTATCAATATTGCAAGAAGTACATAATCTAATAAAAATGAAAGTAACAGTGGCAAAGAATAATTGGATTTATTGCCATCCAGTTCAAACTTAGATAATCCAACAAGCACCGCAGTTTTTATTATTAATTTACAAAGATTTTGCAAAATGTTCAAGTGACGTAACTCCTGTTAATAAATGAATAGAAATATAAAAAAAAAAAAAATATAGAAATGTTATATTTGGCGAGCCAAATTATAAACAAAACTCAGTCTTGGTTACAAGTCTTATAATATAAAGCGAGATCTTGACTTGGTAAAGAGTGTAATGTGGCATATTAGAAAACAACGAGTTAGGAATAAATAGGTTAACATGTACAATAAGGAATGTCATACACAAAAATGGAATGTTTAAAAGTACAAATAAATTAATCCCCATCCCTCATTGATCAACTAGGTTCATTATGCTAATTTATTATTATGTTTGATACTATGTTCAGTCATTGAATTGGAGGCTATCAAAATAGAAAATAAAATGTAAATGTACATTTTTTTCTAATAAATTTGATAACATTTGCAAAATAATTTGTATTCAAGGCAACTTTGAAAAGAATTACAAACATGTCTGAAGCTTTACACAAATAACTTTTATGTTATTAATTGTTAGAATATTAACACATTTATATATGTTTCACTATTCAGATAGATGTTCTTGTGTACATAAATGAATATTATTCAGAGGTTTTTGGGTAGTGACTTAATTCACAAAAATTGTTGATTGCATTAAAAGCGTCGCTGATTAAAACAATGATTAGTAACACTATCCAACACCATACCACAGGCAATTTTAAAATGTGTCCTCAAAAATAGCTTGACTCTGGCCTTAAAACTCCTAAAGCTCGCTATTAGTATACTTTGCCTAAATCAATACAGAATCCAATAAATAATGCCTTATACATTCCTGTCTTAAACTCTCTCTAGACCTAGTGGTTCACAACCTGGGGGGGGGGGGGCGATGATTATTCAAAGGGAAATAATCAGAACTGTAGGGTAGACTCTTTACTGTAGTGAATACTCGCTAGTGTTTTTTTTAAATAAACAAATTCTTTGTTGTCATATTCGGAAAAGTAATATGGTTGGTGTAAAAGATGAGTGTGGTGAGCTCACGTCAGACTGAAGTGTAGGAGTACGTTGAGTCAACTGCTATTGTTGGCAAGCAAGGTACCTCTCCACAACTCCCACCCCTTCAGTTCAGTCGTTTAGTACAAAACAGACGGTTATTAACCATTGTTTTTATGTGTCTGTGTAATAATGTATTTATATTCTAAATTGTACAATAAAGCACATTTTCACTTAATTTCATTTCAGTTCAGTCATTTAGTGTTGCTTGCGTGTTGTTGCTACCTCTACACATCTAATCTTGTCAATCAAAACACTAGTCAAGTGTCATCTGTATTCTAATGCCAATGTCCCGTAGTCTAAGCCCGTGTCAACATAGTGGTTAGTCATTGTACGTCTGTCAAATGTCCGTGCGTACATGATACTAAAGAGAAAGGGAGGATACGTGTTAGTAATTGTAACAAAGCGACAATAGCAAATAAAAGGTTGGGAACCACTGCTCTAGATAGTTGGGGGAGGACATAAGTAGTGTTGCCCTTGTCTAAGAACAAAGATAAAACATCCAAAAATATAAATTCCTACTTAGGGGAGCAAGGAAAGGGAGAAATACAATATTGTAATATTCTGAATTGTGTTATATGCTTTGTTGTTCATAAAAAAAAAAATATTTTTCTATAATGTGGAAAATCAAAAATTATGTATTTTTTTTTATTGAAAAATTGTTTCCACACATAACATCTTAACAATTTTACCAAGGTTTAATATTATAAAATATTCATGAGGCCTTATTACAGTTAAGGTAATAGGCACGTATTTCGTACAAATACATTGTAATGTTATTGTCATAACCAAACAATGGGAACCTATTAAAGATAAGCTCATGACTAAAGTAATAATTTATTACCATTAAAATTTGTTGAATAGTTGGCATTTCGAAAATGCAAATAGACTTAGTTTAGGGTCCAATGTAGCCTTTTCAGTTGCAAACACTAAACAAAAATATATTGGTCCAGTATGAGTAAAATTTGATGGTACTGAAAATCACCAAATCTAGGAACTAATCCATCACTCATAAGATTATGTTTAAAATTTATACAATATTATGTAAGTAAAGCCACCTTAAAACACCAAAATATTTAAAATATGACATATATTACCTCGAAATAATATTTTTAAAAAATGCCAAAAATAGGTATATAAAAACTAACAAACATATACATAGTAAAAATCTTGTTTCTTGGTAGAAATAATTTGAAATCCATGTTTTAGCCTGAAGAAATAATTTCTTCAGGAATATAGAAGCTGAATAGTCAAAATACCTTATAATACCAGATTTGAAAGCTAGATAAGTACGCCTACTAAATAAAATTATAAAATATAAAAAAAGATAATATCAATATCATATTTATTACAATCAGGGGCAGTAAATAGTTGTCTGATAAAAATATTGATGCGACATAAGAAAGCATTTAGAATTTTTCTATACAGTAGAACCTCTTTAATCCGAACCCCCGTGATCCGAACGTCCACTAATCCGAACACCTCATTGCTGTACTTTATACACAGTACAGTAGTTCTATATTGTATACTGTATTTAATGTACATTACTGTTTATTCACTATGTTTACTACTGTATTAAATAAAAACTGTATTTTACTTTATAAAGCATTTTTTTACTTTTCCCGTAGCAATTACGATCCATTGTAGCCTTGTTTTAGCTATTGTTATGTAAAGACAACAATATGTTCTGTAATCCGAACTATTCAATAGTCCGAACTACCCCCGGTCCCAATTAGTTCGGATTAAAGAGGTTCTACTGTAGTTCACAAACAGATGTACCAAAAAAGGCTTTGTACTGTTTTTGTATAAATCATTTATTGCAATCTTTATTGCATCTTAAGTAATGTCCTTTCATTAGATTATTTAGTGTACCGTACCTAATAAGTTATTTATTTTATAAAGTGATAGTTGTACTTGTGATTTACATTTTTCTATAGTAAAAAAATAGCTTATTTGTTTATAAATTCCTAAAATATTTTCAAGGGTGCAGCTGCACAATTCTCCATCTGATTGCAACATTAACATCCTTGGGCACTAGCTTGAATATGTCAAAGAGAACATTTTAAATTACCTCTGGTCAACATCGAGTTAAGAAAATTTGTCACTATTTCATTTAAACATGGTCTACAAAGCTAACTTAAAACTCATACATAATCTCAACCCCAATTGAAATAATTTACCTCCTACCTATTGGGTCAAGCAGTTCAAAAGTAGTGTTACCAAAATTGACATCTATGGCCAAACAAAAAGTAATGCAGTCTTGGGGAAGGTTCGGTGAGTACGGCAGCAGAGACTCTATTTATCACCGCAGGCTATTAACCAGAAGTAGAGTGATCTTCACAACCAACATGGATGGAACGATCATCACACTTGAATCTTTTGATGCACTGTTTTCTATGCAGGAACCTGGAGAAGAATACAACATGAAGATAAGGGAGTAGGAACAGAAGTTTTATATATACTTAATCATTGATATTCGTGTTAATATAAATGTATAAATATCTTGGTTGTCTTCAGTTCCAAACTGTTGATTTCTGCTGTTACACAATAATCCAACACTCTTCTTCAGGAACATAATCATCCGCTATTGTTTCGTCAATGACACAACTCATAAACACGATTATGGTCAGGGTACATAAAATAAAATAATCAAGTTTGTGAGTCTGTGTCATTGACGAAGCAATAGTGGATGATTAGTGATGTAAAATACCCAGGTATTTAAAACTCGGGGTACAGGGCAAATACCCAAAATCTATACATTTGAAAATTCATTGAATCAAATCGAAAATTTGTTGCTGTTTCGCACACCCCTAGAAAGTAATCTTGTTTAAACTCACCTTGTAAGGTAAGATTAAGTGGTGTTGCCAGTTGACTGGAGGACAGGTTACAAGAATCAGTCAAGCGGTGCAAACTTAAAAATCCTTCTGATTGTTTTAAAATGAAACAATATCGTTTTGCATCAGTTGATTTTCGACTCACAGGTGAAGCTATAATGTAGGTTGTTTGATTTTCAGACCAGCTTCCATGACAATGATACGCTGAAAAATGAAACCATAGTTATAAATATTTGTATGGAACACAGATAAGTAAGGAATAGAGGAAACATCAAATTTAACACATTAGTGATATCTAGAACTAGTGATGGTGTCTAGGGCAAAGTCCAACACCACCCTCCTCGCCTTTATGTACAATAACACTCCTAAAGGAGGTTCCTGTGTCCTGTGCGATAGGAATTTCCACACAGTGCTCGCCGTTCGAAAAAGTGGTGCCGACCCATCATTCGTTTTTATAAAGTGTCTAATATTTTGTTATTTAAATCCTGACTAAATAATGAAACAGCATAATCTTCAAGCCATCACTAGGGAACTTCTCCCTATCCTCAAGATCTATCTTTGAGTAAGATTCCAACAAAGTCAATACTATATATATATTTTTGATACTAAGAACAGCTAATTTGGCCCTGATGTTGAGAGTCCTTAGAGGCTAGCGGCCATCTTGGATTAATTTCAAACAGCCACTGAAGAGTTATTTACCATCCCAAAATATTTGTTCAAATACCAAAGTGATTGTAAATTAATATCTAAGGCATTATGAGCCAAGACGTTTTGTAATTGTTTTATGAGTTAGCACGGCTAAGCTCCAAGGACTCTCTCTCTCTCTCTCTCTCTCTCTCTCTCTCTCTCTCTCTCTCTCTCTCTCTCTCTCTCTCTCTCTCCCCAAGTGTTCCTTTGGGAAAGAATATGAAGGAATCTAACAGTGTTTATCTTATTTATTCGATTCACCACTCAGTGTCACAGTGAATGCTTTGTCGCATGCTTCAAAAAGTTTTGAGGACCACAGAAAAGGCAACAGGGTTTAGTGGACATATTCATGTTATAAATTGAATTTTTATAGCAGTAGAGATAAAAAATTTATGGTTGAAGGACTTTACTTGAATCATTTTAATATTTATATTACGTATGACGGCTAATATCGACTACAAGCGGCTGTGAGTGAATTCTGATCTTCAAATCAATTGAAGTTATCCAAAATTAATATGCATTACCTAGCAGCAATAGAATACAAGTTTAGCAGCTATTTGTGATAAGCACGAAGAAGTTCAGCTCTCATTGTAACTAAGAGAGTGAGGCGCACGAGTTCGCCTATAAATATTCTCCCTCATCGATTTTTACTTGTTCTTTAATTTTAATTTTTTTATTTATTTTAACAACAATAATGAAGTATTGTAAGTATTTCAATTTTAGCTGTACAAATGACTAAGCTACCTATGGCTGAATCAGGAGAACATGTCTGAAGAGTGACAACTTGAGGGGATGTAGAACAGCCGATGAGAAGGGAAGTGTTGGCGTGACATGTTGGGTCTGGTTCTGACGGGACGGCCCACGCAGGCTGGTTGTGACCAATATAACGACCTGGCTGTGGACACTTTTCCAGAGATGGAGATACAGCTGTAACAGTTTAGTCACACTTTAGTTTACCTATAGGGAAAATGGCTGTTTTCAATACATGTGTTGTGGTTCTAAAGTAGCTTTTTTTTCTTCTAAGGGCAAAATGAATCAACTGGTTTTTTTTATTGGCTTATCCCTACCTTAGATCATATACCAAGTTCAATAAAGATATATTAAATAGTTTTAAATAAATATATTTTTAATTTTAGAATAAAATGGCAGATATCTTGGTATTCAGGTGTTATAGAAAAACATGCATTATTGAATTCCTTCTTATTTTTTACCTATAAAACCTATTCTCAAAGTTTAAGTACTCCATTACAGATAACCCTGTATAGTAAACAAACGCATATTCCTCATTAAATGAATATTATGCTTACTATAATTTCTGGATACATAAAATTATTAGGGGCCTACGGGTCAGACTTTTTGGTTCGGGTCGAGTCAGGCCAAAAATCATTAATTACCGGATTTTTTTTGTTTTAACTTCTATCTGTGTTTATATTATTATTACTTGATAATAAAATAGGAAAAGATTGTATTTATGTAAGTTATATTATTTCATTTTCATATCTTATCTTATTTACAGTAGGGGTGTGCGAATGAATAGTGATTTTTGGGTTCAGTAGGAAGTGCAGTAGGATGTAAACAAACCATTAATAATTGTCTCCATTAGGGCTCGGCATTCTCAAGGTCAAAGACCTTACCTCTTACACCTTCCATTTGCAATACAATGCTATTTGTTATTTATTTATTAAAATACATCACATAACGCCTAAGGAGTGCTTCTGCATGCAGGCAGGTAAATTGTCAAAATATACATTGTGTACTAGTATAGAATAAAAGCAACATAATAATAAATATAGTAATAAACATAATAAGAATAAAGTATTAACAGTATTTAACAGTATTGAAAAACAAGTATAAGACAAGTTAGGTTATTAGCAAAGTTTACAAATAAGTTATATCAATGTCTATAAGTTATGTTTACTACAATCAGACTGATAAAAATCCTCAATTCTGTAAAAACAATTGTCTAACAGGTAAGACAGTAAGTGTAACCGGAACTATTTAAATGATTCTACCTCTCTCAGTGATAAAGGAAGCGCTTATTATACAGTTTGAGACCCATATAATAAACCCATATAAAAAGTACTCTTTTCATAAGCAGCAGATTTATGTATGGGGTACTACAACATAGAGCTCATGGGTCTAAAGCTGTATTGGGAGTTAGTTCTTTTTTCTTCATAAATAGAAAAATGTTTTTTGACAAAGATTAAAGTGTTGAATATATACAAAGGCCCGGTCTCCGAAACCCCTTCCGACTTACCCAACCCGAAAAATTCGGGGACCCGCGGACCCTTAAAAATGATTGACTTTTCTGTAATTATGAATTTTTAAAATCATAATTCAAATACTTTCGACTATGATCCCCCTGACAGAATTTGTTTTAATATTTATTACCAACTAAAGAATGAAAAGGTTAATGAAAATAGATGCCTTTCATCTTAACCAAAACATCATGCTCGTAGATACACACCTTTATTTAACACAAAATAATGTCGCTTAGTATCAGGTTAGAAACTACAAACACATAATAAGGCATTCAACTTCTATAAAACTTAACAATGACAACACTAATGTCAACCACCATACCATATTAGTCCAGTTTATTTCAGATTGAAACTTATCAGTGAGATAGCATTTGATTAAACTTAAGATGTATTGCACATCTTCCATCCACTCAGTAATATACTTTTAATTAAATTACATTTCTTTTTACTTACTGACAAGAGTTACTGGATTAGACATGTGATACGGGTCAGTAAATGGAGGAACACATGCTTCGGAATGCTCTGGCACCATTTCATCTGAAACAGAATATTTTATCAAAGCCAATATTGATTATTGTAACCCCATCTAACTTAAGAAAAAACGTAACGTATAATTAGAGATGTGCAAGTACTCTGATAGTCCAATAAATATTTGAGCAACTAAAGAATCAAACTCACCTAGATGATTTATTACTCATTATAATTTTATTCTAATCATAAATGCACTAAATTTATGTTTGTAGAGTTAACTAGAGACAAATTGTAAAATAATAGTAAAAATCTTACTTGATTTGATAGTTGGGTATACGTTCTAGGTATTTGCTATTACTGTATTCACTAATCCTGAGTTATATTTTGACCATGATTGATTTGTAGCAAACGGATTGATGTTTAAATTAATAATTACAACTTACGTCAATCACTCCAGTATATCTATGGAGGTCGCACGTTTCGACCTTTAGGTCATCTTCTGCTCCGCTGTTGCACTAGGTTATTCCATACTTAGTTGCATTGTTGGTGTAGCAACTGCGTCAAATATTTTACATTGAGAAACATAGTCTGACCACGTAAACATAAAAACACAAAAGCACGACACTGATGAAAACATTTGTAAAACTATCACCGTGCGCACGGCTGAACGGGCTCGGGACTGCGGCGGCACTCATGTTTTCGTCAGTGTCGTGTTTTTATGTTTACGTGGTCAGACTATGTTTCTCAATGTAAAATATTTGACGTGGTTGCTACGCCAACAATGCAACTAAGTATGGAATTACCTAGTGCAACAGCGGAGCAGAAGATGACCTAAAGGTCGAAACGTGCGTCCTCCATTGATATACTGGATTGATTGACGTAAGTTGTAATTATTATATTTTGACCATTTACTTGCGGAGAATGCATAAGTTTATGATATACTTTTAGGCCTACTGGTTGTTTTACTATCCATCCATATTTTCAATTAATTCTATTAACCTTCTACATCATTGAATTAAAAATATGAGAAGTGACTCACTGTTTTTTTCCAATAATGAAATAATAGATATTGTAAAATGATGTCTATGTACACATGATTATGTATGTATATAGGGGTGGCACTTAGTGGCAGTGACTTTGTAACATGAGCCTTAACATTCCAACTGAGTGTAAGAGGTAGCGGAGGAGGATTTTTAAGCGTGAAATGAGATCAAGTTGGTTGCTAGAAAGACGCATGTGAGGTACTGTCAATTCTACAACTTCCAACTGCCAAACACATGATTTTTTTTATTAAAATACTAGGAAATTCTGTGAAGTCTCTCAAAAGTCTAAAACTGAATTGATTTTATAATGTTTTGATAAGCAAATCTTAAAATAACAAACAGTCTTCAATATATTTTATAAGTCCTTGTGAATATCCATACTCAGAAGGCTTGGAACAAAAATCTGTGACTTTTCACTAATTTCTCACTTCAGCGATTAGTAGATAACCTATTTACCTACTAAAACTTTATAATACTTCACCGCAGCAAACCTGTAGTCTGAGCAAACTTCCTTTTGCCTACCACCTTATTAGAATTTTACTAAAACATTTCTTTGAAAATTTCAGATTTATTCCCTATATAACAGAGAATTAACAAGTACGGTGGTTTGTTGCTACAGGGCAGAAAAAGTTTTGCTCTTATTTTGGTAAAACTATAATACATGTAGTTCAGATAACATAAATACATTTTTCAAATGAGATTATAAATATCTATAAACAATTACGGTAAGTATAATATTATATATCAAGTATTATACAGAGTGGCTGAAAAGTAACTCGCACCCCCCCCCCCCCCTTTAAGTTTTCAACCATTTGAAATATTTTAAATCAGTTTGTGTCAACCTTCTTAGATATGAGGGGCTACAATAATGATGGTTAATTTTGTAAATTTTCCTCTTAGGGGTAGCGGGGTAGAGAGTAGCTGAAAATTTTCAAATAGGATGTATGGTCGAATTTGGTACCATTTTACAGGTCTTGACAAAACTAGAAAATTAAAATAAAGAAAATAGAGATCGGACCACTAATAACAAAATGGCAGCTAAAAATGATTAAGACGATGGTTATTCAAAGTAATCTTTATCTGCCATTTTGTTATTAGTGGTCCGATTTATATTTTCTTTATGTTAATAATTGTTTAGTTTTGTCAAGACCTGTAAAATTATACCATACTCGACCATACTTCCTATTTGAAAATTTTGAGCTACCCCCCACCCTCACACCCCTAAGGACAACATTTTCAAAATTGACCATCACTATTGTAGCCCCTCATACCAAAAAAAGTTGCTGGAAACTGATTTCAAATATCTCAAATAGTTAAAAAGTTAATAGGGGTGCAAGTTAATTTTCATGGTTATTTGGATTTGATATGTTTTATGGCGCCATTTTGTTATTTGGGGGGTATTAGGGGTTTTGTTATTGGTTTTCTTTATGTCAATTGTTAAGTTTTGTCAAGACCTGTAAAATGATACCAAACTGGACTATACTTGCCATTTGAAAATTTTGAGCTACCCCCTAACCCCGCTGGGTAGCGGACAACATTTTCAAAATTAACCATATTTTTTGTAGCCTTTAATTCTAAGAAGGTTGCCACAAACCAATTTAAAATATCTCAAAAGGTTCAAAAGTTAAAGGGGGGTACAAGTTACTTTTCAGCCACCCTGTACATAAATCAAGTATTATATCAGATTACCCATACTAAACCTAAATAAGAATAACCTAACATGTTTAAATGTACAATTTTTTTTATTTTATCTGTAACCATTAAGTGTACAAGGCTTCAATATACAAAATTCATTGTTTTGTTCAGCACAACAGCTGCAACAAAAATTGAGCATTTTTATGTTCAGATGGTAAAAATTTGGAACATTTTTTTAAATATACAGGGTGGCGCAGATGGATCAGGTGGTTTTAAAATACTTGTCAAACTGTCAATTTTAAAGGTATTGGATTGAAATAAAGTGCAAAGCGTGTAGTTACAATGGAAGTTTATTGACAAAAAAATAGTTAAGTTAGTTTTCAAAAATTACATCCATCAAATGCCTTCCTTCTCGAGCGACGCATTCTTGGAGTCGGTCCTTGAGGTTCCACATTGCTCGCTCAGGCACATCACCAGGAATTGATGTGATTTCGTTGTGAATTGCAGCCTTCAACTCCTGAAGCAAGGGTCTACATGAACAAACCCCGGACCATTCAGGAGTTGAAGGCTGCAATTCACAACGAAATCACATCAATTCCTGGTGATGTGCTTGAGCGAGCAATGCGGAACCTCAAGGACCGACTCCAAGAATGCGTCGCTCGAGAAGGAAGTTATTTGATGGATGTAATTTTTAAAAACTAACTTAACAATTTTTTTGTCAATAAACTTCCATTGTAACTACACGCTTTGCACTTTATTTCAATCCAATACCTTTAAAATTGACAGTTTGACAAGTATTTTAAAACCACCTGATCCATCTGCGCCACCCTGTATTAAATTTTCATAACACCCTAATCTAATAACATGATCTTGCTGGTTCCCAATCTCATTCAAGTTTATCCAGCCCTACACATTCATGTCAGATTTTATCAAAATTCCATGAGTTATTTACTATTAATTAAGTTATTAACTATCATGTTCACAGACACACAGACACACACACACAGACGAATTTGAACAGTGTTTTTGCCCTATGGATAGCCTCTACTGTACTGGAAATTCCCTAATCCAACTATTATTATTGAAAAACTTACTTGACTTCTGTACTTGTATAACTCCAGTGTCCCTTTTGTTGAACACTATGCAGATGTATCCATTTTTGCTGAAACAAACAAAAAATAAGTTAGCAATCTTATATATTTAACCCTTCCCAGACGGGCTAAATCGTGACATAGGACGGGAAAAAATTAGAGGAAAAAATAAAAATTAATTTTCCTTATTTGGGTTTTGTTATACAAGTATACATAAAATAAACACAATGGAACACTTCATACTGTCAAAATCTTGTTTTTAACTATGCGGATATATCTGCTTCCCGTCCGCGGATGAGTAGAAATGCAACGGATACATCCGCCACCCGTCTTTGAAGATATGACCATGACAACGTTAGGCAATAAATAAAGAATAACATGTAAACAATAAATAAAGACAACGTAATGTTGAGCGCGAAACGTCGAGAGAGGAGCGTAGGAGTGGTAGTAGGTGCGCGGGAGGGGGGTTGCGCAGAAGAGAGGTTGGCGTCCGAGAGAGGGGGGAGAGCGCAGCCATGGAGAGAGCAGGAAAGTGGCGCCTTGGTACCGCGAAACATCTGGTTACTGCTCAAGCACCTGCCAGTCTGACTGAAGAGAAGGCGGATATAACCGCTTCCCGTCCGGAACATCAAAAACCATAAGCGGATATATCCGTCACCCGTCCTTTATCGGCAAAGACTAAGGCGGATACATTCGTCACCCGTCCGCGAAGGGTTAAAAAATTTGGTTTTCTTTTTACGAGTTCGTTTGGCTCTTCTACCCGACCGATTTTCATGATTGAGGTCTCAAATTGAAGGTATGCACACACTAGTGTTAGTCGAAACCAGAAATTTCGAATCTCAAAACCGAAACTTAAAAAATTGAATCCCGAATCTCAAAACTGAACGGATTTCACATCAAGCATCGGCATATATTTATCTACTGTATTACTGTACTGTACTGTACTGTACTGTATTGGGGCTTGTTTAAGATGGCGGCCGGTAGTAAAGTCGACACTAAATGTGGTGCGTGTTTAACTAAAGTTACTAATCGTACGGGTGGAATGCAGTGTAAAGGCGTTTGTGAAAGATGGTTTCATCTTAGATGCTGTGATATTTCAAGAGAAGAGTGTGCAAAATTTAAAGACTTATGTGGAAAGTCGTTTTGGTTCTGCGCTTGCTGCAACGATGAGGTTAGAAACATGATTGAACAACGCAAGCAAGCCAAGTTGAACTTGAGCAACTGTGAGAGTGAGAGTGTTGACATTAAAGTAGTGCTGGATAAAATTGAGAGAATTAACGAGTTTTATTATAATCTAGAGAAACGTATCAACTATATTGAGAAATCTAAAGGACAATCTAGCCATTTCGGCGAGAAAATAAATGACTCTAGTGTTTCGAATGAAGAATCGAAGTCAAGCGATATCGATATATCGAGTAATGTGAAGCAAAATGACGATTCGACTATCGCAATAGTCGAAAACGAAAACCGAGACATCGATTCGGAAGCCGACGCAAACGAAAACGAAAGTGAGAGTGAAGCTCAAGTGTTGAATGGCGTATTGCTGGAAGAAGAACACAAGGAAACGTTAAGCCCTCGTTCTTATTCGCAAGCACTCAAAGTTAACAAGACTAATAAACAAAGCAAGTCGCGAATCGAAGCTGCTAAACATCGACATCAAAAACCGACTTCAGGAGCGGGATCGGCAGAAGCGGAACCTAACCTAGAAGGAACGAAGCCTGAGCAACGGAAGCCTACGTTTATTGTTGGAAGTCTACCTAGTGACGGGAAATTGAAGATAAAGCAAGCCACCAAGAAAGGATGGTTGTTCATTACTAACCTTGCATTGGATACCGAAACTAAAGCTCTAACAGAACATATGAAGCAAATAACCTCTGGTGAAGTAATCTGCCAGGAAATAACTTCAAAATACAGTGTTCACAAATCCTTCAAAATAGGAATCAACCTAGAAGACATTGATAAGGCTAAAAAGCCTGATATGTGGCCTGAAGAAGTGAGAGTTGATGACTTTCGCCCCTTTACTCCCAAAAACCGTTTTTTAGGGAAACGGAGGTGGATTCGCCCACCAAGGACTTAATGTTAACATGTCTTGACAAAAGTAATGACACTAGGCCTAGGACTAGTGAGGGTGTTTTGTTTAGTGATAGGCCTACTTGCCCAACTCTCAAAACTGTTTTTGTTAATGTACAATGTCTTAGGACTAAATTCAATATGGTACAAATGTTTGTTGGTGAAAACAAAACCCAGATACTGTGTCTGTCGGAACATTGGTTGGCTGAAAATGAGCTTGACTTTTATCATGAAATAGGACATTTAAGTCTTGTGAGTGCGCAATGTCGGACCTTACACATTCATGGGGGTGTAGCAATCTATGCTGAGCCTGATTTAAAGGCTGTACCTATTGACCTTAAAACTTTTAATGTAGAATTTGACTTAGAGGTTGTTGGCTTGCGGCTTTCTCACCCTAGTAACAGCGCTAGGCCTGCTGTAGTTCTATCGGTCTATAGATCAGACAATGGTGACTTCGAAAATTTTTTAGCCTTACTGGAAGACTGTTTGAGTTTTATCATACGTTTTTATCATGACTCATATTTATACGTCGGTGGCGATTTCAATGTCCCTCTTAACCGCAACACCCCACAACAGAGGCAACTCACGGATCTCATGAGGAGTTTTGGACTGTATTGGAAGTGTCTCGAGCCAACAAGAGGACCTAACTGTCTTGATTCCGTTGCATCTAACCGCTGTGACTGGGAGGCTAGAGCTTGTGTTGTTGACCCTTTGGTGGCGGATCATTTGGCTGTGGTATTGGATGTTGCTGGCTGCTCGGTGAGTAACACTTCTATTCTACCTTGGCTTAACGATTATGAGTTTAAGTTCCGTAAACTAGACCAAGATAGCTTTAAATATGTAGCTGCTTCATTGGCTAAAGAAAATTGGAATGGCATTACCTACAATATGTCAGCTGACCTTGCTTTCACATACTTTTTTGATATTTTAAAAGGAACTTTTGATATGCATTTTCCTGAAATAACTAGGCCTAGCCGATCTCTAACTGACGGGTCTAAAAGTACTAAGCAGGTTTCAAATTCTTTTGATCTGCAAAGTAACAAGGAATTAAAATCCCTGAAGGCTTGGGTTTTGTTGCTCCATGACCTATGTAGGGTCACAAATAATCAAACCGAGTATAATAAATTGTATAGCCTATATTTAAATACCAAGAAACAGTATAAGCACTCTGTTAACTTAGCAAAGAAAGTGGCCAATCAAGAATACATAGAGAATGCGATTAACCCTTGTAAAGCGGCATGGAATATAATCAATTGTAATAGAAACCAGTCATCTTCTTTCAAGTGTTCGGCTAGTCCTGATCTTTTCAATCAACATTTTGTGAACTCTGTGAATCGTATTGTGGCAGATACCCCACCTCAGGTCAATGAAGCAGCTGCACAGGTAGCAGGCCTACTTGTGGAAAGGCCTCAAGATTGGGTCCAATGGAAAAGGGTTACCCCGGACGATATTGTAAATATAGTAAATAGGTTTAAGGCTTCTCCTTGTGTTGATGTATACGGGATGTCGTCCATCTTCCTGAAGACTGTTATACGAGCTATTGCCCGCCCTTTGGCTGTAGTTTTTAACTTGTGTTTGGAACAGGGACATTTTCCCAAGGAACTAAAGATATCACGAACTGTACCTGTGTATAAGAAGGGAGATGCTGAATCATTAAACAGCTATAGGCCTATTAGTGTCATTCCTGTGCTAGCTAAGGTGCTCGAGACTATCATCAATAGGCAGCTTCTTGATCATTTTGAAACCAACAATCTGCTGAATAACTCACAACATGGCTTTCGTAGGAAACGTTCAACCATCTCTGCCGTGAGGGCTGCTATTGAGACTATTCACAATGCCTTTGAAACCGAAGAATCCGTACTGTTAACACTATTGGACTTATCTAAAGCATTCGACTGCGTATCGCATGAATTGCTTCTAAGGAAACTCTCCTTGTACGGGTCTGGGGGGGCTGTTCAACGGATGTTTACGTCCTACTTCAGTGGCCGCCAGCAGGTGGTATCAATTCAAGGTGCAAAATCCGGGGTGGCTGCGATTACGAGCGGAGTTACGCAAGGCTCAACACTTGGACCTAGCCTCTTTATCATCTTAATTAATGATTTCAACCTAGAGAGCTATGATGCCCTATTATATGCAGATGACACTACCATTATTAATCGTGGTAGTAACATGGCCAATTTAACAACGGGGTCGAATTTCTGCCTAGGGGAGGCTAAGGAGTGGTTTAGGCTAAACGGACTGCAGTTGAATGAGGGGAAAACTCAGCAGCTGCTCTGCAGCTTGTGGACCCGCCCTGAAGCCAGGTTGGATGGGCCTAGTGTGAGTGCAGTCAAACTGTTAGGTGTTACCATTGATGAGAAACTTACCTGGAACCAGCATATTGATGTAATTTGCAAAAAGTTATCTCGAGTTAATTGTCTCTTAAGGAAACTAAAATCCCAGGTGACGTCTGACTATCTTAAATTAGCCTATTTTGGTTTGTTTCATTGCCATTTAAGCTATGGCTTGGTCTTATGGGGCCATGCTCAGAACACTACTAGAGCTCTGATTATGCAGAAGACTGCTGTTAGAATTTTATCTTCGAGTGGTAGACGAGATCATGCCAGACCACTTTTTGAACAGCTCGGCATTCTCACGATACATAGCCAATACATTCTAGACTGCCTCCTTCTCTTGAAAACTGACCCTAGGCTCCCTCATATTACACAAGACCAACTCCACAATTACAACCTGCGCTCTGCAAGGAATGTGGATGTCCCGAGGTGTAGGTTATCAAAGACCAGGGACTGCTTTCCAGTGTTAGCACACAAGCTCTACAATAGACTGCCCCTTCACATTAAAGAACTCCTTCTTGAACCTTTTAAAACCAAACTAAAACAATGGCTGAGTAGGAAGTGTTTTTATTCCATTGAGGAATACTTTACTACTGCAATGGACTTTTGAGTTGAATCCGGCCGCCATGTAGTGTAAATACTGTAAATATTAGTTTATTATTTCTTAAAAGTAAATTTTTATTTGACAAGATCAATCCAGACATCTGGTCAACGATCGCCAGTTGGTAATGGTAATGGTACTCAACCAAAAAACATAAATTTGATTTATTTTCAAATTCTTGGCTCAATTAAAGATGTATTTCACCAGTTATAATTAGATAATCGTATATATTTTGGTCCAAGAACCTTCGGTGAAATATCGGCTTTCATTTAAGCTATTAGTTATTCAAATCGGACGAGTTTCAAGCAAACGCAAGGTGAACAACAAACATAAAACTCATATTTTATATGGTTTTTCTATGATAAAAACAATAGCTCCAGTATTGTTTGAGTTTTTTATTTATTTTTTAGACTCAAAATAATTAGTAAATTATATGCTTTAATTTGAGCTATTGAATATTTAAATCATTTAAGTTTTAAATACTGTATTACTCAATCAAAAATCATAAATTTGATTATTTCTCGGATATAATATTTATTTCAACGCGTTACTATTTTTTTACTAAATCAACTTCAAATTTTAAATGTAAATAGTGTAAATGTAAAAGGTGTCCCGAAAGTAAACAGCCAAACTCCCAAAAAATTATTTTAATTTAATAAAAAATTTTTAAATGGTGGCCATTAGGAAATTTTGATTGCATTATGATATTTTTTACATGGGTCTGTTTTACCAAAACATACATACCAGGTTTCAAAATGATCGGATGAAAAATGTTTATATAAAGAAAAAAAATGGCGGATATCTGGTTAAAGAAGAGATTTTGGAAAAAATGTTTTTCATGATTTTCTCTTTATTTTGACCTATAGAACCATTTCCCGGAGTTTGGTTGGTTACTTACAGGACACTCTGTATGTATGTGAAAATAGAATTGACACGATAACCCAGAGATGGGCTACAATCAAAGAATTGTGTCTGTGTGCGCAATTTTGGGTAACACAAGGAAAAATATCTTAATGCCTTTAGTTTAAGTAAATTTGAATTTGATGAATATCTGAATGGCAGGGATTGGCGGATATTGGCGTGTTTCTTATAGGAAGACTGGCAGTGTAAATGGGCACTGGTAGAAGAATTTAATTTTTAAATTTACAATTTTTCCTGTTTTGAAGTGCCTATAAAATTCTGTGAATTTTCTTTCCTTAAAAATCTAACTATTTGTTTTTATTTATTTAATTCAATAAATCAAACTGTATTGTTTTTTGTTAATGTAGTTTTTGTTACTTTTCTCAATATCTATCGTATTTTTTTGTTATCTGTTATATTTTTAATTTCAGGAGTAAATTTAACTTTGTTAATGTTGTTGTTTTATATAAACTGTGTTGCCAACCTGGCTGAGGCCCTTCCGGCCGATGCCCAAAGTGTTCCGTTGGGCAGATGCCCTCTGCGTGGTATCTGTGAATGTAATAAACAAAAGCAACAATAAAGCGCTTTTTCATTCAATCATTCATTCAACCAATCAAAGATTTGGTAATGGTAATGACATGTTTTCAAAAAGGTATATTATGAGTTTCTTCAGTAAGCTCTCAAACGAAGCTACACAACAAATATTGGGCAGGTTTAGCCAGGCACACTGTACTTCATAGATATTGGAAAGATTTAAAAATGTTAACTTTGAAAATCAGTTGATAATTCTGAATAATGTTTTGAATGTTAAAAAGTAAACTCGATGTTAAACAGGGTTGTAATTGTATATGGGTTGTGTTTTATTTATCCTGTATATTTGATGCTGGTAATGTAGCTAAAAGTAATCTTTGTGACTCATTCAAGAAAGTGTTTACAGTTCTTACATGAAATCCTGCACTCGACCAGTCTCGTACAAAAACTATCATGCTCGTACTGAAAACACCTACTTCCCAGTATTGTAGCGTAATATACTAAATAAAATATGGTGTATTGAGTTGTACAAAATTAACAACAAACCTTAAGACAGTTAAACACTATTTGAGCAGTCCATCAATTTTCTTTTCTGTAATAGTATTTCTGTCAGTTAAATTCAAAACCCTTAACAATATGTATTTTGAAATACACAATACAATATTTAAATTTTTGTTATTTCATAAAGATGTCTCATAATATAAAAGGGATACTGAAACGGCACTGGAATGTTTTATTTCTCCATGTGGATCAATTTATTTAATCCACGGTCTTCACACAGATATGAGAGAAAAACACCAGTTTGGGTACATATAGTTAAGGAAGGCACTCACCAGCCAGCAGTAGCATGCGCCACGACAACCACCATCGATTTGTTGGTAACCACATGATGACACACTACCCTCATCTCTGTAGGTCCGTGTTCCTGACTGATGCGGAGGGTAGCATTCTTGTGAGAGAAGTGGTACGAGTGGCTGTTATCCAAACTATGCCAGTGATGGTGATCCACCACCCAGCTGGGAAACTTGCACTTCTCGTGACTACTTTCCACTGAAATCAAATAAAATTATTTTCACACTGCTTTCTTCGTATTGGCTTATTTTTTTGTTACTACTCGGCTCTACAATATTATTTTTTTATAGATGTGTGTGAAACAGAATTTAAAGGAATCTACACTGCTTTAACATGTTTAGTTACTACCTAAACCTAAACAGTAAAGTCAATATTGGTTATTTTCTGGGTCATTTAGGTTATATTTGCATTATCCATGTTTTTTATTAGCTAATCATCGTGATGATCAGGAGTTTACTGTAGTTAGGGTATCAATCAATCAATCACAATAACTTTATTCATATTGCACATTTTGTACAGAATGGAGTCAGTTATAAAAACACAATATGTATTAAACTTAAGACTACTTACAGAGAATATTGTTACTATCAAAAAAATCAAATTTCAGTAAGTTGGAAAAAGTCTTCTAATTTATACAAGGGTATGTTGGTGAGAAATAATTTCAAACATTTTTTAAATGAATTAAAATTAGTTATATTTTTTATATTGCTAGGTAAGCTATTGAAATATTTAACACCACAATAAGATGGGATTTTTTCATAAACCGAAAAATTGTGTCTGTTGAATGCCAATACATTACCTTTTCTGGTTGAATACGTATGAAAAGAGTTCAATTTTGGCAATCTTTCATGGTTTGATTTAATATAAAGGGCTATTTGATAAATGTATAAGCTAAAAACAGTCATAATTCCTATTTCTTTAAAGTGCTCTTTTGCGGATTCTTTTGATTTTAGTTTTAACATAATAGGAATTGCTTTTTTCTGAAGTTCCAGAATGCTATTTAGGTTAAAATTTAATGTGCCCCCATAAAGACACAACCCAAAAGAAATGTGTGATTCAATTAAAGAATGAGATACTATTTTTAAGGTTTTTAAACTACTAAATTTTGACATCTGTCTTAATGCAAGTATGCCTGAGTTGACTTTATTTCAACATGACTGTCCCAGTTGAATTTATCGTCTATATATGCAATCCAAGAAATCTTATTGTTTTAACTTCATTTAGTAAAATTGTATCCATAAAAATATTAAAATCAGGTGAATTTTTGCTCATTGAAGAAAAATTGATATATTGTATTGTGTTCACTTACACCGGGTAAGCACCATGGTCTTGCTACCCTCGGTGGGAGTAGTAACACCATTGCAAGTTGCATCTCCACTCTGGGCCACCAAATATGCCAGTTCCGGCCCGGGCTTCTTGGCATACATGAAGCACCTGAAGCTATTAGCTTCTGTAACCAATCCTTGGTTGGACTTTGATTTAATCTTTGCTACCAGATATCTACTGCTACCTTCCTTCCACGTAGCTAGGCAATTCAGCTCCTCCTCTGAAAATGTACAATAATAAATTAAAGAAGAGTGACATCTATGGATGAATTCAAGAAAAAAATATTTAGATTAAATCACCATAAATTGCCTTATCTCTAGATCTTTATCTATATAGATATTTTCAAATTTGTGTTTTTTGTTAATACACGGTATTTAATTCGACTTCATTATTACAAAGAGAGAGAGCTAGAGACTGTGTCCAACTGAATAAAAAAAAGGCTTTTACAATTTTATATGTAATTGGAATTATGTGTTATGAATTAGAAAATTACTATAAAACCTTGCTGTAACACGTGGTTTCAAGCATTAGCTTTTAAAATACAGTAGGACCTTGATATCTCAAAACTGAAGGGTTAAGGGTAAAAGATTTGAGTTTTATAGTATTTTGATCAAACAAAGTTTGAGTTATAATACTGAAAATTCAAGATACTGAGGTGTTGAATCCTCACAATGATATTAAGTCACAAACTTCATAGCTTAACCTTTACACGCTATACCTTTATAATTTGAGCTCAAGCTATTTCAACAAACACAGCTGTAACCAAGCAATAAATATCAATATTAAATTACTTAGAAACAATTGATAAATAACTGGATACATTACCTTCGTGTTCAGTGCCATGAATGTCTGGACATGCAGCAAACTTCATTAAGAGTCTGGAATCGTCTGTACAAGAGTCTATACGAGAATAGGGTTGGGAGCAGTCTCCCGTACCTCTGTTGTACGACAGTTTGTACGGAGGAGATTTGAATGGGCAGGGGATAGTAGTAGCATCATCTGCTCTGAACATTGACAGCAACGGCTGGTCACCAGCAATGTCGTGGCACAGCTCCTCCAAACTGTCGATTTGTAGGCACGAGCCTAACAAGTGTGCAAATGTTTTAAAACCAACTTCGTAATAGTATATTTCAGGCCAAGAATCAACAATGATATTTTGTATACTTGATGTTGTGTTTTGCAGACAAAACATGAGTAAGAACTTGAATAAAGCATGAGCTGGAAAAAAAACTCTATTGTCCAAGTTTAAACCCTTTTTTTAGCACACAATTAAAAAATACTATCATCAAAGGACAAAATATTTTTATATAAAAAAAAACATCAATATTACAATGGATTTTTTGAGAGGATAGTAGGAAATGAATGGGAAAGAGTCCAAACTGGCACAGGAAATACACAACTGTACACTATATACACAAAACATTAGAATATTTCACTGTCCCTGACAGCATTTTCAACTAAGGAAGAGAGAGTTTTCTTTATGTCCAAAACGGTGGCCAGTGAGTTGTTGAGACGACAGTGTTGCCAATAGTATGAATTAATTGGTGTTGTTCTGATTTGTCAAAGTAATTTTTGTGGCTTCAATGGAGTTTGTTTTGTAAATTCTTGAGAAAAACACAGATTAATTCATATACAATTGGCAACAGTGTCTCAACAACTCACTGGCCACCATTTTGGACATACCACTGTTCTGTGGTTGAAACTAATTTATTGAATTAAACCTTTTTTAATTTTTCAGATATTTTGTTGATTGTTAGAGTAGAAGAATCTGGTCTTAAAATGTTCAGAAAACAAACTTAGACAATGGACTAATAGCAATATAGACAATAAATAAATATAAATAACTCAATTAAAAAAATTATCTACTGTATTTCAATTCTCTTTTTACTTTCCGCTTCACATATTCATGATTGCTCTAGAGAATTAATTACTTGTATGACCTGGCAGACTGTGTATTAAGACATGTCAATGAAACATCCTCTATTCTTGTGAAGGATAGAGATTTATCTGTTTGTCGTCTTACTAATTTGTACAATATAAGTTTGTAAAAAGAAGTCAATACTTACTTTCTTTGTATTGGATAACATTATCGTGTCTTTTGTACACAGCTAGGCATCGTTTACATGATTCCTTCTCGAACCTGGAAGGAATTTAGTATATTATAAACTATCTTGTAAATGTTTTATGCTTTCTTAAAGAATAATTCAATGAAGATTATAGAATTTTGAGATAGAAATAAAACAGCACAGGCCTTGTATCTTTCTATTAGTTTTATTTTGTATTTAGATTTTTTTAAATTAGGTACCTATACAATTAAATTTGTTTAGCCCTGATTTACTTTTTAAATCTTGAGACAATTTTATTCAGTTATTAGTTGCTTGGTGATCAGTATATAATGTTTTTAAACTGATTGTTTCATTTATTCATTATTTTGCCTCATGAACTGTTATTCAAAGTATTATCTAGGTTACATACCTTATACAGTCAAAACAGTTCTAAATTCAGTCACTAAAGGACGATGCGCATTTCAGAGCTTTTAAGCTCTATCTTCAGGTCTGTGGATACATTTATCAATTGATCTTGCAGATTCGTCAAAATTTTTAAACATTAAAAAACACATAACACTAACACATAATTCATTATATTTATACAGGTACATGTGCCGGCCAGCGATAGATCCCGACTCAGTCGGGATGAGTCGGGATCTATCGCCGGCCGGCACATGTACCTGTATAAATATAATGAATTATGTGTTAGTATTATGTTAATGATTAAACATTTTGACCTGAAGAATAGAGAAGACCTGAAGATAGAGCTTAAAAGCTCTGAAATGCGCATCGTCCTTTAGTGACTGAATTTAGAACTGTTTTGACTGTATAAGGTATGTAACCTAGATAATACTGATTGTTTCAACCATGTACAAACATTGTACTAGCTTGCAATGGTGGCTTCTACAGTAAATGCCAAATGTTTCCAAGGAGGTAAAAAGAAGTACAGTAACCCCCTTTTAACTTGCACTCCATTAAACCAAAACCCAAAGAGCAATAGTACCTCATTACAGTAAAACCCCTCATATCCGGCCTACGTGGGACCGAGCTACTGGTCGGATAACATTTTGGCAGGATAAACCAACATACTATTAAAATGATAGTTTATATCTAATAACAACTTGTGATTGGTTAAAAGTAGTGTTTAAGTCTCTTTTTGGAGTCTATTAGCTCAACTGAGTAGTGAACCCGCTAAAAATGTACATGAACAGGAAACACATAAACCGTGAGAACGCTCAAATCATGGGAGACTACGCTACAGCCGTGGGAAATATTTTTTGTATTGATTCCGGAAAGTGACCGGATAAACCGAGGACCGGAAATTCTGAGGCCAAATTGCGAGACACTTCAAAAGTTATTACTTTAAAGAAAAGAACTCAGCTGATCAAAAACCATGATTTCAAATAATTTTTATATTACAGGAATGATTGATATTGGGTGATAACTTTCCAGAATGTGATACCTTTTTTTGAAAATGGGACAGACTCTGGTGATGTTTAACTCATCTGGAAAGACAAAAGACTTCCTTTAACTTAAAGGAGACAAGAGATTAAAGCAGTAAGACAGAGGTTCAGCTAGATTACCAATAATCTGTTTAAGGTGTTTTTAAATTGTTAGACCTTTAAGATAAACATCATTAATGCTAGAGGTTTTTATTTTTTTGTGGCTTTTATTTGATCATTGGGTGTGATAAAATTGCAGGAAAAAGGCACAGGAGTGATAGAAGACTTGTTGACTAAATCTTTTGAGCTGTAAGCATTAAAACAATTTACATTTTTATGTTTTCAACTGATAAAGAGACATTGGAAATATCAGGAGAAATGTTGGGTGTTTTTGAATTGATTAAAGAATTGCTACTGGTTTTAATGACTTGCCAAGCAGTTTTACATTTGTTATTACTTTTTTCTAAGAGATTTAGGCTATGTTATATTATATTTTGTCTTTCTTAACCTTCCAGAGGTCGCATCACGGAAATAACCTCCAGGGATGTTTTATTTTTCGCAATTATATTATTTTGAGTGGTGTCGGCAGTGTGAGTGTCACTGTACACCTCACGCACCTCATTCCTAGAATCGAGTGAAGGTCAAAACTCACCCCTACTATTTTATATTTGTTAGTTTTGTTCAGTTTTGTAAGAGGCTGGAAGTAGCTTCCGTGTGCGCTCTGCCGATTCTTGTACAGCCTGGAGGCAACTGCCGTGTGCGACCTCTAGTTTAGTGTGTGTGTATTATTGCATGTAAATAACTACTGTAAATAATTATTTTTTACGATTCATGACATTATTTAGTAAATATATAGTTTTTACAAGATGAGTGAAGAAGTTAAAATTCAAATTGCAACACTCTTAGCCATCATACTTAAAACATCAGGTATTGTGAGTGTTATCATCTAGAACCACATTATAGGACATTGTGGTAAAATTATATTTAATTTCTTGAATATATTCCTGTAAACGATTTCTTCATATACTTTTATGTTACAAAATTTGATAGAATAATAGTTTAATTTTATAATTATATCATCTAATTAAGTTATTTTATAATTAAGGGTTCACTAAACACATTTTTTATGTTTAAAATTAAAAATAAAACTTAATTTGTGCACTAAAATACAAATTTTATTTCATAAATGTTTGTTTTTATTGACCTGGAAGTAACCTCCAGGTGCGCCCTCTCCCGTTTTGAAAACCAATGCGCCCTCTGAAAGGTTAATTGAATGCTTATATAATTGATTTTTTAAACTCATTACATGCTTGTTTTGTTTAATTTGAAACACTTTGACTTTTTTTACTATTTATAAAAAAAATTTATCTTTTTCATACTCCTTAATTCACTATTATACCAAGCATTACTTTTTGTTGTTTGAAATTTTTTGTTTGAATTTGTATTACTTTAGAAAAATAATAAACATTATCATTTAAAACTTTGAAAAACATTCTAAAAGTATTTTCTGCTGTTGAATTTATAACATTGAGCACATTTATCCAATCATAAGTACCAAGCATGTCTCCTTACAGACCAACCAAATCTTTTGGGAAAACTACTTTAGTAAAAGAGTTTAAAACATATTGATCCACAGGTTAAGTGTAAGAGAGGGCCATGTGTCCCTAACTTTGCCTGTACAAATAATTCATTTTCATTTCATTTCATTGATTAACGTAATTTTTCTCAAATTCAAAATCATATTTAATAGTAGGCCATTTGAAGTAGATTTGACATGCCTATCAAAGTTTGTCGGAGCTCCTTAGTGTTGGTGTGATGTTTATAAATATATCTTTTATTTAGGCCTACCAGAATATTTTGGTCAAAAATTGTCTTTAGGTCAGATAACTTAAGTAAAAATGACAAATAAAACTTAGGGTATTGTTAAGTTTGTTTGTACTTGCCTTTCATTAACTACGTATTTGTCATTACTTTTTTCAACACATTCTCCTTTAGATTCAAAATATGAAGAGTTGATATTAACGTGTCCGACTTGTTCTGCTTGAAACCATCGACCTGTCCAGTCTGATGGGAACGAACATCCACCTGTTGAACAAAAACTTCCAATTATCTATTGTTAAAGTATACCATAGGCCAAGTCAAAAAAGAGAACAATTTGTGCTATCAAAAAAGAGAACAATTTGTGCTATAATTATAATAATCAACAAGAAAGCTGTTACAGCAAAAGCCAGTTGTATACTAAGCTTCATAAAAATAAATCTTTATTTGAAACGAGTGCCAGATTTACCACTAGGCAGACTACGAAAAAAAATTATTCTTTTCTAACATGAAAAGTTCATCGATCTTGAAATTAAGGCTAGGATCACATTGGAAGCAAGCTTGCACAAGCTTTTTGGTGGCGTGTGCGTGTGCAAGCTTGTGTGAACAGCGGTGTGCCCACACTGAATGCAAGCAGTTGAAAGTTAGTCATTAGAAAAAGGTCAGTCGAAATGGATATGTGAGACGACAAGGATATTGTTTTAGAAAGTGGTATGTTTAAGTTTTTACTATGGATGAACAAGATATTAGGGAGGAGTGTGTAAACGAGTATTTTGTGGACCTAGAAACATATGCACGAATCTTCAACGACTTGCTAAGAAAACCTGAGAAGTATTTATGATACTGATGGGAGTGTTAATATTTTCAATTCTTTGAAAAATGATTTACATGATTGTCTGTGTTTTGAAAATGTCATAATTCTAACAATCTTTTTACAACTTTGAAAGTGGTTTTTCGGCATTTGAGCAGCTACCTCAAAACCATCGAAGCATTTCTCGCATGCGAGGTTATGACTCTCATATATGTAAGCTGAAATTTCTCTTTTCAATCTTATTTTGAACTTGATCAAGTGCATTGTCAAATGTTGAATGTGGCATCCCCAAAGCGTAACAAATGTGTTTGAGAAAGTGATGGTCACTAAGTTATGGAAATTCCTAGAGAGTAATAATATAATTACTAAGGAACAATATGGGTTCTTGAAGGGGAAGTCTATCTGCTATGTATGACTTCATAACTGGAGTCGTAAATGAGCTCGATTCCAGAATTGTTCAGCAGGGCTTTTCTTTGACCTCAGTAAAGCATTCGACACTGTCGATCACAGGTTGTTGCTAAAGAGAATGAGTGAGGCAGGAATACGAGGCCTGGCCTTAAACTGGATTTCGATTTTCGAGTTACCTTGAAGGCAAAACAGTTTGTGGAGATCCGTTCAGCAGATGAGACCGGACTCTTGCGTCCCAATTCCTCTGTCAAGTCCTCCAAATTGAGGGGTGCCCCAGGGTTCTGTACTCAGGCCTGTCCTATTCCTCCTTTTTATAAATTCCCACCCTTCATGCACTTCAGCTGCAAAACCCACACTCTTTGCCGATGACACATCCGGCACATCCCTTTCAGTTTCCGGCTGGGTTATCGATAGGTTAGGGTTGAGTGCCTTTTCTGAGGCAAACAATTTAGTACAATGGTTTGATGATAACTTGTTATCCTTAAACTCCGAAAAACCCCAACTCATCAATGTTTCCATAACCAAAAAACACCACAAGAGTTTTAGCCTTTTCATAGATGAAATAGTGGTGCACTCTGCTGACAGAGTTAAGTTCTTAGGATTAGCCCTAGACAAAGGTCTTAGTTTCAAGGATCATATAGAAAGCATTTCAGGAAAGATCAGCTCTGGAATATATATTTTACGTAGTCTGAAAATCACAACAAATTACGACGTTCTGATTTCAGCATATTATGGCCTCGTCTACCCCCACTTGGCGTATTCTGTACCAATTTGGGGTCATGAGAGTGGAAACACCAAGTTTTTATTCAAACTCCAAAAATGGGCAGTGTGAACTATTTTTCACTGCCTAAGCACCAATATTGCAGAGATTTCTTCAAGAAATATAAAATTTTAACTTTCCCCAGTTTATATATCCTGCAAACATAAACTTTTGTCAAACAGAATTTGTCTTTATTTTTAGTCTCAAATAAATCTTTAGCCTGTCCATACCCTCTGCGAAATTCACATGATTTACCTGTTCCAAAATATGCAACCAACTTCTTCAGAAAGCATTCACTCTAATGGCATTAAATTACACAATATTTAACTTATCCTGGTCCCTTAAGTTGGAATCAAACCAGTTAATGTTTACAAAACGGTTAAAAGATCATCTCATTAACTCCTCATGTTACAGTGTCAAGGAGTTTTTTTTTCAATTTGTAATAGAGACTGATGAGCTCAACTTTCCTCTTGTAAATAGATGGTAAGCTGATTTGTAACTATATTTTATCTAGGCTAAGATGAGTTGTTCTTTGTTTTGTGACTTGGCTAATGCAATTATTTTGTTAATCTTTTACCTGAACAAACAAATTTGAAATTTGAATCTGATGGCGCTGCATGCACGGGGGACGATCAAGATGACCACGGAATATGTTCATGATTTTTCTACAATATTGGATGATGATGATAATGTCTCAGCAACCGCAGGAGATGTCTATGAGTTTTCCGAAACCACATAATATGTTCACAATTTCCCGTCATGAGGAGGAGATTGTGAGAGAAATATGTCCATTTTACGACCGCAGGAGATAACAATTTCGCTACAATCGTGGTAGATGAAGTACAATACTCATCAACTCTTAAACAAAATGTAAGGAACGTCGTCCACTCACCACAAGCGGGTCTGTACCCAACTTAACACTAACACTAGGCACGATCACGCCACCAACGTACACCAGTAGGCCTACACCCGTCTATACCAGTTTTTTTACACCAGACACAAAAACTCTCTTCCTCACTGTTCGGGATCCACGACTCGAATGTCCGTCCTAGACTGTCCTGAAAATCAAGGATACCCGAGGCTTATCGGAACTGATATGCCGGGTCAAAGGGCAGTAGCTCGTTCGCCGCTGCTGCTTGTTGATGTCAACAATAGGTGCAGGGTTATAGAACAATATCTTACCCCACTAGGAAAAACGGCTCATTACAGCATTCTTTATTCATAGGGTACCCACATCCTTCTGTTTTCCATGTTGCGATACAGCAGCTGTGTGAAATTCCACAACAAAAGAATGGTCTGTTTCTCAACATTCATTGTGCCTTGATAATTGTACATCAGAGACACTAATACCAACCGATGTCAGTCATCAGTTAACACTACGAGACCACACTCGCAAATACTGAATGTGAAACCTCTTTGATGCTCTGAAACCTGAACTTTAATGCAGCCTTACTTTCTGCTGAGTGTCCGGTTTGCAACATGGTGAGTCGAGCGAATTGCCTCGAATGCTGTAATGGCTGGCCTAAGAAGACTCTAAAATAATATTTCTATATTGTTTAAGGTTTCTTTTAATTTAAACTTACCAAATGTTGTAACGAAGAGCGATGGAAGTATTAGAAGTTGCAACCATCTTGAAACTTTTATATTTCTCCAATAATAGTATCTGGAACAAAGTAGATACAAATGACCTTCATATTCAAATAAGTTTAAATTTATGTTCCAAACAGAGTAGTTTCTTACGTGTTTTTGTTCATATGATGGTCTATATAACTTGATGTTTATTTAAGGAAACTGGACCACATTCACCATCAGCTGTCCTATGACCTGAGATACATTAGAGTTAGTGGCCTGGTAGGGAGCGTAATTACATGTTATGTAATAGTTTTGATAATGTTACCGAAAGCTTTGTTATCTTTAAAGGAGTCCTTTTAAAACAAGCCTTTTATTATTTCGAAACCAACAACCAACAGAAGGAGGTACAAAGAACTTCGAATCTAAGATACATAAGACCCTTATAATGAAAGTGGGGTCTTTGCCTTAGGCTACGCTGATGATGTTGCAATCCTTGTGGTTGGAAAGTTCCACAGAACCATAACTGATCTCATGAACAGAGCTTTAAGAGTGGTGAACCGTTGATGTCATGAAGTTGGGCTCTCCATTAATCCCAGGAAAGTTGTAATGGTACCCTTCACAAGAAGGAGGAAACTGGAAGGGATTGGCCCACTAATACTGCAGGGTACTGAAATTGAGCTGCAGAATCAGGTGAAGTATCTAGGTGTAATTTTGGACATAACACATCACTGGGGACCACATCTTTAAAGAGTCATTGACCGTGGCAAGTGGTCCCTATTAGCATGCAGGTGGATGGTAGGCGGAACTTGGGGGTTACAGCCTAGACTCTTGCATTGGTTGTACGTATCTATTCTGTTGTCCGACCTGCCTTGACATACGGTTCGCTTGTGTAGTGGCCTAAAATGGAATCTACTGCAGCTGACAAAGCTTTAGCAGGAGTTCAGAGGCTTGCTCTTCTAATTATAACTGGGACAGTAAGTAGCAATCCTGGAGCGGCCCTAGATTGTCTGCTTGATATGCTACCCATCAACATTTTTATAAAGGAGGTAGCAAGAAAAACAGCCCTACGCCTTAGATGCGAAAACTTGGACAACCACAGGAAACAATAAAGGGCACTCTAAAAATTATTGTTCAGGTGGTACATGGCAATGAGTTGGACCTGCCTTCAGATCACACAAAAAAATACTCCTTTGGAAAGCCTTTCAAAGTAGGCCTACTATTACCAGATAGGAAGGATTGGTCTAGCGGAAAAGGGCCCATCCCCGTAGGTGATTTAGAATGCTATACTGATGGTTCTGAGATCAAAATGGGGGCACTGGAGCAGGTGTGCATTGGAAAAAGAAGGCACCGGCATTTGTCTTCCCATGGACAAACCTAACTGTTTTTCAAGCGGAGGTCACTGCTGGTTTGTGCTCGAGAACATCTTAACAAAGAGATTAGAGACAAAACAATTAACATCTACACTGATAGTCAAGCCACCTTAAAGGCACTCAACTCTTACAAATTCAACACAAGGCGCGTGTGGGATTGTCTTGCTTCTGTGTCTGAGTTGGGTAGGAGGAATGATCTTACGCTCTGCTGGGTGCCTGGACACTCAGGCATTAAAGGAAATAAAGCCACAGATAGACTGGCAAATGCCGCCTCTGTGACAACAATGATTGGCCCACAACCCTTCTGTGGCATTTCACGAAAAAGTGTATGTTATTCAATTGTCATGGGCCAACGAAATGCACCACAAACGCTGGGTTGATACTCCCCTCAGCAAGCTTACTCTGTTTAGGCGAATTGATAACTGGCCACGGGCTATTCAGGAAACATTTACAACGGATGGGCTTATTTGATGGTGAACCTATCTGAAGGCACTGTGATAGGTCAGAGAAGACAGCCGATCACCTGCTCTTTGATTGTGATGAGCTCTCTGATGCTAGAAGGACAACATGCTTGGCAATGTGGCAAGAGGTAGATATCTTCCCGAAGAGGAACTAATTGGGAAACTACAGGCTTTCATCGGATGCCTGAATTTGTAAGGTCTATCAAGGAAACAATTGTTTTGGGGTGCGCAATAATTCAATTTTCGGATGAAGTGCTTCATGGTCTCGGCCTGCCCCTGTTAGATAAGATCAAATAAGATAAAGAGGGAGTCTTTCCAAGTTCACAAAAGATTTCCAGTCATTCCTGTATTTAAGAAAGGGGAGAAGTATCAATTGAGAAATTATCAGCCCATCTCCTTAGTGCCAATAATTGGGAAAGTAATTGAAGCAGTCATTAAACCTCAGGTATGTAAATACTTAGAAGTAAACAAAATAATTTCTAATTGTCAATTCGGTTTCCGCAAAGGAGTGTCTACGGTGGATGCTCTAGATAACATTATATCTGCACTTCTGAAGGCCTTTGAAGAAAATCAGCTTTTGATTGTATTAATCATGACAAAAAATTGGAGTTCTATGGCATCCACGGTGTTCAACTTCAGTTTTTCAAGTCATACCTAAAAGGTAGAACTCAGTTTGTCGATACAGACGGCAAGTGGTCTAGTGTCTCCCAAGTGGAGGCAGGGATACCCCAGGGTTCCATAATGGGCCCTATACTTTTTTTCTTGATGATAAACTACCTACCTCGTAATATATCGGGCTCAGCCACCACCATTTACGCAGATGACACCAATTTTTTTAATGTGCACCCATCTTTTGATGAGCTTTTGTTAATGGCTGGTAATACTCTTAACAGCGCTTGTACATGGTTTAATGCAAATGGTCTTTGTTTGGATAAGGATAAAACACAGAATCTTGTTCGCTGTCTTAGAAACATACCAGATATACCTCAAGTTGGCACTGAAAATGTTTAAAATGTCTTGGGAATTAAAATTGATAAGGACCTTAGTTGGTCAAACCACCGAGTTGTTCCTGAAACTTACATCAGGACAGCCTATTTTGACTTTTTTCAATCAAATATGCGCTATGGCCTGTTGTTGTGGGGAAATAGCAGTCACATTGCTGATGCTTTGTTGCATCATACAATACATCATACATTTGTTGCATGATACAAGTTGTAAAAAAATGTGTTAGAATCTTAAATAAAGCTCCCTTGAGGTTCAATTCAATTCAATTCAATTCGTTTATTCACGGCAGAAGCCATTGTACAATAATGCCATGTTACATACGGGAGATAACAAGCAATAATAAATACTAAATAATACAACAAGCAATAATAAATACAAAATAATACAATAGGTGAATACAAGATGCATAAGAGAGGTTTACACATACATTGCAAGTATTTGTTTGTAAGAAGTAAGCTGCTAACTGGGATAAATCTGTATATATTTGTCTGTTCACTCAATTAAAAAAAAACACATAAACGCTCATGTACCTAGGTCAATCATACACAACCACGATACTATAGTTCGGCCGCTTAGAAAGCGACCTCCTCCAGCATTGGTTTAGCATTAGCGCGCAGGTCGTTTTCTAAGCGGCCGAACTATAAAAATGAGCATTCTTCAGATGTACCTTACTGTAGGCTAAGTAAAACTCATGACAGCTACCATTGTACTGGTTTACAGCTTTTTAACACACTTTGTGCCGACTCCAGAAAACTGGAGTTTAAGATATTTAAAGAGAGATTGTACCGCTGGTTGGTAGTAAACCCTTTTTATGATACAACAGATTTCTTCAAATTGATTTGTAAACTTTGTGTAGCCTATTTTAAATTTTTACTAGATTTAAATCCTGGCTGTGATTAGATTATTATCTGAGCAAAATTGTATTATTGACTACGTCGTTTTTGAATACTATTGATGTTTTTAAGATTTTCAATCAATGTACGGGGAGGGCCTCCCCCGGAAAATATTTAAATATAGTTACAAAATGGTTGATAGAAAATGGAATATAGCTGAATGTTGATAAACATTTTTAAAACTAGGCCTAAATTTGCATTGCCGGTTCAATTTTTTTTTGTTGCACAAGCTGAAAATGAAGTTAATGTGGTAGGCCTATCTCATATTAGCCCATTTCAGTGATTGTATTTTTAAGATAGGTAGGCTACCTGATAGGCAAGGGTTGCCATACCCCCGGATTTCCACGGAGATTAACGGATTGTATCGTTCTAATTTAAGCCCCAGGGGATTTCTGAAAAAAGTGAGAAATCTCCTCTTTTTTTACTCTCTACAATATCTAAAGATCTAAGAATTAAATTTCTCAAAGTTTTTTGCTGTAAATATATGTTTTGTGTAAATAGTATTGACGCCATCTATCCAGTTATACTGGTCAACGATGAAGAGAAAAGTATGAAGTAAGTAAGTAAGTATAGGCTACATTGTATAGCGGCACTTTTGAAATAAAATAAATGTAGGCTTAATCGCAAATATTGTTACGGTATGCAATGACTGAAAAATGCAACTCTTGTACTTACTACTCTCTACTAACTTTTTTTTTATAGGCTATTCATTAGTTTCACTTTGGCCAGCAACGTCTTAGTTAATCGTCTGTTTAATTGCTCCCGGTCCTTCAATTCGCGTCTGCCGGCCAGTCCGAAGGTAACTTATCCGTGTTCACTACCAAAGTCGAACCGAGTCTAGCAGACAGAGAGCAATTTGTTTACGTTATTTGTTAGGTATTTTTAGTGAGATGTGACAAACAAGATGTAAATTTTATGCTTTCACGTGTACCATATTTGAATAGGCCTATTGACAATGTAGCATGAATATTGAACAGAAACGGTATGGATTAATTAACATAAACAAATGACGTCACTGGCCCAAATGTCAATACTTATAGCCGCATTGGACGTTTTTTGACAGTTCCATTTAAATACTGTATTAATAAAAACATGTTTACTTTCGGGCCAGTTATATAAGTTTGCTTATTTTTATGATAGGCCTACCGTACTATTTCTTTTATAACATTAGTGCTACCTAGGTTACCTATATAATTTTGCTAGCCCGTAAATTTGTATCTACTGTAACTTAGTGGGGAACACCAGCTAAAATCTCCTCTTTTTTATAAATTACCATATGGCAACCCTATAATAGGCTCTAACATACTTCTGATTGTATCCAGCCTACGCCTACTGAGCTAACCTAATCAGCCTAAGGCATAACTCATCCTAAAATAATATTAACATAGCACAATGATTTCTTACCTCATGATGACATAAAGTAGGACTAGATGCTTAAGGAAATGTTAAAATATAGCCAAAGCAAGTTGTATCTGTTAGTAAGGGGTTTTGTTTACATCGGAGTTTCTTGAAATCATCTGAGTAAGCAGCCTATCGTGGTGAAGTCCAGACACAAAGGCAGTTTTCGAAGTCAGCAAATAACAACCAGCCCTAAATGCTGGAGGAGAATGTTGCATCTGAATTTTAAATGCGAATCTGATATGTCAGGTCTAATAAGGGGCAATATCACAATTACGTTCACAGGTAAGACTTTAGGTAACCACGCCCATAGGCCTAGTTGAAAATAGATTCATCTGTCAAGTTCACGCATAAAATATTGCAATACACCACTCATAAAATGTCTTATGACTAATAAGTCATACAAAGTGCACACTATCTGTTATCATAAGATAAACACTAGTCATCCGTAAATTATTTTAATCGGGGGATCTTGTTAACCTCATCTCCACACATTCTCGTATTCCTTTAAACATTTAAGCGCTATGATATGGAACAGAGTGACATTCACTGATGGAATTGGAACCAAAAGAATAGTTGGTGAATTTGGAGTTTAGACAGTCTATTCATTAGTAACACCCTTCACACGATGACAATATCGATATTGAGAAACTAGAAGAACCACAACCACAATATCACCTCGGACTCGGACATCGACATCATATTCATAAACATAGAACGAAAAAAAATAAGTAAGCTCTAAGCAAGCTAAGCTCTCTCCTCAATCAGAATCAGTGTTGCCAATCCCTTTTTGGCAAATTACCCTCAGTCCAGCCCAAAATTACCCTCGAATACCCTCGAAAACCACCAACGTCGCAAAACTAGGAGTTTTTACATTACTGGGCCCTGTTTCGAATATAAATTATATTTAAGTGTTGAAAATAAACAAATTACAAGAAACTAATGGAATAATAATTATTTCCACTCGAGTTCTGCACCCACGGGCACCTCAGCTTGTGCATGCGCAGAAAGCTTTTGCTGCTCTTGGAGCACTTTCCGAGGTAACTGTTACTTGCACTTCTGCTTCTGATGTGTATTAGCTTCTCACAGCTTTCCTGTGAAACTGTAATCTACAAATTTCACACATAGCTCAACCTAACCTAGGCCTTTATTAACAATCACTCTTTCTTGAGGAATCCGAAAAAATAGATTAAGTAAACAGTTAAAACTTCAATTCGTAAATAATTCATGCATACACATCAATTTGTCAATATAGTACTTATTTAACAAATCACTTTAGCTTCAGAACACTCAATGCTCGTAGCAATTTTTAATAAATCATAATATTGACTTTCATTCAAGCAGCTCAGGTCAATTAAATAAACAAACACCGGAACACCTTCCCTTCACATTTACAATGCACAGTTCGCAACTGCAACTGTTGAAAACTACTATCTAACCTGGTTCAAGAAAGATATACAAATAGCTGTTATCCCAGGAACTGTTCTAAGTTCCAAGGCTTTCTGTGTAAGTGGAAGCATATAGATGCCCTTGGGTACGGAACGTCGAGTATACAATTAATTTACTAATAGATCGTACAAACACTCATAAATCATGTATCAGACGACTGTGCAACACATTCCATAGAGAAATAACAATTATGAACGTAAATTAATTATTATTACTGTATTAATATATGTTGCACTCGGGTTGTTCAAAATACCCTTTTTTACCCTCAAAAATTAATTACCCTCGAAAATACCCTCGAAGGCCCAAATTACCCTCGAAAAGGGTAATTACCCTCGAATTGGCAACGCTGCAGAATCAGCTTTGCGATTTGTCTGCTCTTGCTCTAGATACGTTCTTCTTCTAGCTCCAAAAAAAGTCACATTTTTTTCTAAAATTTATCTGCCATGATAATATCATGTTAATACATTATTTTTTATATTTTATTTTACTATATAAAATAAATGCAGGGTTGGACAAAAGTATGGACACCCCCTATTAAATTTTTAATCGGTTACACCAGGAAACCAAACTCTGCACACCTGTATATTGCATGAAAATGCACTTTTTGTTGGGATTCCAATTTCGTCAAAACCCCCAAAATGGGTTATTTTGGGGACAACTAAATATTTGTAATGCCAAGCCCTATCAAGTGACGCTTCATTTAAAGGCCATTCGTTTTAAAGAATATCGGCGAGAATCAGGTCTCTATCTAAAATGAAGAGCTTTAAAAAATAAATTAAAATAAAATGCTTTATTTTCTATTAGGCATAATGCAATATAGGCATCGTCAAGACAAATAGCAATACATACAAATTTCATGGAATTAAAACTACAATGCAAAAATCACACAGCAAACAAAACCAAAAGCACAATAAACCTTACATACATAAAACTACTGGCAAAAAACAATTAATCCATTACTTACATTGGAAAATCCTACTCAATGTCTCCTTTGGAATGTCGAGGAAATCGTTGGTGTCATAAAGTTGGAAAGCCAATAAAAGTGCCCGGAGGTTGTTTTCAAATTTTTTGTTGCTTTGGTTCCAAGAGAGGTAGATATGTCTGCAGGCAAGGGGCATCATACTCAGCATTTGCTAGAATTCTTACTGGTCTTTCTTGGATTAGCAAGACATCATTAATTTCAGCAGACCCAAACCAGAGTCTAAGTCCATACAAAAGGACTCCTTGAAAAAAGCTACATATAGGTTTTTTTAACCCGTTTTTACTCAGAAAACTTTTGAGAATTCACAAAAGAAAGATAACTCTGGAGAATTTACTGCATACCAAGGTTATATGAGGACTCCAAGTCAGTTTCGTATCAATGACAATACCCAAGAGAACAGAGGTCACATCATATTTAATGTTTTTCAGTGTAAAGACCAAAGATTGTGTTTTGGCTTCATTGAGAGACAAAAAGTTATCATCAAACCGAGGCCTGCACAAGAGATTGCTCCATGAGTTCCACAAGATTTTGTAATTTTTGAGCTATGAATCAGTATTGTGTGTCATCTGCATAACAGACCACACCACCTTCAACATGACTGGGCAAATCATTCGTCATTATTATAAATAGCGGAGGCTCGAGGGCAGACCCCTGCGGAACACCATGGGAAACAGGTCGAGACCGAGAGCACAGGCCATTGTGGACAGTGCTTACGTCCCCCAAGTATGACCATAGATAAAACATACTCTTTGTATGTTTTATCTATGGTATGACTAAAGCAGCTGGAGTTCAACTTCAACACCACCGATTCCGTAATCACAACGCAATACAGTATGGTGGCCGTTTTTATTTGTCATCAGCCTGATAGACCCCATGTAAAAATACACATCCATATCCCCTATTAACGTTTTTATGTGTTGACCAGGAAAACTAAACTCAGTACTGTAACGAGAAATTGAAAACTACTTTTTGGTCGTTATGACAATTTTGCCCGGGACCCCAAAATGGGGGTTTTTGGGAGAAGCTCTCAAAATCTTTAATGCTAGCAGTACACTATTGCCGAATGATCGGCCGATTGTTTCGCCAAATTTTTGACTCTAGTTGCGACTGCGACCACGACTGCTGCCGAACGTGAACCACGAGCAGTACTATAGTACAATTCGCTTGTCCATGTTCGCTGAACATCCTTGCTGGTGGTTATATTCGGCGATAGTGTACTGCTAGCATGAAATATAAAGCCCTGTCAGTTAAAACATCGGTGAAAACCAGGGGTCTATCATTCTCGATATGAATAGCATAAGGTCATGTCCATATGAATTTTGATGCAAATTTAGCATTCAATATAAATATAGAACTAAATATAGATTGTTTTACATTTTTGTTTTTGTGTGATATTTTAAAATTAAAATTAATCAAAATTGAACTAAAACAATAGATATTTAAGAATAAGAATATGTTTATTGTCTTTCAGGCTACATAAGCATTTACAAAGTCGAATTTACAGCAGAAATGCCAAGTCTCTATTTGTGTAATTAGTGTGCAAAGTGGCAAAGAGACTTTGCACTCGTGTTATGCATTACATATTTTTCCTACAGCTACCTACTATAAAGCATAAATAATATGGGTAATTGTATGTATATATTAACAGGTTAACTTTTAACTTTTACTATGCAGTTTCACAAATTAAAAAGAATCAAAACCTAAATGAAATTATCTCACAAACCAATAAAAACCTAAATGAAATCGTTTCACAAATTAGCAAATACAAATATGAATGAAATTTCACCAACATAATGAATCGAAATCTGAATAATGGAATGACAAAAATAAACACTGCACCAGCTGATCAATTTAGCAGTGTTGGCTACTTGTTTTCAAGCATACCGGAGGCTGTGAGCTAGTGTGACGGGTAGTAACCAAACATTATTTTCTAAATCTTGGGATTATATTTCAAAAGTAAAAGACCTGGTATGGATTTCACAATTCTTATACCAGTGTCAGAACATTGTCATTTAGTAGACAGAATTCTTGATGACATGTGACATATAATAATTAGTCGAGTAATTTACTAATTACACTATTATTAATCAACAATTACTATGATTTTTAAGGAAACAGCTGAATAATGTAGATTTTGTAAAACATATTTTTGTTATAACTTTTTTATTACTTAAGATACAACTTTGTACCTAACAACCTTTTCTATTGGCCATATGGTTTTGATAAAAACTAAGACTACGTTTTGACCGATGTCCCATCTCGTACCGTTCTGGAGATAGAGTCGTTTCAATGAATAGCACGTTCCACCATCTTTGTCCCCCTCCCCCAACTCGACCACCTGAAAAGTAGGCGACATGTTTATTTTTTATCACTACAGTCCGTATTACAACTTATCAGCAAAGGTATTTGATATTACTTCTTATTGCGACACTCACAAATTAATTCAACTTTTTGGGGAAAAAACTACACGAATAGTCCATTTTTACATCTTTTAATACAATAACTTGTTTATTATTAAAGATACGACCTCGGACTTAATAACCATTATTGTAGTCCATATTTTTAGGATTACACAACGACGTTTTAACCGATGTTCTCACCGTTTTTGAAATATCGGCGTTTTAACGCACAGCACCCCCCGCCATGTTTGCCCCTTATTGACCACTTTTGAAATAGGCGATACGTTATTTTGATCACCACAGTCCATATTACAATAATCAGCAATACCTAACACTGCGTACTACTTTCTTGCATGCTCAAACCCCCTCAGCTCCTGGACTATATAATTATTAATTATTAGAGCGTTTTAAAAATACATTTAATTTTCTTACTTATGTGAAAGGAGCTTGTAATAATTTTATTATCCATTTTATAACTGATTTTATTACTCTTTGTATTACTATAATTTTGTTACTCAATTTATTAACATAGTCAATGATTATTTGAATAATAAAAGTTGTTTTACTTCTCAACAAAGTATTTTTATTATTTAACACGATCCCGATTACGCCCCCGCGGACACCTAGACCTAACAGTGCCTAATACGAGTACACTATTTTGTGGTGTTTGGTTACCTTCCGTACATGATTGTAAAATGAGTGTGAAGTGTGACAAAGTGATATTGAATTCGGGAAAGTAATTAAATGTAGGAATCAGCTACTTTGTGTGCTATAATTAGTGCAAGAAAGCACAATTTGTCAGGTAACTGTAGGAAAAAGCATATTCTATTCTTTACATAACTCATAACAAAATAAACTATAATTTAAAAAAAATATTCAACTATATATAAAACAAAAATCAAAACCTATAACATTTATTGAAAAGAAAGAGGACCTAGGTGTTCACATACGAGCATGACAGTAAAAAAATCCTCGAATTGCAACACCACCAGCAACAAATCTATAAAGTAAGTAAAACATGAACTAGCCTACATACGATCACAACAGTTGATCTAAAGTTGCTATGGTGACGGTGGCACAGTGGTTAGTAAAACTGTACAAGGTTAGGCTAGGCCTTTCTGCTATTTATTCTTTCAAAATAAAGTCAAGTGCAAGTTAGATTTATAAAACAAATTTTCCACATACATGTGGTGTAGAGTGAGACACAGATTAGTGAAGGTTGGCAACATTGAAAATGATAAGGGATGGGTTCAGAGGAATGGGGTTACAAGTTTGTTCAATAATCCTTTATTGTTGTTAAACCATATGAATGGTGCATGGTGTAGTTTGTAATGGTACAGTTAAATGCACTATTTTCATGATAATGAAATGAAATGTAATTCTTAGATCAAGCTATGTGTTGCATACTAGTGATAAATTGGTTTTGATGCCAACTAACTATTAAAAAAAAAAAATTAATGATCTATACTTACTCATTATAACTTTTAACATTTGGACTAGGCAAGTTTAGTATTACAAAACAAGTTACCCCCACAAATAAAGTAATCAGAAGGTCCATTGTTTATTAAAGTAGTATTATGAATAAGAGCTAAAGACAGTTAAAAAGTTCAAAAACTTAAAAAATGAGAAAGTTTGTTTAACCTAAAGTAAAATATTGAAATTTACAAAATTTTTGAGTCATTATAAGTGTCTTTATTGTAATTGCAATTCTTCAATATACTCTTGGTAACTTCATAGATTTGTTATGTACCTTCAAATGAAATAATATTAAAAACTGAAAATTAGAATTAGACAAAAATTGCATAGGCCTATGTCAAGTTGCTCATTGTGTATAAGACATACCGTAGGTGTAGTGAAAAAAACACCAATCTAAAATAATTGCTAATTACAATAATAATATTAGGTAATAATTTAAAGCCTCGGAAATCAGTTGAACAACTTGAATTTTTCTAAAACATTACTCTTATTGTAGCACAATAAATAAACAAGAAATCACTTATTTATAATTATATTTTTCATCAGCCCCTTTGCTCTATACTGCCTGGTTAAATTATATAAATGTAAAAGTGTTAAAACCGTTATAGATGTTTCAATCAATATAATAGATCAAATTCCAACAACGGTATGTTAGATACAAGGAATCCATGTAACTTTTTTATAGTGAATATATATTCTATGATAATGAACAAATCACCTAGTGATGAGGCAGTTCACCAACTTGCAAGTGATGGAACCAACAACCATCACACATCACACAACCATCACAGCTTGAGCTCATCCTCTCAGTTAGATATATCCATGAAAAACTTTTTGGACTTCCTGGCCACTGCGTACAGGCTAAATGACGCTTTGGAAAACTACCCTTTGGAGACGTTTAAGAAATCAAACACAATTGATTGGAATCAGTTGAGTACATGCATATTTTTGTCAACAATTTTCTCAAATGAGGGTTCAGATAGACATTGTCAGAAGAAGAGCCAGGAGCATGATCACAGTTCTCACTATGAAGAATCAGATGTAAACCTCTCTTCCAAACAAAATGGAATTACTGATAAATCACATGATGACATTCAATCTTTGGACAAAAGCTCCGAAAAAGTTGAAGATGATTGCAAACCTATCCCGAAACAAAACTTGAAAAGAAGTGAGAAACACAAGAGGGGACGATCGGCGAGTCTGACCAATAATGGCAACGGAAGAGCTGAAAAAAGTAAGTTGGACAAAAGGAGAAGCAGCTTTGCGAAAAAAGATAGTTCAGATAGTAAAAGCAGAAGTAGAGGTGATGTCAGTATTGTGGAGCGGTTAGTTAAAAGAAAACTAAGCGAAGTTTTACAAGAAGGTATCTTAGACTCGGTTTTACCATACGTGATCCCCAAACAAAGTGGGACTTTGTCCCCGAAGAAACCACTGACAGTGGAGAAGAAAAATAATCATGATAAACTGCCAGGATCCTCGGTGAACCAAAATAAAGACAATATATCAGTGTATCACTCCAAAAAGCCAAATTTCATGATTACAGAAAATTCTAAAGATACAACAAATGAGTAAGTGTGTATTCCTTATTTTAAATAATTGCTTTATATGATTATGACATTTAACTAATGAAGGTACTTTCGTATTATATGGAGGTCACCCTTATACAGCGCACTGCGGCGGCTAGGTTAGGTTGGGTTATCATTCATTTTTTATGACTCATCTGGTATTGTTCGATTCACAACGAAACGAGAAAAGTGTGCTACAAACATATTTATGATAATCCAACCTAAACTAACCGCCGCAGCTCGCTAAAATAAGTGGCCTCCATATGATACGAAATTACCTACCCTAATGAATGTGTTTGTTCAAATAAGCCTTAAATTACACGGTGTTGTATTGCTGTTTCCAAGGGTGTCTCTCTCATACCTATATCTTTTGGGCTGTATTGTGATTTAAATAAAATAAAAATATTTTTTTTAAATATAAAAGTATGGATATAGAAACTAAAATTAGTTTTTGGAAGTACTGGGAAAATCACTGCCAAAATGTTGTTAAAAATATGATTATTGCTGGAAAAAAGGGCCAAAGTTTATTTGTGGCGTGTCTGCCTTATCTGTTAAATAAGGATAGTGTTTTAGTTTTCACGTAAAACTCAATATTTTAATAATTTATTACCAGGCAAAAATGTTGATCTGCACAGTAATCCAGCGATTGTAGCCCAGTATTATGGTTTCAAAAGTTCTCAAAGAGTTTTAAGGTAAAATAATTATACTATTCCTCTTGCTAATTTTTCATTAACACTACATTAAAATAGGAAAGGAAACTCCCCATTTCCTAGGAAGTGATCATTTATCTACATTTTAGCCTATGCAACCTACTTAAGGGTGTATTTTTACTTTTCTTTTTTTATATTTTTATTACAGGTGGAATCTAGGAGGGGGAGTGAATTTCTCTCAACTACCCTAGTAGCACAAATATGTATTTTATTAATATTTTATATATTCAAAGTTGTATTTGATAGAACCTCGAATAAAATATATAAATAATATATCTTTAATAATAGTTAACTTATATATATTAAAACTATTACCAAATAGCAATGCAAAATATTAATTAAATATAATTTTTGAATATATAAAATAGATTCATAATATATATTGATAAAAAAGTATAATATCTATAATATACATATTTTATATGTATATTTTTCCTAATAAATATTTAAAAATATTATGTGTTGAGAACATTTGAAATATATATACGCTGCAATTGTGAAAGCGTTAAAATTAAGTAAATAATAATACATACCGGTACACTGTACGATGTCACTCCATCATGCACGTAAAGAAAAAATTTCACATATAGTTAAGAGGCAGTATACAGTGCCGGATTTAGGCTACTTGCGGCCCTAGGCCAAATTACTTTAGCGGCACTCCCCCTGTGGTGGAAATTCCTTGAGATCGCGGAAGTAATTGTGAATATCTCCCATGCATCAAGGGGACATCATCATCAACACCCTTGATCATGGTTGAAATCGTGGGCATCTCTCCTAAATCAAGTCAAAGTCATCATAGGTATCCGTGACCGCGGCAAAATCATGAACATCCTCCGCGGGCTGCAAAAAAGGAACATCATACTCGACACTCGCGACCGTGGCGAAATCGTGATCATATCCCGTAAGTTGTGACCTTGAGGACATCATCACCGTCACCCGCGACCGCAGTGAAATCAGGAACATCTCCCATGGGCCACAGTCACGAGGACATCATCATCGACACTCACGGCCGCGGCTGAATAGTGAATGTCTCCCGTGGTCAGCAATTATGTGATATCATCACTGTCATTCCGCGGCCGCGGCGAGATCGTGAACATCTCCCACGGGCTGCAATCATAGTGACTGACGGTAAAAAAAATACATTATAAAAAAACATTTTTTCAATCCTATAGGGGTAAAAGCTGGCAGCTGGATCTTACTTGCCCTCACAGGAACATGAGTAGGGTTAGAATTTACATGTAGGCTCTAATTTCGACGCACAAACATGTTACCTTGCCTATAAGATACCAGACAATGTAAACGTGTGCTGTGTTTTTCCTCCAATGAGAATCACAGGCGCATTGTCTTAAAACCATTTGGTGGGTTCTAGAAGTGGGAGCTTCTGAAAGGGTAGAGATGGATTGTTAGGAAGTTTCTTTGCTTTTTAATTACTTTTTTTTAATTCAATAAACCCTCAATTTCATTTTTAACACTGTGTGCAGTAGGAATTTTCAATAATCCAATAGATGTATTTAAGCATTTTATTTTATTTTTATTTTTTGTGTGCCAGTGGAATTTTTTATGTTTTGAAAGGGAACGGTCCAAACCCTGGTCTTGTTATTAGCTTAACGTCGATATTTTTGTTAGATGGCATAATTAATTCATAACCCAATAACAAATGGCATGTGGATCTGGAAACGATCTCGCTTGGATTCGAACAAGCAACTTTAGGATTTGAAGTCAAGCACTAACCACTCGGCTACCTAGACAATCAATTATGTATTACTTTTAGACATGGGATATAAAATCCCCCCTTGTGGTGTGCCAAGTTCAATATATTGTAGAGCCAACAAACAAAGTCATTTGATCATACATTTATTCTGTTTCAGCATCGAAGTTGAAATACATGTGTGTGATGAGGTTAAAAATACAAAGAAAGATTTTAGATGCTCTCAAAAACTACTTGTTTCAAAAATGGGTTACTTTGCAGAAGTTACAACTGGTAAGCTAAATCTATGTATACTTTTTGACTTTTGCTTCTGCTTACTTTTCAATTTGGTTTTCCTTTAAGAAGTGGTTGGCACTGTGAATGATGTATACTAGCTTTGCGACAAAATTAAGTTATTGAAAGGCTAGTACACCAAGTAGTAAAATCAGGATGATATTTTAAATGAGAGTAAATAATAATTATTTATCAAGGTATAAATAAAACCTTGATAAATAAATATTGAGTTTAAATGAGTTGAAAACAAGTCAAACAAATTTTAAAATATATTTAAATTAACGATTGTTCTAAAACACTTATGTTTTGAGTAAAACACACTGATTTATGTTCTTTTTTATTCTGCTTATTAATTTATGGAATCTAATTGTAGGTCAGAATCTTGAAGATATGGACATCTCAGTCCACTGCGATATAACGATATTTGAATGGCTTATGAGATGGGTGAAGAAGGACGCTTCTAGACCAGAGTTAGCACCTCAGTTAGGTAATTGTTCTTTATGTTAACAAATAAATAATTAATAAATTTTTTAATAAGTTAATAATTAGTAAAATATGTAGAGTGCTAAACAGCATAAGCGGAGGTTTTTATGTATATTTTTTAGATGAATCATCAAAATTTGATATCCTTACAATGAAGTTGACTGTTTCGAACCAAAAAATATTTGTTTCAATCTCTGAAATGTTGTATTTTATGTGGGTACAGCCCAAAAACCTCAAACGTAAACCCCCACTAAGAGATACACATTTCAAGGTTAATTTAAAAAAAATAGTCAACTAAAAACCTTCCTTTTCGACATCAAATGTTATATGAAACAGTATTTTATGACATATTTGAGCATTTTTTTACTGGTACGTAAGAGAATTAATATTATATAAACTGTTAAAATTAAAAACGTTGTTAACAAAGTACCCTTTTTAAATAATTATTTTATTTTGACTGATGACGTGTTTTGGAAATGAAGTCCATTATAAAGTTAGCCGCCATATTGGAAAATGGCGTCCATTTTTGAAACATGGAATAGATATTTTTTAATCTCATTAAAAATAGTTGAAGTTCTCCGTTTAATGTTCTCTCTAAATCTAATAGTTTATGAGATACCAATGGTAGCACAGTTAAGTTATTCACCATATGTATATCTACATACAATCTGACTCACTGAAAAATCAATATTTTACGCCATTCATCTTAATATCTCTGGCACATTATTTCTTGGACTATCTTGACATTCTCAGCATGGAAATTCTTTTTTTTTATTTTGATTAACAAAAACCAAATTATTTATGCAAGTTAATGTTTTGTTTTATTTAGCTATAGTTGTTTAATCTTAAAACTGTGTGTGTGTGGTCTCTGTTAGTCTGTCCAAGAGTTGCCTGTAAGTTAAGCTCTCCATGAAGCTCCTGTCACAGCCAAGTAAACTAGTTCAAATCTGAGGCCGACCATGATGTGCTGAAAAGGTCGAAATTGCCAAGTAATTAAACATTTTCCTCTAAATTCTTCATCTACATTTTCACTTCAAATTATTTTTGCAGTTAATATGACACATACTTATTTATACAAATAACATGTTCATTTTACAAATACCAAGTTTCATGTAGATGCTGCAAATGTGATACCAGTGTTGGTCTCAGCTGCATTCCTACAGATGGATCCTTTGTTGAATGACTGCCTGCAGTTCTGTCAAGAGCACATGAATGAAATCCTACGACAAGCAACGAATCTCTCATGCTTGAATGACAGTATTATCACTAGGTAGTACAATATAACCATACAAATAAAGATGAATCTTCCACTTTACATTTTAAAGCTTACAGATAAATTAAAGTAACTTCTTGGCATTCTTAATTATTGAGGTTGTGATCATTCAAATCTCAGTATGTTGTCACTATAACAGTTCAGGCAGTAGGCCTACACATTTGTGTGCATGTTCCATTCATCTTAAAATCTTTCTCTTCCTCCACATCCCTCCTCTAATATTAAAGTTTGACACATGTTTATAAGCTTCTAGAGATTTGAGGGGTTTGCCATAAAATTTGTATTTGTGGATTAAGAAGTCTTTCAACTGTAGCGACTAGTTCATATTTTGCAGCACGCAAACAAACTCTTTTCTTACAAGGGTTTTAGTGGGTAGTGTATGGATCTTAAACTTGGTGGAGTCCCTCACTACAAGCTGGCTACCTGTGTACGTGAATAACAAAATAAAAAAATAAAAAACTGAGCAAACAATGTTCTCTTACCAAACATCAATGTGTTAAATCCCTCGTTTCTTTTAGATTGATTTTTTAATTCCTAGGATAGTCTTGCAGTTTCAACATTGTAATTTTGTCTATACAGTCATAGTTTACCTAACAAAAACCAAAATGTATTTTTTTCAATACTTTGATTACTGTGCATAACATTTTGGCGATCTTCACAGGTTGGCTAATCAGTTCACCAATGTTGAAATAGAAGAAATAAGAGATAAAAGAGACAAACTTCAGTCCAGACTGTTTTGTAAGCTGATCACATTCCTCGGAGAGCCAGAGCCTGATCAACGTAGAGGTCACTTTGCTTCACTGGCATACATGTTTCAGTGTGCCTACTGTCACAAGCTACTTCCACAGACTCTCAGCTTATCCGTTGCTTGCCGTTCCTCGAGCAACCGTATCAACTCCATGGGTCAGATTCAAGGCGTCCATGTCAGGTATTCATCTATTTTTTTCATTTTAAAATTGTTACTGTACACCGGAGCCCCACTGATACTTAACAATTTGTTGGGTAAAGGTTTCTGTATTTAAATGAAAAACAAAGAACACATCTGTCCAGCCAACTATGAATTGTACAAATGTTTTGATGACCGGGTAAAAGTTTGTGAATTGTACGTGAATTTTGTATGGAACAAAAATTTTGAACTATTGCCAACAGCCTATGGCCGAGCGACCATTCTTCAACAGCGTTCTTAAAGTTCTCCTTCAAGATCATCTTGTAGTTAGATGAACGCACCATCCCGCTCAGGTAGATAATCAGGGTAGATAATCACAGGTACTTTCATGGTTGCAGAAGACAATCACAATGTAACCGTTGTCACACAAGCACCTGGCTGATAATTTGAAGATAGCTGGTTAAGGTGTTGTCGTGGTTGCGAGAGCAATATATGAACATTTACAGTTACTAAAATGTGTTGCTTTTTTTGTCATGCAATTTTTCTTCATTTCTGGCTAGTAGAAACTATTTCCTAATCTGAACATTACTGAAGGAGACCCAATTTTGATTCAAGTCAGAGGAGACTGTGGTTAATTTTGGTTGGACTCTAAAGTGTAGGTCTCAAGTGACTCTGTCAAGGGAGGATCACTTTTCTGAAGAAGATTTTACGCAAACTGTTAAAGTTTATCAGGTGGATGGACACATCAACCGGTTGGGGTGTGCAACCTTCCAACCTGGATATGTTTTGTAAATCAATAAATGTTGATATTAAAATAATAAATAACAAAGTTTTCAACATGCATCCAGACTATATGGTTGTTTAAAGGAACCCAGATTGGAGTGTAACAGAGTGGATACGGCAGGTTCGAGCAGAACTGGGCTGTTGGCGTAGCGTCTATTGGCGACTCTGGGGACATACTCATTGGCTTCAGTGCTACGTCTGTCACCTGTACTATCCAGTATCACAAACCGACTGGTGCTCTTACCACCCCGACTCACCACAGTTTTTTATCATGGAGCAGCACAGGACAATGTCATTTCCCATAGGTAATATAGAAATCAACTAAAAGTAAAAACATCAAATCTTACACTTGAGCTGGCTTCTAATTCAGCTATTTGAAAAATGTGTTATTGTTTTATTTACCTTCTATCGGATTCCGATGCCTTTCTGGTTACCTGCAGGTTTGTTGTGACGGGGGTATTTTATTAGTAGGATGGTGTTTAGTGCCCCATAAAAATTATTTATTTATTCTTACAAACTGCCATCTCAGTTTTAAGCTTTACATATTAAATTCTACAGAGCTCTATAGTAATTAAATGCTTTTTATTTATAGGGAGATATCCATGCTGCGGTGAAAGGGCTTACCGGTTTGAAGTTCTCCAGAATACAAATGTGAGTAAAATAGGAGGAGTGAAGGCAAAAGTAAATACAATAATAAAAATAGAAATACAACACATGGTAACTGTTTTGATTATTAAGAAGCTAATATATCAAATCAACTAATAAAAATTTTAAAATGTAAAAGTTTAAGAGAAAACAATACAGAAGATAGTGAGTGATTTACTTTTTTCTTGGTTTTCTAGGGATGCACTTATCGTTCCCATGTTCCAATAGTAGACTCCAACATAAGTTTTGCCATTCAAAAAATCTTCCAGACACATCGGCATCTCATAGCTATAGAGCCTCCCCGTACCGTCTTCCAAGAGCGTCTCACTCGTTTAGTTAGATCTAATAGAGGTAAATTAAAATACACACACTTCTTTCATATAATTTTAAATTTCCTTTAAATGAAAGGTTCAACATTCTACTAGTATCCAACTTATTTGATCAAGTACATTGATACTGATCCTGCTAGAATTGCTGGTGGATGTGCAAAATGTATTTTAACTCAAGATAAGTATCGAGTCTGAATTTAACGAACAGTGTTGTCAAAATAATTAAGTGACACTTATTTATTCATACAGTCGCGTTAAAATGGACAAAACATCCAACATATAATTTAATGTGTCTAAACAAATTTTCAAATGATAACATGTTAAATTTCCTAAGAATAAAACCTATAGGCTGCATAGTATTCCTATCTAGAATAAAGAAATTATGCTTTTAAAGAATTGAATTTATTTATTAAAGTATAGTTTTGGCAAGAACATAGAACAAACACATAGGAAAGATAAAACAAATTAATTTCTTTTTACAGATGGTAGCAATATAGAAGACAACAAAGACTGTGTGCCTAATACTTCCCTCTGGTGGCATGGACTAGAATTAGCTCCATCATGCTACAAAACTGCTTTAATCTCCAGAATTTGGGAAAAACCAAAAGAATCCAAGAGTAAAGCACACTGTGAGTATAACTAAGTAAATTTTAGACAAACAAAATTAACATTACTAAAATAAAAAGCCAAGGAAAGAAGCTATTATCAATGACTTAAAGTTATCATTGTAGAAATAAACAACCACCAGTTTTATTCTTTCAAGGAGATCAACTCACTTTACTTGAGTGTATGCTTTGCAACATTAATATGAAACTGGGCTTAGGGGTAGAAAGCTGTCCTCGAGTGTCTAATCAGCAAGTGTACAGCGAAGTCTCAGGCTCAAGCGAGAATGCAACTTCCTCCCCAGAAGACACTGAACGTGATTCATCTCCCAGTTTAGGGGAGGATAATTCTGAAGATTCTCTACTATGTACTTCTCCAGTACAAAATACAAACAAGAAAAACTGCTCCATGTTCGTATACTGGTAAGCTCAAAAATTATAATCAAAACTAAATTGTTATACATATTATTAATTTTTTTAATACATTTTCCCTACAAAATAAGTGGTTGATAAGTAAATGTTTACAAATTTAGAACCAAACAATAATTTATTTAAATGTATTTTTTTTAGTAAAAGACATGACTTATTCCCAAATATTTTAATTCCTTCAATGCTAGAGCCAGTCTTAGGCATGTGAGAACTGTGAGACCGCACAGTGTCCCGCACTTCAATCTTGTTACTTGTGGGTGTTCGCCTCCGCTGTCCTTAAGAAAGGGGGCTTCTCCGGATTTATTTCTGTTCTTCACATCATCTTCAGTCATCAACAGCCTCGAAGAAATAATTTATTTTGTAGTAGGGTCTTGTTACGAAGAAGTCTTTAAGTTTATTTTTAAAGCCGTTTGTGTTTTGAATATTTTTTAACTGATCTGGGAGGTGGTTGAAAAATTTTAGTCCTTTGTAGTTTGGATGGTTTTTAGATTTTTTAAGTCTAATGTATGGTAGGTCAAATTGTTGTTTTCTTCTTGTGGTGTGGTAATGTATGTCTTCTCTTCTATTGTTGTTTGATGTTAAGGAATGGATGATGGTTTCGTAGATGTAGATGGATGTTTCTGTTAAAATTTTATCGTCGATAAAGTATGGTTCAATCACAAAGATAAGCACTTGGGGCAGAAAAAATTGCACTTACCCTTTACTTTAGTTGGCCACATATTTATATCGTACCTTATTCACCGTAGCTAGCATATAACGTATGAATGGGTTTGTCAATTTGAAACTTGGAAATAAATGCTCTAAACTGGTGATATTGCATTAAAACTCAACTTAGATTAGTTTTACAGGATGTTTAAATACCAAATTTAAACTGGAAACCAAGAGTATTAGAAATTATGTCTTCTTTTTTTGCTATCCCAGGTTCAAGAACTTGAGTTATTGTAATTATCTTTGTTACTGCCTTTGTTCTTGAGAAAATGTGAATTTTTGTATCAGCTTGCATTTACCAGCTTGTGTGGCGTCAGGGGTCTTCTTAAGTTGTCTTCTTATCCCTTGGACTATAGTACAGTGTTTCCCAACCTTCTTCCGTTCAGGGCACACTAACTAGAACACGTTTGTAGTCACGGCACACTTGTCTACAAAAATATTGTTGCTTAAAATTACATTTAGTAAGTGCATAAAAAACTCTTTTTTCAATTACATCTTACTCCGTAAAACCTGTTTTTTTTACGAATGGTTGACAAGCAGACTCTCATATCGCCTTCCAAAGACTTAAGTTGAGAACGGGTTTTGGTCTTGATTGTGTTCATTGATGAGAATGCAGCTTCCCAAATGTACGAAGTAGTAAAGTGCAATATTGCTTTCATGGCCTTATTTGAAATCAACGGATACTCCTTTAGAAAAGTAATCCAAAAAGATGAGATATCAATATTAACTTTGGTTTTCTTCAGTTTTGATTCTGCTTCCGCATCTTCAACTAATTTGGAGTAGCCTACTGTAGCTTTAAACCTCGATAATTTTTTTTTTTTTTTTTTTTTAAATTAGGCCTACTTTCTTGGCTTCATACAGCTGGTTGCAGCCGTTTCATTTCCTATACAACGTTGTGTGGACATGGAGGCCATTAAATGTGTTATCCACATTTTTGGCTCTCATTTCCTTAATTTACTACTCTATGATTACTGCCAGATAAAATAAAATCGCTAGATGCAGACGACTTTTAAACGTTACCGGTGACAAGAGAAGCTATTGATATGCTTGCAAGTGATTGACAGGGAAATTAGTAATCAATTTAGTTTCTTTATTATATCGATAGTGTTTCAACTTGGGTTTTAATGGAAACCAACACTAAACCTTAAAATAATGAGAAAGCTGGTCTATCAACCTTTGCTTCAGCTGTTGATTGTGGTTCATCATCACAAGCCCTTCCTTGGTTAGATTACAAAGATTTTTCAAAGGTTTACTAAATTAACAAAGAGGAAATTACCTGATGTGATTTAAGATATGCCTAGACTAAATGATAATTGTAACGAAAAAATCTCCATATAAAATTAAACTTACATTGAAAAAATAGCATAGGTAGTTTGCTCCTGCTAACAGCTCTTGTATAGGACTATTCTTAGGCTATGCTATGGTTTAAGACAAATACCAAGTTCCAAGTTCAATTATTAGGAATATATCTGTTTAGTCCTTAGCTTGCAAGAACAAGCCTACTATAGCCAACTTGTTACAAAGCCAAGTAGGCCTACATGTTATTTTTATTTAACAAATTTCCACATGTTTAAATTAAAAGCCGATTTCAGGATAAGTTGCTGAATACTGTTTTCTGTACCAACTAGGTTGAAGCACAATTTGCCCTATGCATAATGACAATAAAAGACGATTTCTTGACATTAACAAGTGTTATTCATAGAACAAGTAACTTATTACTATGGTTAAAAGTTATAGCGATGTCGTTTTTAACATTAAAAGTAAAGAAAGGCAATAAACTCCAATTTCAGTAGGCTAACTTAGGCTCTGTAACACAAACAAGTATTTTTTTTTTAATCGTTTTACAGTTTTATAGGTCTTAATTGTTTATATAAAACATCTATAAATGAATCTATATTAAAGAAACAAAATGAGCTTTTAAAATATAGTTTGGTTGTATGTCCTTTCAACCTAATGAAATTTACATATAAGATGCTTAAAAATAATGCAATATTTAAAAATAAGTGCTAAATATGATGGGAAACCCAACTGTTTGGTTCTGTTGTTGAAATGTTAGGTATATAATGCCAACAAATTACATACAATCTAGGAATAATTTGTTTTCCAAGTAATGTTAGATACAATCATTGACTATATATACCTGTAGGTATATATAGTCAATGATACAATACTGACATTTTTTGTTTAAATGTTTGTTCAATAAAAATGTAGTTGTTTGTTCAATAAAAATGTAGTTGCAATTAATTTTACATTTACCTAATGTGCGTGGAATAAAAAGTAACGTCTTTGGAAAAGTAGCTAAAATTGTAGCTGTAGCTACATTTCGTTGTAGCTGTAGTTGTAGCTAGCTACTTTTTCGGAACTGTAGCTGTAGCTGTAGCTAAGCTACTTTTTTGGAAATGTAGCAGTAGTTGTAGCTAGCTACATTTTAAAAGTAGCTTCCCCAACACTGTCCTAATCAGCCAATTGGCCTTTCCTTAACTCCTAGCCTATTACGAGATCAATTTTTTTTACTACCGGTACTTAAAATTTCGCGGCACTCCTACAGAGGCCTACTGGCACACCAGTGTGCCGCGGCACACCGGTTGGGAAACACTGCTATAGTAGGTATATATATATTTAAATGTGATCTGTAAGTATCATTCAGCTTAAATTTAAATGATAAACTGACACTTTTGGTTAAATTTGTATGAAGAGTAGTAAAGAAAATCCTCAACTTTAAAATTGTAGTCTTCAACCCAAGATACTTTCCTTGAAGCAAGTAAATGTACTTTTAAATAGTTCATACTTCAAATTTAGTGAAGCTAAACATTTCATAGATTTGTTGTATAATTAAAGGTAATTTTTTGTTGGATTTCACAAATATGTTACATTAATATTGCCTATACAACGCTTATCATTCAGTCAGTCAACTACAGAAAACGTTTTGTAAAAAAGTATTGTATTAAATAGCAGTTTGTTCTACTTTTGTCATCATAATATAATCATTGATTCGTATAATTAACAACTGCTAATATTGAAGAGTTTTAATAGCTAGGCAAACAGTATGTCACAGTTTATAGTTATGTTATATTTAAGACGGTACCACAGCATTGTTTTCTGGTTTAGTCCTAACCAGCCTAACCAGTGGTTGGCTCGATATTCAACCCGTTACAATCAAGATAGTCTGCGAGATTACGAGGAGTGGTCTCTAGGCACTGTGGTGGGATTGTTATCTCGAAGACATGGGGACTTGCGAGGGTCACTACGTGGAAAATGGGGTCCTCATATCACACCTCTAGGTAAGTTTGTTGTTTAAAAGTGGATTCTAAAAATAATACTCCTTGTTATTTTATTGATAACCTAGTTTATGTAGTAAGAATAAATAAATAAATAAATAAATAAATATGCCTTTATTCATCAAGCGTTTCTCAGTACAAAAAAAATATCATAATGTGAAGCTGCTTTTCAGAACAACTTTCATCAATAACACTAATTAAACCAACAAATAAATAAATAGAACAATAACAAAACAAAAAACAAGACAATGTAAATAACAATAATCAACCATCAGCTTACAATTCTTTTATCTTAACTCTAAGGATGACAAGGCATATTTTTTGAGGCCAGAGGGGAGGTCGTTGTACAGCTTTGGGTCGAAATACGAGAAGCTTCTCTTTCCAAGCTCAAGCCTCATTCTTGGAAAGTGAAGCTGGAGACTTCCATGGCGGGTACTGCGCTGAGAGACCTCCTCCCGGAAAGAGAGCCTTTCAGTGTAAGGTTTGCCTAATCATTCAGCACTCTCAATTGACAAACAGGACTAACTTAGTGTTATCATGATTTGTTGTATGTCAGGAGGCACTTATGTGAGACTAGAAGCACAGTGGAGAGAAGGTCATATGCATCTCTACCAAGGCTCCAGAGTACCAGTCATTACCAATTCTAGAGGAAGACCTATCATCTCCACTAGAGCTCGCCCCAGAAGCAATCTTCGTTGATCCTGAGTCACTGCTTAATCTCCTAACCTAACCTAACTCATCACTGCCTACTGAAAGAATGTCAAATAGTTTTCTTAAAGTTTGTAACCGGTTTAGTGATTTGGGTTTTTATTGAATAAACTTGTATTTAACACAATCAATGGCTTTGTAGTCCATATAACAAACCTACCTCTTACAACCACTTAAAATGAAATATTGCTCTGTCCATAATATCAGCCATATTTTTGTAAATTGCTGGTTTTTCAATGTTAGCCTGTATAGGATATGTTTTTGTTTACTTATGCATAATTATTAGGTTTATTTTCACAGCTACTTTCAGACAACTTTAATGCATAGCTCATTCAAAGATTGTGAATAAAAAAAACACCAATATAAAAAATAAACATAAAGATGAAGTGATACTCACTGTTGAAAGTATCTAGTCTTACACTTTTATAATAGAACCAGAACCAATGTGAAAAAGCTGTTAACTATTGGGATAATTTTTGAATAGCGGCGAGTGAATAAAAATAATACCACATATAAACCAGAAGAGTTTGGTTTTTACTGCCATTTTAGTTAATTATATCATAATTTTGACACGTCTGGAATAGAAAACAACACAAAACTATTGTTTTTCAATACTAAGGATTTGGATTAAATTTATGGTGGAATCAAGGTTTATAAATAATAATTTAACACCAGCTTTAACAAAAGACTGTATTCACAAATGAAATCAAAATTTACAAAAGCTTATAACTACTATTAACAATTATCACATGAGGAAATGTTGTTTCCATAACAAAACTAGTTCAATTTGTATTATTTTGTACTAGTTATTTCAAATTTGGGTTTTTTTTCTTTAAGACTAAACTTCACGAATAAACAGTCTTAAGCAGTATACTGACGTATTATAATTTGGAACAAAATTTAAAAGACCTCCCTGGTAAAAATGAAGTAATACAAATTGAATAACTAGATTAACTCATTGTACAGTGTAAGAAAAAAAACTTAAAAGTCCTCTGGTAAAAATGAAGTAATAAAACTTGAATTACCTTCTTAACTCAAAATAACAGAAACTCAAATAGAAAACATAATATGAGGAAGCAGTCATCTTAAACCAATAAATCCTCCCAGTTACAATGTGATAAACAGTAGCAAGTTGTAACATAAAATTATAAAAGGGTAAAAAAAACCTCAAACTAAATCCATAAAACAAAAAAACTTAAAGTTGATGGTAGTTTGAACACGTTTGTTTAATTATGTTGTACTGAAACTTAAGTTAAAACAGAAGAAATATCAAATGGAAAATATTATTTTTTTACAAACTATTTATTTAGAACAAACAAATCTTAAATATGCAAACTCAAACTTATCTGGATGTGCAATACAGATTATCCGGAAATAAAGTGTCTTAGTTTATTGCATAACTAGAGTACTGTTGTAGAAATTTATTTTTTGCATAGTAAAATTAGTTAATTACAATACATTTTTATGAATGAACAGACAATTACATTATGTTTAAGCTATCTGGGAGGATAAACTTAAATACTTCCTCATAAATTTAAAAGGTAATTGAACATGTTTCAAAATAAACCATGGCTTGCCAAAAAATTCTATAAATTTTCTATTACTAGCATTTTGAGTATTGTGAGGTCTGGTGTAAAATGTTTATAAAACTACAAAGGCACTACTGTACTTTGAACCATAAAAAAATACAAAAAAAGTTTGTCTAACAGAAAGTATTGAAAACCTAACATTGTCTGACAATAGTTAAGTCAATCCTGGAACTAAAATAACACCTTTTTTGACTCCACACACTTACACCGTACCTTCTTATTGAGATATGAGTACATATTCAACTGAAATTACACTAACTCATAAAGTCACAAAGGCATAACTGTGGATCAAGGTACAAAATGTAAAAAAAATACAGTCCACCATTATGAAAATTGACACTAAACTGAGATATGGTGGAATGAAAAATAACATGGATTGACTATCTTTGGCTCTTCATAGTTCATTAAATAAGAGTCTATTCATTAATGAAATGTAATAAACAACTAAAACTTAACTTTATTTCTTGAGAAAATTGTTTCTTATGAAAGTTTAACATAATGTCTCATTAAGGGTTCGGTAAAAACATTTTTAATTAGTACTCGGGATGTAGACACTGGTTGATGCAGTAATTATACTGAAGGCCAGGGGAGCGGAAAGGCACACTGAGGTCTGCTGCCCGGCCAGGGCTCCCACATCACTCACCGTCCTACAACAACAACAATCATGATGAGTATACAGAGTAAGCTGTATTTATTCTACTGGTAGCCAGCATACAATAGACTTTTTTATATAAAGTCAAACACTGTCTGGGGAGTCTAAAAATATTTTCATTTCAGGTTTCATACCTGTGGTTAAAATGTATCGTTTCTGGTAGCTCATTTTTAACTGAATTTATCTAATTTAATAATTCTAGAATATACAACCCTGTCTAAGTTTTTAAATTTTGAAATGTTTCTTACAAGAACTGTGTGGATGAGGGATTATGATAATGTGAATAATCCGTTTTTGTAACCTGAGTATAGATTTTATGCCAGTAGCTTGAACCTGTAAAATTAAAATGATACCATATCTTAATACAGACTCCACATAAGTATGATGAACGGCTTTAAGTGTCTCAATAAAATGAATGTAGTCCCTTATCATAATTTTTTAAATGTACACTGCTTCAATTAAACCAGCCCAACCCAAATATGCGGTTAACAATTGAAAACAATCATCAGTTCACTTCAAGGCCTGACATTTAGACATGAAATGTAGCTAAAATCGCAGTCCAGCGTTAGAAATACTTTGTTAAAGTTCCAAATAGATCATGAATGGTGTTCGTTCAAGGGATATTTTCCTATACTTTAAATCATTTAAGAGCAGATTATACACAATTTCAATCTTTAAAGGTCATATTTATCTATTAATAAGAGGTCATAAATTTTTTTTGTGCTTGAAAGGGTTAAAATTTGCCAAACGCTTTTAAATATCGTACTATGAAATGAATGGTTATATATAAGTCACAGATACTTAAATTTCCTGGCTCTTGACACTTTGAGACTGTTACATGTACTTTCAATTTCAAAATTTTTAAAAAGTTAACTGTAAAAAAATTGTTAATTGTCAAATTTTACTGTAATTTTCAGTATTTTATTCATCAATTTCTATTGCAATTTTTATATTTTATGACTATTTACGTTTGAAACATTATTTGAAGCAAATAAGGGTTAAGCTTAACTCATTCATATCATAAATTTAAAGAAATATTACAGTTTTAATGGTTACGAGTCTAGATGTTTTCCAACATGGGTAACTCTTAGTATGGAAAATAAATGGGAGATATTGTAGAAATATGATTTATTGTTCTATATTTCATGTAATTGTGTAGCTTTTAGAGTATAATTTATTAAAATCGGTCGGTAAATAGATTGCATACAGCCAAAACTAAATATGTAAACCAAACTCTGAAAATAACTCTTAAATTTTTGCCCTGCAATAGATCTCAAGAGATAAAACCTTTTGTTTTCTGTGTATGTGTCCGTTAGCACGATAACTTGAGCAAAAATGATCAGATTTTGATGAAATTTGGTACAAACGTGAAGACCTACGTTTATTCGAACAAGTTCACGAACCAGCATAATTGGGCCATGGGAACAGGGGGTTATGGGAGGTTATATGGGGTAAATAGGTTTTTTCCCATTTTTGAACCTAAAAACAAAAAAAAATGCTATTTCTTTCTAAACCATTTTGTAGAGCAAAGTAGTATATTAAAGCGTTCTTATATGCCTAACGGTCATGGAGAAAATTGGGAAAAAGTGTAATTAAAAATTCCCAAGTTATTCTTAAGGAGAAAGTGAAAACAGTTGTAGATTAGGTATCTAGGTGGATTAGGAATCTAAAATGGTCTGATCATCAAATACAAACTCTTAGCTTGTCTCTAGCAAAAGCACTGTTTGGTCTAAGGGTGGTTTATAAGTCTTCGGGTTTGCATGCAGCTCTTGCTAGGTCTTCCTATGGTATTATCTCATGGGGCAGCTCCCCCATTACCAAGAATATTTTTATCTTACAAAAAATTGCCGTTAGAATTTTAGCTGATACCAGACCATGTTCCTCTTGCCGCCCCCTTTTTATTCAGATGAAACTCTTGACAATTTATGCAGTTTATATTTTTCAACTGTGCATCTTTGTAAAAAGAAATTATAAGGAATTTATGTTTAAAAAATTACACTCATCAATATAACACCCGACACAGGAATGATCTTCAATATCCTGTGCATAGAACAGCTCTGTATGAAGGATCGCCATGGTACATGGGTAGGAAAATTTACAATAACCTCCCAGATCAAATTAAAACTGAAGAAAATATGCCATCCTTTAAAAGAAAATTAAAATCTTATCTCATTCTCTTGTGTCCTTATTCCCTAGATGATTTTATAAAAACTTAGCTTTAGGTTTTATGGATTGATAAAAACAAAGAATTTAGCATAAGGTATTAAGTAGTATTGACATGGCATATGTTTATATGTGTAAATCACAATCTTGTAAACTTATGTGACGAATAAAGATTTCATTTCATTTCATTACTTGTTTATGGATATACTCGTATGTTGATAAAATTTGGCAAATTTATTTTTTTCATCTTTACTATTAATCTATTGTCAAAAAAACCTTTTTCCTTCCCTGTAGAAGCAAGTCTAAGCACTCGTTAAATCTAATGTTATTTAAATTGGGAATGCAAATGTCTTATTTATAGAAATATTTTAGTAAAAATGTAATCAGACAAGTTGAAATGCGCTTAGACTGCAGGTTTGCTGCTGTGGGGGTATTACTTATTTCTTCCTTAATTTTCTTCGTCGCCAACTATCGTGTATGCCTATTTCTTTTATAGGCTACACGATTGTATATTTCCTTTATATACCTTATATAGTTATCACCTTCAACATGGTAGGTAAAATAATTATAAGTGCATCTTGTGATGGTTCAACATGGAAGAATTTATTCATTGTTAGTTCATTAGTTAAAATAGTAGTGGTGGGGACCACGGCCTCATGAATATAGTAAACACCAAGGAGTATACAACTGACATATACTACTTGATACATTACATGTGGAAAAATGTAATAACATCAAGCTGCCTGAAATGCTTTCCTCCACTTGACATAAGCAACAACAAACAACAAAATCTCCCTACACCTGACAACGTGCAAACAGTACCAGCAACTTCTTACAAACTGCAGATATCCAATAAAATCCAAACAACTTTTAAAATTTGAAAAATAAAAAATAAACTACAATTTGAAAATTTGAAAAAAAAACTCGGATCCAGCCTAAGATCCGATTTTTTGTGGATCCGATCGAACGTCGGTTCTAGCTCAGATCCGGCGGATCCGTTAGTCCGATATCTGGATCCAACCATCACTACTATAGGTTACTTACTGTCTTCACAATCCTGATTTTGTTATAGCACTACAACTATTTCGGAGATTACTCCATCGTCAGGTGTGTAGTGGTATACTAAATTAAAGTACTGTGGTATTTACATTTTTTACCAGATTTCTTCAATTTCATTGTGTTAATTCCTAATAAGTAGTAGGTACATATACAACACAAAAACATTTAAGCACGTGCATGGCTAGAAAACTGATGACCAACTGCAGTCAGGTTACCTTGTTTATTGTTCCTCTTGACCACCATTGTGGCTGCTTCATGCTCAATGCTTTGACGAAGAAGGCAAGTTAGGACAAACTCTCCAGGATAAACTCCTGTAAAATGTACATAATCAGATAAGATATTTTAATAAATCACAAATTCTATAAATAGTACACTCTTTCTAATCTGGCACGATATGGGAGAAGATGGTGTGAAATAACATTCAACATGATTTCCCTAGGATCAGCATTAAAATCTACTTCAAGATGCTTTATATCTTCACACAATCCAATTACCCAAAAAATGCCACTGCGTTATTAAGAGGACATAATAATAAATTTAATAAATGAAAGAGATCATCAGTCCAGGAATCATTACTATCGGAGGATTATTGTTGGCTGATGAATAGTTGAATAACTAGTGATAACTGTAAAAAATTAAATATTAACTGTGTTACCTAAATTAGAACGAAGCACATCTGCGACCAGATGATAGTCTTTGGGCACTGCGATAACAAAGTATGAAAGGGGTTCCATATCTAGCATGAACTTGAGGGAGCGTCGTTGTCGATCTACGCTGCCTCCAGCATACTCAATCATTCCTCTTAGGGCATTGCGTCCTGGTATCACACAAGGAGACAAGAAAAACTTCTTGCCTTTGAAGAGATTTCGTCGGTTGGGCATGGAGAGTGTATGGGCCAACTTGAAATTGTATTGCTTTTCCAATTCAGGGTTTGAGTAAATGTAAGGAGACTCATCTGGAAAAGGAAAATGTTTGATTTTTAGATTTCTTCCACTCATAATGGATATACATCATGACTTAAAAATGCAATTAATTTATTGTTACTAGTGTTCTCAATTTAGTTGTATATAAGAATGTGCAGCCTTTCTTTCACATACAAGATAAATATGTATCTATTTAACACATATATATATAAACTAAGTTCTATAGTCAGAGGGCAAATTTATAATTTTTTTCCAATTTAATATGAGGCACTATATTATAATTGTATAAGGTGGGTCATTTATAGTCAGGTCTCACTGGTATCAGTCTTTTGGCTAGGAAAACTTTATAATTTTATCAATTACTCTATACAAGTAAATGAATCACCAGGAAAGTATCCAAGCAATGTTAGGGTGAAAAATCATCTGACTTTGTAATTACTCGATGTTGTCATCATTAAATTCAGAGCAGCTCTTTTTCAGTTCTGGTTTTACTAGGGTATAATTTTGTACGGGGCTAAATGGATATGGTTCATTACCAACAAATTGTGAGCGAGCAAAGCTGTCAGTGACCCATTGCAGGTTGACAATGTGCTTGCAAGTGGTAACACTCTCGTACAACTTGACTGTTATTCCCATCCCTACCATCACCAGATGTGTGGCTTCATTAGGGCCTTGCACCAACACTCCGCCGAGCATCACCACTTTCTGAAAGTAATGTAAGTAATTAAAAAACAATAGTAAAAAGAATTAGGAATAAATCTTATGTTATAGCACAACCATCAATTAGCTTTATACATAACACAATTGTACATGAAGATATTGGAACCCATAATCGCTTCTAAAGACTTGCCGTGGAAGATGAGGCTTTCGAAGATGATGTTGTAAATGCTCAAATTTGTCAAACGCCCTCTAACGAAAAATACTTGTTTACACTGACAGCCTTGGGAAAGATTTAGCTCGGCATCTAAACAAATCCCAAAAGCAGTATGAAACAGTAGGATTTCTTAGACCAGGTGGTCGAAGAAATCAGATTTAAATACAAAAAAATTGAGGGTGAAAATCTGAAAGAGGAAGATGCTTTAGTGATCATTTGTGGTACAAACGATGTTGCTAAGAATGAAGCAGATGACTGTGTTGAAGGAATATCTACTTTCTAGGAAAAAGTCAAGCAAAAACTGTGTGTATAAGTAGATTTATGAGGTATGACTTAGACCAAATTGGTCATGCCTTAATAATGAAGTATAAAGAACCAACCTACGACTGAAAGAACTATGTCAAAAACACAGCAATGCCTATTTTGTGGAGGCTAACAAGGCTGAAAGACATTTGCATACTTGCCAAGGTCTCCATCTTAACAACTTGAAGTGGCTTGCCTATAACATAGCTGAGACTGTTGCTGCAAAGGAGTACGAGTGTCCAGTGAGTACACATGATGAACAACCTCCCCCACCTGGCACCGAGTCTCCATTGGGAAACGTCTCTCCACGAACACAAAGCAACGTACCCTAGGCCTATCTGAATAATGTCTTAGTAATTATCGTTGTAATGTTCAATCTATTAGATATAAGATAATCTTATGAACGAACCTAGAAGGTGAGTCTACTCCTAGGCCTAGCCTACATTTGGGTAGGTCTAATGTCAGTACAAATGCCTATCTATTGAGTATTCAAATGATTAACATGCAGTCGAGGCTACATAATAAACTGTGTGAACTGGAAATTATTTTAAATGAAAACTACTCTACTCATGTTATCTATGAAAATGAGAATTGGCTCCTGATAGAAAAAATTTAACTCTTTGTACCGGTACCTAAAGGCTTAGCTTCCTTTTACTGTAGCCATTCTCCTTATGGGGGTTCTTCTATCTTTGTGACAAAAGATACATTGTTTGAGCAACTAGACATTACCAAGTATTGCCTCAGCTTCACTGTGAAGCTTATGCGGTTAGGCTAACAAAGCTGAATGTTTAAGAACTGTTACTAAACAAACACTTATGTTTATATAATCATGATAGACCAAAAAATATACAGAATTAATCACATTACGACGAATTGAAAAACTCTTCACTTCTTATAACTAAATAAATACCATAACGTAACACATTTAACTAAAAACAAAAAAATAAATAAAACCAACATAGCACTTATGACTGCAGAGTGCAAATTCATAGACCAAGTGAAATACAAAGTAATGACAATTATAATCTCTAACAGATATAGATCGATGTATAAGAGCAAACAAAATGCACCCACCTTTGCCTCTTCTTTTAGTTCATCTCCGTATATCCCGGAAAATAGTACGTAAGGTCTTTTTTCAGGAGGGGGCGGGTTATGGTTGATGACTTCGATCCCTTCCATCATGCAGTCTTTGTTCTCGTTCACGTTATTATCTACATAATGACTTGGAGGCACTATCCTCGGTTTCTTTTTACGTGGATTAGGTGGATTGTTTTTCAATCTTTCATATGACTCCTGAGTCACATTGATTGGTGCCTTCCAAGCCGCTAGAAAAAGAATTAGCTCTTGTTGACAATATGTTCTATACATAGTTAACTTCTTTAGATAGTAAAATTATTTTATATTATTTTGTCTGCAAATAATTGTTATAATGGGCATATATAATTTCAAATCTAAAAGACCACAATGTTACAAAGCACTGTGGAGTTATTTAATTAATTATCAATTTTATTTTACAAATAGAGCATGCTACTGCAGGGGAAAGATTGTATTGAATAGCACTACAAGAAAACACATAACAAAGTTTGGTATTTTATTATTACTGTCTTTAGCAAAAAAAGAACACTTTGTACTGCAAATTTTCACTGTATCAAAAACTTTTACACAGACAATTCCCATGATTAATTGTTACCCTTGACTTCATTTTTTTCTAATGATTTGCACATTGAATATTTTAGTTTTTGGCTATTTCTTTACTTGACCAAAGGAGAATATACATAATGAAACCTTCCCAATATTGCTTTAATCTAAAAACTAATACCTCAGATTACCCAGCACTAAAATTAGCCGGTGAAGATATACAAATTATTGAGAACATTAAATTTCTAGGGTTATACATAGACAGTAAATTAAGCTGGAATGATCATATTGATCATGTGGCAAATCGAATGTCAACAGGCCTATTTGCACTTTATCAATTATCAAAATTTTGTAAACTTGAATCACTAAAATTGGTTTATTTTGCTCATATTCACTCACATTTATCCTTTGGTATAAGTATTTATGGAGGAACATCACAAGCTAATTTAGACAGAATTTTAATTCTCCAGAAAAGAGCAATCCGCATTATGTTAAATTTAAATTTGGATTGGCAAGATTCTGCTAAGAAAAAATTTGAAGAACTAGGCATAATGACTGTATATAGCTATTATATCTATCAATGTATATTATATACTGTCCAAAATTCAAATAATGTCTCACTGCACTGGTAGGGGATTCTCATCAATACTGTACCAGAAACATAAATAACTATGCAACACCTTCCCATAGATTAAGATTTTTTGAAGAAAAAAAAACCAATGTATATGGGTATAAAATGTTATAATGCTCTTCCAACAAAATTAAAGGACCATACAAAAACTACCAAATTTAAAAATAAGATAAAAATGTACTTTTTAACTAAACCCCCGTACTCAAAGAATGAATATTTCCTTCTACATAATATATTAGAATAAGAACATTTTCAATAGTGATTATGTCTTGAACTTTTTTAGGATTAAGTATTATGATTTTGATCCAATGTAATGACGCCATTTGTGCACATGTTTGCAAATTATGAATAAAGTTGATTTCATTTCATTTGCAAGTATTTAAATTTATGTATCTGCATTCCTTTCTCCGATTTTCTATTAGTGTCTCTGCAAACATGAGACGGTTTGTCTCAAAATTTCCATTATTTCAAATTGACCCTTGAATTTCTTAAAAAGATGTTTAAAATAAATAATAGGCTATAGGATAAATTTAAGTAAAATACTTTGTTGAGAATAATAAATTATTATAATTACCCATTAGATGAGGGACAAGGATATACTCGATGCGAAAAGGATTTCCCAAGTGATACTGCTGGTATTTGTGGCTATCTGGTTGTTGAAGACAGGAATAATGGCCAAACAATATTTCATTCAACCATTGGACATTGACAACAGATTTGCCCAACTCTCTTGCTCTTCTGTATTTACTGCCATCAGGCCTAAAATTACAAACAGTCAATCAATAACTTAAAGGCATGTTTAGAATAAACAACAGAGCCCAGCAAACTACTCAAACACTAGGCTAATTCACTGAGCTTTACTTGTTTAATATCCAACCATGCTATTTTAACTGCTAATATAACTTAAATTAAATTAATAAAATTAAAATAAATTAATGATAATATAATAAGGGTATAATAAATGTAAAACTTAAAGAAATATGACTTGGTTCTGGAAATATTTTAGTCAAAATGCAATCATACCAATTTAAATTCACTTAGTCTGCAGGTTTGCTGCGGAAGGGGTATTTACTTTTTAGGATAATTGTATAACAGAGGGAAAAGACCATAGGAGAGGTTTATTAATTTCTCTTAATAGATATTGTTATTTCAGGTGGAATAACACTTTTCCAAAAATGTCTCCTTAGCAAGATATCCGCCAATTTGATTTTTGTGTTTAAAATTTAATTCTGAAAAATTATTTAAGATATCTTTATGAAACTTGGTGTACAATTGTATTAAGTCGAAAATGTATTTACAAAAAAATAATTACAAAATATTCTTTGATTTCAAAATGACACCCATTTAAAATTTAAATTTTGTAATAAAAAAAAATTATTTTTGAGTTTTGTTTTATTTTGATCCAATAAACCTATTCCTGAATTCATGTACTTACTATATATGGACATCTTATATATTAAAATTTTGTTTTGAAATCAAAAGGAAATAACAGAAATAAAACATAACTTACCTTCGACAAACCAAAATATTATTTTGGCTTGAAAGATAATTTGTCAGTTTGGCTCCAGTTGCCTCAATCATTTTCTTGATTTTGCTGCGTTCTTCGCCTTCAAATCCAGAATAAGTGATAATCAAGTTTCGGCAGGGTTTTTCCTCGCTAAAAATTGAGAGAATATTTGATTTCTTAAGCCAAATAGCAAAATTATAGTTCTGAATTCATAACCAAAATATTATAATCAAAATAATACAAAATGTGACAATTTATTAACCACGAAGTTAACTATATTAGTAGTAAATAGCACTAGAGTGATTCATTCTAGTTCATTTATGATGCCAAATTAATCGGACAAGTACACGTTCTTAGTTGATAGAACCCTACAGTTATGAATTAGGTTTGTGATACAATCAAGAAATCAGTCTAGATTACATAAACGTTTATACAATACAGTGCAACCTCAATATAACAAATTCCAAGGGACCAATAATATAAAATTATATAGAATATTTCGTTGAAAAAAGCGATTTGTTGAATTAAGGTAAGGTGATCTCAAAATTCCTACATCAAGGTTTATATTTACCATTGTTTGACCTCATCAACATTCTGTGAAATCATATTCAGTATTTTTATAAGGCATACATAATAGACAACATGAATGACAATTCTACCCACAAAGTAAGGAATGTTCAAAGCAAACTTTGCAGAAAAAACAGAAAAATTAAATGCCTTAAACCGTGTGTTGTATTTCATTGGAATCATTAATTAGGCTTTGTTTATATTTTTGTAAGAGAAAAAGTCCATCGTCAGTCACAAAACTGAATCCCACACACACCGCATAATCTAAACTTTCCAGAAACTTGTGACGCTTGCGTCACAGCGAGCGGAGACGCATCAGACGCTAAGGATAAGCTGATTGCTGGAGAACGGGGGAGGGGGTATGAAGCGCAGAGACAGAGTACAGTTGTGTTCCGAAGTCAAGAGGGTGTAGGCGCCATGGTCAAGGCTGGACTCCATCGCCGAACTGATAAGTTTTCCTTAGTTTAAGTAATTTTAAAATATGTTCTAATTTTTTTCAGGAAGGGGGGGGATTAAGGGGTTAGGGAACTATTAATTATTTCAGTTTAACATGTAAATTCTACTTTAAAGCACACTCGTACCCATAAGGTACGAGTGGAAGTTTTCAGAGTTCTTTTCCTTATTATATTTAATTAGATGCATTAGAAATATTAGATCATCAAAATGGCTGTGATATGGATGTGGTTTGGCTCAGTAATTAATTTAAGATCTTTATTATTCAACTCAGAATATCGCTAGCAACACTAGATTGATTATATGAGCCTTTACGATCCTTATGAGTCCAGTACCGTTGCTATAAACTATAGTAGCACGCTTCAAACCGTACAAATTTGTCTATCAATACTGATCAGAGTGCCATCTATGTTGAAACACAATTGTTTTTTGTACATTACATTTGATATAATGAGGTACAGTTATATTTGCTATATACAGGGTTAAATTCCCTATATTTATAAAAGTTTTAAGTACAAGAAGTTTGATAAACCGAGGTTGATTTTTTGTGCCAAGATTAAATGCCTACTTTAATTTTGGTAATCTTGATCTTATTACAACACTATGTTAGTCATTAAGTTTAGTAATAGTTTTATATTGACCCCATTTATGTATACATATTGTATATAAAAATAAATAAAGATTATTTTGATTTGATTATAACAAGTTTGTTTTGCAGTTGTAAATACAGTCTATTTATTATGTAGAGACGAAATAGACATGTCTTCTTTTGGAGAGTTCTGGGTTTTTGAAAATTTGTATTTTAAGAAATTTTGTCATACAGAGGTTTGTTATATTACATTGTAGTGACTACATAATTCCTCCAAACAACCAGAGCCTATTGCAACTCCATATGATGAATGTGTGGTAAGTAAGTGTACCTGTAAGGGGTAGGGAAGTGTAAAGCAAGCCAGGGAGGCAGCACTTGCTGTTTGAGGCAGACGTCACTTAGCCACTCTGCAGTCACACAGCGCTTCCCATCTCTTATTCCCTATATCAACAACACAAGATATTACTTATTCATAAAAAAGAACAATATTTATTTAAAGCACTTGGTTTAATTTCAATTGTCGGTTTTTGGATAAAGAAGTAGTTTTTCCAACTATGTGCAACATGTGTGGCCAAAACGTTATCCATTTAGTTTACACTTATTAATCTTCAGATACAAGATACGATCAATTTCAGTCTGTCGTTGACAATAACGATTGCCACACAACCAAAGTAATATCAAGAGAAAAACTCTCCTTGTCCATACATCAAGTTAAAATGTTACAAATAGGTTTACGAAAGAAAATTTAATTTAACATTTGCATTGATCATAACTAAACGCAAGTAACTACAATCAAGTAACCTGTGATGTCCATTTACCTGCTGGACTAACGGATGTTTCTGCGTCTGACAGATGATATGGGTAACACGCAGAGTATATGAACCCTCGACTTCTCCCCCGTACTCCGTAATGCAATGGGTCCACTCTGAGATGTTATCTCCAGTGCGATCGTACTCCACTATCAAGAAGATGCAGCCCAACAAAAACATGTCTTGAGGTACTGGAACAATCATTGACAAATCATATTCAACTGTAGCTCGGAGCTCGTGATTCACCTGAAATTTAACTTTTTGTGACAGTATCTCTAACTTGAAGACAGGAGTAAGAAATTTTACTAATTTCATCATAATCCCTGACTTGTAGTACTCAGGAAACAAAACTTAGGTAGGTTAATAAAATAGTAGACCAATATTTTGAATATAGAGATTATTTACGTCACCCGGAGTTACGGTAAAGTGTTTTTCACACTTTTGATATTTTCAACTCCTTGGCTCTGTCTTGAACTTGAAAAGTAATCTTTAAACATTCTATCAGAATTTTACTAAGAATTTACAAAAACAAACCCTTACATTCATACACTATTTTGTTGGGTCACCAATTATTTATGTATGGTAAATATAAGAATCCAAAATAAACCAAGTTATTTTGTTCTATAACAAGGTATTACAGTAAAACTCCTATAACTATATCCTGTGGGTCAGGAACGTTTAAATATATAACAAATTTTCATTCATAAGAAAATTACGATAGTTAGTTGTGGACATAAATTACATAGTGTACATGTGAATGACACTTAGTATAATTTTATGTACAGTGCATGCATGGCAATGCATACTAAATACATTTTTATAACTGCAGCGCTGCAAAGACCTTAAGTAAAAATAGCCCAATACAAATTTTAGTTGGCGGATAATGGATATTGACCTTTAAAAAGTTATGGTTAATCAAGGTTCTCAAGTTAAAAAAAAAAAAAACTGATTGGCCAACTGTTAGTTGTAAGAAATAGGCTGCTAACCTAAAAGATTGATTGCTTGGAAGCTTACATTTTAAATTAGGGTTGTGGCCAAAGAACTGAGGTCTCTGATGATGTTGGGGTGGTTGAGTAGCCGCAGCACTCTTAGCCAATACTGCAGCCACTCGAGCTGCGGTCTGAGTGTAGGGTGGTTTGTTGGCTGGTCCTAGCACGGCTGGGGGAGTTACTGGGCCACATTCAGTCTTCATAGTCACTCCTACACGTACAGGCACACTGCCACTCTGTACTCCTACTGGTCCTCGCTAAAACATGTTACAGTGTCAGGCTAGATCCAACAACTAATTCATCTGGAAGTGAACGCAACGATAACAAAATGTGAGACGGACACCTTTTGATAAACATTGAATATCTTTTTATCACAGCACACAAAAACACTTTATAACGGGTTTAAACTTACCTAACTGTTGCAAGGAGGTATTCTATGAAATATCAATAATTATCGACTGTAAATTATTACAAATTATTAACAACACTTTTAGAAATAATGAAAATACATAGAAGCATTCAAAAAAAGCAATGGTGCAGGTTTTATACATGTGACAGATACCTAACAAAGAGTATCTACTTATGGTAAGCTCAGATTTGGTATGATGATGATATGTGCGAGGTGATTCATGAACAAGTGAAAGGACTTTTGTATAAGATAAATAGAATGTAACAATTACAATTTGAGATATTTTGTCCTTTCCAGTCTCAGATTTTCTAGAATAGCTAATAACTTTTTAAACCTCTAAACATGGTTATTTTTTTAACAAAAAAAAAACCCATATATTCAGCTATAAGACTTGAGTGAAAATAAAACTAAGATAATGATATCACAAATAAAAAAGTGGCCACTTAGGACACTTAACAGTTAACAATATATAATTACAAGCTATTAAATATTTCATTTAAATACATATATATATATATTTTTTTATATATATATATATTTTATTAAATATTTTATTGGTTGTGTTGCTAGCCTAGTGGTTAGCGTCTCGGACTTCGGTGCGGGAGGGACGGGTTCAATCCCCGGCACATCCACTAAACATTTCTCTCGTGAAATGCCACTGGCATTGAAGAAAAAAAATGAAAAAAATCAAATTATTCATATAGCTTGGATAAAAAATACATATTTTTGAATAAATGTATGGAATGTTCCCAATTCAGCTTGAGTAGCCAATAATTTTGTTTTCTACAGAGAACAAAACCTGACACTGCTAAGCACTATATTGGAGCTTAAAACCTTATTTTAAATATTAAAACTTAACTATTTTACACCACAGTCCTGCTAATCCGAAACTCACTGATGTGAATGTCCGGCTACTATGAACCAACTGTCGGGGAAAAAAGGATGCTGTACTTTAATTAAAAGACAAAGTTATGTTCTGAAATACTAACCAGGATATCTAACCGACCGTGAATCTCAGAAACCGTTAATTTTGATGACCAGAAAAAGTTTGTGAATTGTATCTGAATTTTGTGAACTGAGAAGTTTGAAATAATCGTCTATAACACATGGATGAGTGTCCACTCATAAATGTCATAAACCGGTTCTCATTTTAAGTCACCTTGAAGTAAGAAGAACACGATCACTGGAAATTATCACGATATTGCTGTGATCGTGGGAGACAATCACGGTTTATTCGTGATCGTAGGAGTTATTTATGGACATTTACCGTCATAAAAATACGCTGTTTTAAATTTCTTTTACAATTTCACTGCTTTTACAGTCCAAATTAGCAGGACTCTGGTGTCTCTGGTCCAGTATGTACCATCTGTGTAGGGGTTGGCTGAGGGGTTGGGGCAGAGGTGGGAGGGGGTGGTTGTAGCTGCTGAGCTATGTGCTGTGCCGTCATGAGTCTTAGTTGTCCTGCAGCACTGCCTTCTACACTGCTGGACATCTGCAACCATCAGTCACACATGCACACTATGTACCTCTATCCATTATGTTCTCCACTTTCAAAATCATTATGTTTTTTACTTGACCACTTTGCATAAAGTCATTAAATTACTTTTTGTCATCCTGCAACAAAAACAGATGTTTCAGTACATGCGTTGCAGAGCTTAAGTAGCGCTTTTGATTCCTAGGGCAAAATAATTAGCTCATCGAGAACATCAGCTGTACATTTTTAAAGCTATTAAAATTCTTCCACTGATTTTGCCAAAGAAAACAGTTTCAATTAGAGATGGGTCGGCTCTCGGCTGTTAATGTCAGTTGTGGTTTAAAACCGAAACTGTTGACATAAAAAGTCGGTTTATCTGTTGTTGTGCAATATCTTTGCTGCTATTACATTTGGTTTGTCAGATGTTTGTTTACGACTTCCATAATTGATTACTAGGGCAATGATGCAATTACAATACCATTAATAGTCCGGTTTCATAATTTATTACTAGAGTAATGATGGAAACCCATTAATAGAGTTTCATGAGTACTCAACGAATTTCCCATATAGGGAATAAGCTGTTACCGTAGTACTCATGGTAAGACCTGGACCCGTGCACAATAAGCTGTTCTAGCTGCGCTGCAATCCCATGGTTACTTAAAGCCTGGCCCTCTATTAAAAAAAAAAAAGACCTGGACCCGGGACCGATTTATTTTTTTGTTTTGAGGTCCCTAGAGGCCAAAAACACCATTCGCTCAAATTCATATACACATGTATATATGTCCGTTAACACGATAACTCGAGCAAAAATTATCCGATTTTGAATAAATTTTTTACAAACGTGTAAACCTACATTTATTCGAACGAGTTAACGAACCAGCGTGATCCGATATGGGAACGGGGGTTTATGGGGGGTTTTATGGGGTAAAATTGGGGTTTTCCCATTTTTGCCCATAAAAACATAAAATTCAGCAATTTCTGTTAAAACCTTTTGCAGAGCTTAAAAAACAAATTATTTAGTATGCTGAAGTGCCACCGGCATTCCATAGATAACGGGAGAGGAGCAAGGACACCTCAGTCATGACCACGCATCTACCCGTGCTGCATCGTAGTGTCCTGTACTTGCCAGTTATCAATATTTATACAATGTCCCTCCGTGTTTTCGTGTTTCATGTTTTATGTGCGAGTTTTGGGTTTACCGACGACCTCAATTTGAGTGAAATGACATTTTTAACAGCCTAATGATAGGATTTTAATCCCGAAACCAGTCGCCTAATACGACAATAGGATCACTGATGGACAGGTAATATAAACCGTTTAATTTAAATAATAAAATAAGTAAGTAAGACTCTATGACCATTATTGCATGTTTTTGGATTAGTCCTTAGAATTCATAGATGGTTTTACTATTATTTTATTCATTATACAATTTAAGCAGATCTTTTAAAAACTAAATCACATAGTTACAGTATTTTGATGTGTGAATCTGCTTCTTTTACATTTTGTACTAGGTTCCTAATGGGTTTTAACCTCTTATAGGAATGAAAAGAAACTATTATCAAAACAAATATGATTCAGTTAAATGTTATTTCCAAAACCAATGGCGGACTAGTGTATCCACACGACCGAAAAAATAATCCCGCTCACTGGGTTGAGAAATCTCGTTAAATCCCGCTTTAGAATTATGAAAAATCCTTGTTTTAACCCGCATAATTTTTTTATGTTCAATCCCAAGTGTTATATTTGACGTACAGTAGACTCTCGCTCATACGGACTAATGTGGCGGACATCTGGTCCGGATTACGAAAAATCCGGACTATCGAGAGTTGAGCAAATACAGTACTGTATATAGCTGTTTTTTTTTCAATTTTGTTCCAGGTCCACAGTATTGATAGCCAGGCAAATGCAGTTCCACCGGGAATAATTTTTACTGCCGTGTTATCCGATTTTTTGATTATCCGAGGTAGTCTCAGTCCCGTTTAGCTTGTATAATCGGACTTCTACTGTACTGTGCTGCTAAAAAAAATCACGATTGCCGATCCGGACAAGCGGGAGTCCGGACAAGGTCGATCCGGATGAGCAAAAATCTACTGTATCATGTTTTATTTTTGCAGCAACAGTTGCAATAGTTGTTTAAACATTGCTATTATATTTTGGTACAGAGGTTTAATAAATTGGAGTTAGGTTTTCTCTAAAATTAAATAGAAAAAATCAAAATAGACGTCACAGCCGAAAATTCTGTTTTATCCTGTATCCTGTTGTAATCCTGCTCATGGTCTAAAAATCCCGTTTCCGGGATAATAATCCCACGTATGGAATCACTGTGGCGGTTGTGTAACTATTTTATACAACAGGTTTAAAGAACAACAGATGTTTAATCCGCAAACTTCCCATTACAGAATCTAGTTAATTATAATGTTTACTCTATACAGGATGACAATTAAGCCTTGGGACGACTTTATAACTTTAAAACTAAGAGATATCACAATCAAATTTGGCATATCATTACTGGTAATAGTGAGATCTACATTTTTGTGTAGATGATGATTAGATGCTACCTATGGGGGACGGCCTATAGGGAGTAAATAAAAATATTTAAGGTAAGCATAGGCCGTCCCCCGTAGGTGACATCCGATCACCATGTACACAAAAAAGTAGCTCACTATTACCAGTAATGATATGCCAAATTTGATTGTGATATCTCTTTACGTTTTAAAGTTATGAAGTGGTCCTGAGACTTAATTGTCACCCTGTGTATTAGTGCTTATTACATTATGATGTATGTTGTGCAACTCAAAATTTTGCGGGGTGGAATTTTACCCCCCTTGGCTAAGACGTCAGTTTTGCTTTGGGGGTAAAATTTCGCTAACCCAGAAAAAGTAAATAAAAATAATACACAAATGCACTGTGCAATTTCCGTTGGAACACATTAGGACTTTTAAAATCAAATCAGCCATATTATTTCTACATTGTTAATGATCACAAGGCTGTTATTGAATCACACATCTATTGCTTGTTACACTTCATCCAATTGACTGCCAAGTCAACAGAGAAGCTAAAAAAATATGTCAATCAATATCAAGTTTTGAGTCAAATTTAATCACTTCAATAAAATGTATAGTTGTATTAGTTGTTAAACAAATATATTGCACATGCACCATACTTAATGACAGCTATAAAGTAACAATTAGTTGAAATGAATGTATTTTTAAGATACTATAAAATATAGATTCTATCAGTTTTACGTTTTACCAATTAAGATTTACTTACAAAAGAACAAAGTTTTAGTGTGGCCATTTTCAGGATTAACTTGCACATTTACATATTGTTTTTGATACACACCAAACTTAAATTTTGTAATCACCATGGAAGATGTTTCAAAAGAAGAGACAACAGCCCTTTAAAATAGAAATAATGTTTCACTGCACCCTTTAAAATGTCCTAATATCAATCTTAATATTTTATTTTAACTAAGTAGGGAATGCATTTAATCAACAAATTTCTTGCATGCATTCACTGAATAGAGTTTATTGAAATGAAACCTGACTGTTGACATATTTAAAATGAAAAATCAATCATTAAGGATGGATAAACAACAAGGGATACTAAGGATTTTAAATTAGTCTTTTAAAACTTGAATAATTGTAACCAATCAAAAGAGAGGTATTGATTTATAATTTGTGTAATTTTAAATATTGTTTTTTTCAATATCAAAACAATCTTAAAATTATATACACTTCTTGCAATTGAATTAATAATGGAAATCTTAGAATAATAATTAGGTTTAAGGAAATTTACATTGGATTTGTTTATATGCAAGCCCAAACTATATTGACACAAGGATTTAAAAAATCACAGGGCTTACATTAGGTTTAAGGTAATAATAGAACATGAGGAATGTGAAATACTATATCCCACAGAAATTTCAAAGCTTCCATCTTTATCAGTGAATACACCACATCATTTTCACTTGTTTAGTTGTTGGGAACACTGATACTGGTGAAGGGGTGAGGAGCCTAAAATAGCCCATTCTATATTCTGTTATTAGCTCAAATTAAATGTTGTTTAAATACCTTAGTGGTCTTGTAAAATACAATTTCTTACAATAGCCTAGTTGTTTAAGGGGTTAAGTTTTAGATAAGTTCGACACAAAGATGAAGATATCAACTGTTTACAAATAAGTCAACAAATGTCAAGACGTCAAATTTATTTGGTATCCACTCAGAAACGGAATAAAAGAGTATAACGTCAACAGCCAACAAGAGTTAATTATAACAAACTTTAATGATACTCCACAACGATATCGAGTTCTACAGAAGAGTTATAGGAGAGATAAATTACATGCGTGTTACGTGTTATGTGTTAAAGTCCCAACGTAAGTGTTAGCAGGAGCAGGATCATGCCATTGCCAACCGTCACCTGAGTGTTGCTAGCGCTACCGGATTGACCCGTCTGTAATCTGATGCTCAACATGTTTGCTAGAGCTGTCTTAGTTTTAGCATTCACCATGAAGGCTTGAGACTGGCCCGCACCCTGCTGATTTCCCTGGGAGTAGCAAAACAAACCTCAAACTAACACAATGTACTACAGTAGTCAGCAAAACTAGCAACTTACACTGCCACCTCTACCCCTGGGGAAAGGAACCGGATTGGAAAGGAATGTTGGGTCTTAAATTACTTTAGTCTACAAAATGATTATTAGTGGTTAACTGAATGTAAATATGGCCCTTAAGATATGTAGAATATAAGTTTAGCTGTGATAAGTTTTTGTAGGGGTGTGTGAATATTTGATAGTTCAAATAGTTTAACAAATAGTCTATTTTAGTATTCGAGCCCAGCTGCATACTAAAGGATACGTTTCAAGATTTAAATAATCAATAAACCTAGAAATAAACTTCCAATGAAAACAAATTGTGAATATTGTATTTGTTTATTTAATATCCAACCCTCGAAGTGTCAATGGCCGTAATTACGGCGACGTTGAAGGCTTTCTGTTTTGTTCGATATAATCCTTTACTATCGAACGATTCCAGTAATAATGCATACCTGGTATTCAGCAGATTCTGGGCTTCATGACAACCAATAAAGATGGCCGTTTTAAAGACTATTTATTTTGCCCTGTGTTTGTTTTTCTGCATGTATGTTCTCGTCTATGGTTGTCATGATTATATCATTTTGGTGTTCATATCTTTGTTTTTATAAAGTTTAGTAATCATTTTTCAAATAAACACTATATAACTATATATTTTCTTTTTCCTCACTTAATTTTGAATAAAATCTATATAACAGTGTCTTATTTAGTGACTGTTTGTGTTTTCCCACATGTCTGGTTACTCAGATAGAAATTGTTTTTGCATCTTCTGGATTTGAACCCATGTCTTGTGAGGTAAGGGTATTAAAACTTACTATATATTTATAGAGACCCTATTTTATATAGTTTGAGAAAATATACATATTTATGTGTGTATGTCTTTATTGAAAGGTTTTATGGATGTTAACATAAAACTCGACTAAAGTGCCTAAATACTCGTGACACCTAGAGGGTTAAACCGGATTTCCTTAGATTTCATGATTGGTATTCACCTTAAGTGTAACTTCAGAATGTCACAATATAAACTATACAAGCTCATATCCAAAGCCGATTTGGTTGTTTTATCATTTCAAATTCACTATGTCTAGTTCACTTCCTACTGCAATACAAGACTGCTACTTGCTGGCATTAATAGTAAGACATAGTGATTATCGCAACAGATCCAGTGAATATTTGTTAATTAAGTTAAAAAGCAATTAACCTTAGTATAGTTTCAAGAATGATTGAAAAAATTTTCAGTAGAGCATCTTTTCTGTAAATCTTTGCTCAAATATGTTCAATGTTCAATATTGGAAAAAAAATATTGTGAAGTATTGGATTTGATTTGAACCCCTGAATCAATATTCACACACCCCTATTTTTTCTAGAGATTTATTGAATCATAAAAGCCAGAATACTTAGTTTACAATAATTAGACCTTATCATTATATTTCAATACAATGCAAACAGAGATGTGCAGTTAAATTAATAAATAAACAAAAATATGATTCATATATAAGATATTTTGCCAAGCTTATTTAGATGACAACATTATTAGATAATAATGCAAGCATGCTGTTATTTTTATATTTTACCCAAATTTAAAATCTAACTTAAACTCATGTTTAAAGGTTAAATGGACAAGAAATTACTCTATATTTCATGTGCCCAGTAAAGATCTTAGCGCTATAAAAGAATGTTAAGTAAGTTAAGACTTTTCTGTTGATGAACAAAAAGCAAATATGCAATAGTATGATGCAAAAGGACACAAATTCTTACAGGTTTGAGAAGGGAACTTTTCAATTAAAATCGAACTTAATTAAACTTTACAATCACATATAAAAACAGTAAGATATTGATGAAAAACCATAAATGTAATCACACCTTTAGGAAATGCATAGTGACTAGTGAGCACATATTATTTCTTGATTACATATCCTGTACGTTATTTTAAACATGTAATTGAGATTGCTTAAATCTTTAAATAAGTCATTCCAAAAGTGTGTACAAACGCATGCCATAAGTATACACTCAATTTAAAATAGGCTTACTACTGCCCAAACAGCATTTATATCACTCTAGATGAAAATGAAAATAACTTACAAATAAACTTACTAAAACAAATCAAAAGTACAGGGTGTTTTTTTTTACGCAACCCAAATTACAAGTACCATAAGAAACTGTTTATCACAAAACAAGCTCACATTTTAGTATGCCTGTATTATTTATTTCATTGCCAATCAGCTGGTTATGCATTGTTGCATAGTTAAGATTTTTTTATTATCTTTGAGTTTTAGTGTTATTGGGAATTTATTGTAAGTCTCAACAACTCTTTGAGCATGTAAAAAACCCCATATTACGTCTTAGGCCTATTTACAATAAATTATCAATAACCCTAAACCTTATAGATAACTGGAATGATGTATATTCGCTGATTAGCAATTAAGTAAAGAAAACAGGGATATCATCATATAAGCTGAAGTGTTTAGTTGTAGTTATTTGGGTTGTGTTTTAAAAAAACACACACACTGAATAAAAACAAAATGGGATTGAATGTTCATTAAATAAAAAAAAAATGCAGTTTTATAAATGGATAAGAAATGTTTAACAGTATGTGTTTTATAACATAAGCGCTTGGACTGATGCCAGCTAGCTCCATATTGGTTTGAAAGCAAAATGTAAGCTTACTAGAACAGGTTCTACTTTTACTTACCAGTAGTGGGCAGGGAAATGCCTTGTTGGAGGGTTTGGTAGGTACTGATAAAATATACAAAACCAGGACACTCTAAACCAGTCTTTAAATAGTATGTGGGAGTTAAAATTAATGATATATTATAGTTTCTTTGAAAAAATCCTAGCAAAATAATCAAAATGCCTTTGATATAGGACCAAAGCAATACATCACTTATCAAGGTGGACAAAAGACATGGTGCTTGAAATTGCAAAATCTTAGCCATAACAGAATGTTGAATCATGAAACAAAAAGTAAAGACAGAAGATTGCTATTGGCACGTTTGATGCTTGATTGATTGCAAAATTAGTGAAACAGAAAACAGTTTTCCTCTTACATTTATTAATTTTCAGATGTTATTCAGTTTTAAATGAAATATTTTGTAATTTATAAATTAATATAGATTTTAGTATTTTCCTGAAATTTTGAACCAGTAGAGTAAAAATTTAATATAAAAAAATTTAATCTCACCACATTCTATAATAGAATACTATAGAAATATATTAGTTTTTATGGCTTTTCTGATGAAATAAATGCAGTTATTTTTATCCAAAGGTAAAGACAAAAACGTTATAGCATACGGTAGGCTGTAGTTTCACGTGTAATAAAAGAAATAAGTTGCGGCTTCAATTCCATGATTACAAAATTTTTCGAATCCAACCATTTTGAGGTTTCTTAAACTTAACTTAGAAGGATTTTCAACATCTATTGGTTTTTTTCTTGCATCACACAATTTCACAAGAATCATACTATTTACAATTGGTAGCGATAAAGCCTTTACAAATACAACAGAACAGAACAGAACAGAAAACACATCCAGTGAAATTTCAAACATTTGGAGTAGGCCTAGTTCCGAGGCAGGAAACAACAGAAAACTGCCGACAATCCAATAAAAAAATACCTAAAACTTCACTTTCTTGTGGGCATCCATGACATACAGAAAATAAGTACGGAAATGAGTATAAAGTGGTAAAAAATTACATAAAATCATTCAAAATCGACTTTTTTTTAGGAATTACTATTTTTTACAGTTTGATAACCCAGTAGCAGCTGTTTATTTTATTAATCATACTGGCCGTAATTAGTTTAAACTGTGGATATATAATGATGGGTAAATTGATTCAGTAGAAATAAATTCACATGTTTATGGTACGTTTTATTTGTGTGTGTGCTAGCTCTGCATCCATTATTCTTTAAAAATGTAAAAATTGATATTGAAAAAAGTTCACCCAGGTTTGTTTTACCTAGGTTGAGTAACTGAAAAGTTTGGAACTAAAAGTTTTCGCTGTTGGTTGAGTTGCTGAGTCAGAGCTTCATTGAGAAGGGAGGATTTTAAACTCAATTTTGGTAAGTGTATTTTAAAACACAAAACCACTTCCCCAAAGTTGCAGAATAAGGAGCCAGGATTTGCAAATGGTCACAAAGCTCAAGCAAAGTAAACAAATAGCAACAAAGAAACAACTGAATGTGTAAATCAGTATAATAAATTAATGTAGAATTACCGAAAACAAATCTGTAGAGGAGGCCACTGAGTCGGCAGCTTCTGGTATTGGCTGATGGCCTTGGGCGACTGTATTCCCTTGAGCCATCTGAAAATGAAACAAAAATATCAGTTGATGAACGACAGGGGCTTCTAAAAATAATTTTAAAAATCCCTTTATCCTTTTAACAACAAGGTTTTTGGAGCCAAACTTTTATAATAGTTTAATTGTTTACTGCCCAAATTTCTTTATTATTCTATTCTATAATACAAATTTAAAACATCGATAATTAATTATCTAAAAACAAAAACTCCTTTTGTTCAAAACATCAATGCAACAAAAACATCGGTCACTTAAACCATCCATGCAAAAAACATCAAATATCGACGTATCAAAAACATCGGTTATCGATGCATCGATACTTATTCGCATCTAGTAGCCTATATGCCTGCGATCTAGTCGGTGGAATTGTCGCTCGTGTGAAGTGAAACGTTGCTGGGCCACGGCAAATGCTAATCACAACCGGGAAGCTAGGTGTGTCGCTCATGTAAACTTTGCCTAATCTGTAGCCAACTAGTTCTGGCCCTTCTACTATCAGTACTATCCTCATCTCTAAGAAACTCTAAACAGCAAAAGTTAGCATGTTATTGTAACTAGCAAAATGTTCAATATGGCAAATCTTTCATCATAAAACCTTTGTTATGTACACCAAAGGTAGCACACTCTATCTTGTTTCCCCTCACACAGTATCATTACCTGATTGTTGAACAGCATAGGCTGAGGGGTGGTGGGGTGGGCAAGTCTGACATTGGCAGTGGGAACTTGTTGCTTCTGTTGCAGTTGTTGGAAGCGATGCAGCTGGAGTTGTTGCTGCCTCAGAGCCATCTGTTGTTGAGATCCAACTCCCACTTGACCTGCATTGTCAATAGACACTTTCATTTAGTTATTGAAACTGATTTGCTCAAGTCGAGAATAAAAGAAGTTCACTTGGCCAAAACTGGTAATGTCTACTCACTTTGTGTATAGACTGATTTTATGGCTATGCTTTTTAGCTATACCAAATAGTAGTGTGTCAAAACCGAATCTCAAATCTCAAAACCACAAGAACTTAAGAAAATTTTCAGTTTCGAGATTCAAAACTAAGTATTGATTTAATTTCAATACTATTCTCATTATCATATTAGTATGTCAATGTCATGAGTTCAATGTATTTCAGTGTTTGTTGTTCATAAACAATTATGTTTTTAAGTTTAAAGTGGAGCTGTGTTTTTCATATTGTGTCAGGATTAGGGGTGCATGTGTTCAGTTTTGATTGCGTAATAAACATTTTACTATTGCCTATATTTTTTGTAATCTTGGCCAACCATGTAAAGAGTTTTGGTTTCGGTTTTGAGATTCATAATTTCAGTTTTCTACCATAGTTAATACTATATCTACATCTACAAACACTTAATTAGTACACAAAAATGTTTTTAGATGAACCAAGTATTTTTATTGACTATACAGCAAAAAGTTTACTAACACTATTTAGGTAGGAGTTAGGCCTATACATTTAAATGTCTCAAATTGATAGAGGTGTGCGGTTATCCGAAAAATCAGGTCGGATTTGGTTCGGTTCGGATATCCGTATCCGAACCGAGCCTAAATTTGATATCCGATACTATCCGTTATATATCCGACTTTTTTGGATAGACAACATATTTTGACGTTTTGGACAGAAAACTAAATCTTCATAACCATCATTAGTTTCCCTGGACAAAATTACAGCAATACGTTTCCAACGACGACGACGTAACAGCAAACGACAAAGAAGCCGTATGATGCAATACCGATGTCTAGTTTAGTCGTCATCAGCTGTTTTGCTTTATGATTAGATTCGTCTGGAACGTTATCAGCTGTTTTGCTTTACGATTAGATTCGTCTGGAACGAACATACATAAAGCAGAAAAGAACTTCCATGGTCAACTCGTGCTTGTCTCCTGATATTCCCGTGGTTAAAAAGAATTATTTTATAAACCTATAAAACAAAATCATAAAATCTTACATAAAGATAATAACAATAACAGCAATTGTAAAAAGGGTATAAAGATAACAACGTCATTATACTTTCTCTTTGTTCTTCTATTTCTTGGGTTTCCTTTCATCACGCATTCAACAAGTTGCCTAGTTGCCCATGTCGTTATCAGCTTTTGTGACATAGCACAGCAGGGGGTAAAACTTGACGAAAATCGGTTAATTTTTACCTATTATTTAATTACCAATGTACTTGATTGGTAATGTATTAATAAATTGGCCGGTTTTTGTCAAATTTTACACCAAATTTATTGGAATTTCAAGGTGAATATCAATAAAACAATTATTACCAAATATGTTTATTCATTTAAAAGATTGATTTGTGGTATTGGGTTCCCCACTGAGTGCAGCCGAGCGGCACTAATGAGGGTTGAAGTGAACAATAGATGGCTTATCAGACCCGACCCTCCCCAGTGGTCTGGAGAAAGCTTGTAAAAAAACTATTGTTGCACACGCGCCTTATTGACCTTGGGCAAATGAACTGTAATGTTTCAAAATCAAAAACAAAAACTTGGGACCATACTGAATAACAATAATGGACTGCAATAATTGTTGAATTTAAAATCCATTTTTAACAAACTTATAACTTTTTAACTTTTAAAACTTATCTTAGTATTTTACTTGGGGTAATGAAGTTATGTAGGCTAGTGTAGTTCTTGGTTCATCAAGATTCTACTGAATTATGTTTGGCAGTGAATAAGTGTAGAATGAAATTTATAAATTCAGGGATACACACCTTTTACAGAGTTATAAAGCCTAATTGCTCTAATTAACTTGCCACAACATTAAATCTAGAGCCCAGTTTAGTGTATTAGTGATGTTTTCTAAACTTGGCAAACCCCAAGAATGCCACTTAAGGCCAATAATCTGTTCCAAAAACGTACGGAAATACAATGTGAAAATAAAATTGAGATAGAAATCCTTGACTTGTGAGAACCAGGAAACAACATAAAACATAACCTCTAGTAAACAAACCCAAACGTTTTGACATCAGTCCTGCTGAGCTTAAGTGTTGTGTGAAGATTTCGGCTGCTAGTGTACTTAATTCAAGCAACCAACTTTTGAAAATAGATGTTGTGAATTGTGATTTTCAAGAGAGAAAAACTGTGGACGTGGCTAATTTGAAATTTTATGATTCAAAATCGCCATTTATGTTTATTTACACAGCTTTACAGTGTTTTATATGTTAAAAATGCATATGCAGCTTATTATTAACCGCGCCGAACTATCCGAATCCGAAAATATCCGAATCCGAACCTCCCAATATCCGATCCGATCCGAACCGAGCCTCAACTATCCGATCTGAATCCGATCCGAAATGAAATTTCACTATCCGCACACCTCTACAAATTGATGACTTTCCAACAAAAACCACTTTAAATATTGAATGCATGGTAACAGGGTTTTGAGATCTCCAAAGTCAAATTTGAACTTAAACAGTATTTTAGACTAATTTTGAACAGAAAATTTTATGAAAAATAAAATTTGCAAATTCATTTGTAAAGATATTAGATATGTAAAAAATATTGTTATTTGTGTGTATGCTTTTGTGTGTTAGTGTGTTATATGACGTAAGTGATGTGCAATAGTAAATGAATATGGCTAATTCTTCACGGATTGACGACTTTCTCACTGAAGATGAACTAGGTGATACGGACAACAACCGTTTACAACACAAACTAAGGATTACTTTTGATGTCACGTTCGTCAGTTGGCGCATGATGAGTATTCCCGTCACAAATGATGACGTCAATTATCTCGTCAAAAATTGAAAATTTTGAAGAAATAGCACCAAATTATTATCCAACACGCAACACGACATTTGATAGTTAATTTGAGTTTTCATATTTTAGCCATACAAGTGATATAACCAATTTTGGTGCCGCATTGAACGTGTTTAGTATATGTTTATTTGGTTACTCATTACCTTTTTTCTAGTTAAAAAATCTAATCTACACAGATAAACCCACTTAGGGTCCATTCCATGCGAACATTTTACAGACACAACTGCTGAAGTTGTTTATCAAAGAATGAGAATTTAGGTTTCATTGTCTATATAGCCTAACACCATGTTACTCTCAATACTCCAGTCCACAATCACCGTGCAATGGAGAGCTCATAAGCCATGAATTTCAAAAGGCAAATTCAGCGATACAAGCCATGCTAAAAACACCAGACCTCCTAACACGCCCTTTACTTTTTCCTTTTACCTGCTGTTTACTAACTATGTGAAAACCCAATTCATTAGGTAAAACTACCAATAAATCTTAGTATTACGCCTTCATGAGTGTTGTGAGGACAGTTGACACAACTCGCATGACAAGCATGCATTATACAAGATTTCTTCAGTATTTTTAATAGAGGGAATGAGATGGTTCAGTGTTAGAGCATGGGGCTTCTGTCTCAAAGGTCCTGGGTTCAAATCATGCCAATCACCAATGGATTTAGTTTTTTATAATGCCACTCCTCTCAACAACATGGACCCTCAAGGAACATCCTTTTAAAGTAATCTGTAAAACCGTGGAGGATTTGTCCTAGGTCCTCACCTTGCAACTGAGCGTCTGCCACCCACTGTGGCTGCTGAGCTACAGTAGGACTGTTGCTAGTGATGAGTTGCTGTGCAGGCATCTGCCTGTCACCTTGTTGTGGGTGTACCAACACCTGCTGCCTCAGCTGAGTGTTCTGCTGTATCACAATCTGCTGCTGATGGCGTTGCTGCTGAAGCCATTGCAGTTGTTGTTGAGGGTTCAGCCCAGAAGGTATGTGTCCTCTGATAACTGCCACTGATTGTTGTCTCAATGCTCCACTAACTACGACAGTGCTGCCAGCAATACCTCCTCCCTGCACAACCTGTCTTTGCTGTTGTTGCTGCTGCTGCAACACAAATTACACTTATTTGAAACATATTTTAGTATAGACTTCAGCTAACACATCTGAGAAATTATCTTGTCCAGATATTTCCATTATGTTCAGGGTGTGCGAGTACTCAAACGCTCGAGTATTTTCAAGTGAGTATTTCAGTACTCGACTCGACTCAAACTCTTCGAGAAAACTCAAAGAGTCGATCTTTAACGGTACGTCCAGAGTGCACGCCGATTCAGATTCAGATTTTCGGTGCATGGTTAATCTGAGTCGGATATTTTGTTGGTGGTCACAATAGAAGCAGGAAATAACGCCGTCGGTACTGACTCGGATAGCAAAGAAGCAAGTCAGTCGTTGTTATGGAATTGTTGGATGAGGAATTAACGTGTAAAATGATAACGCCTGAAACTGTTCTGAAGTTACAGCCAGTTAAAAATGATGTTCATAATATTATATATCTCTTTTCCGATAGCTAGAAATGATAGAGCTTTTTTCTATATTGTGTTGAGTGGAACCCTAAACCACCGAAACTTATTATTAAAATTGGACATCGTATTGTAAGAAACTTGTCGAACCTACACACAAACAAAACAATTATCCTGAAGAGCTATTATTAAGCAAAGACAAGATAACACTTTTAGTGGTAACCCTAATTAAAAGTAAGGATGAAAAAATTGAATATTTTACTTTAAAAACTAAATTTATTTAATTAAATAGTATGCGTATGAGCAAATCAGAATCTGAAACCAGAATGAAGAATTCATTCCGGTAAGCAGGTGCCTGAGCGCGGGCTCGGAAACCAGCAGCTACTACGGCCACTTCCATTTGAGGCAAGTGCCATTCCTGTCGCCGAAAATCTGAATCGGCGTGCACTCTGGACGTACCGTAAGATTGTCCACAAGAAAGATTTATTGATACCACATGTCGATGCTTTGTCACGAATACCAAGCTTACTTGCTGATGCCAAACCAAACGATCAGAAGTGTTATTGTTGCTGAATGACAAAAAGGACAATATCAAAATAAAAGAACAATATACAGATATGTACACTATATCAGATATTTCTTTTCTTTATAATTTATTGTAAAATGCTAAAATATATTTTTAATCAGGTGTGGAATAAACAATAAATAATTAAACAAGTACCTTTGGATACTATAGTCTTTCTTTTGACTTCTGTTTTCTTTGCACTATTGCGTCACGGTTTTTGGCAGTAGATGACTGACTGGCTCTGGCTAGTGGCAGTGCGGCAATTTCTCTGCTGTGTCTTAATTCTTAAAGGTCGCGAGCAAACTTAATATTTAATTCTTATTTTAACATTTTAACTCTTCTGCAATAATAGATATAATATAAGTGTTTCTTCGAAAATAAATTATTATTCTTTTTTTGGCCTGACCCGATCAGGGCCGGCAAGAGCCGTCACGAGCCCCACGGCTGAGCGATCCCTGGCCCCCTACTTTCCTGATGTAGTGTTCAGCCACCTCCACCCCGTTTTGTTACATATCTAAAATACCTATCTAATAATAATATAATAGGCCTATGTAAAACGCTTGATAGTTTGATTAATTTTCGTGCTCACAGTTGCAGCTTTATTCACAGTCATGACATAAACAATTCAAGTAAAAAATTACTTGGTGAACTGGTAAAGCATATTAAAATTTTTGACTTTAGCAGATTAAATTAACTAAATGCCTACATTCAGCATACAAGATTTTACATTTAGCCGAGCCCAGCCCACCCTCTAGCCGGCTCTGGACCCAATCTTGGCCCGAACCAATCTCTGACCTGACCCGGTCTCTCAGGCCTTCCGCTGGCCCGACCTGTCCTGATTCGTGGATCCACAACCCGCAGACCCCTAGTTATCAGGAGACGAGTTTGTAGGACTTTGCTGTAGTAAATTGAAATAATTGTTTTTAACCTATGTACCAAACTCTTTTAAGTTTGATGGTTTCACAGGAAAAGACTGATCACTAGTTGTAATGACAGCCCAGACTTACCTGCATCTGTCTTTGTATTGCGATCTGTTGTTGCTTCTGCAGATTGTGTAGGAACATTGTTCTCTGTTGAGGGTCCAGTTGGCGCAACTGTGCATGGGTAGCTTTGTCCATCTGAATCAACTGTCTTTGGTTCGGGTTCTGTACACAACATTATAGTTATAGGTGGACACATGCAACTGAAATCTACACATACAGTAAAGACCCTTAATTCTACCACGGCATAATCAAGACATTATGCATGGAACAAAATGTATGAATTTAGAATAAATCTTTAGACTACACAGCTACTAAAGATTTGGAATTATGTTGGATAATATAAGTTGGCAACTAATAATCTACAATTAAGTTCCAAATTTGAAAATATGTTCTGTAATTTCTTTGGCCAGTTTGTTAGTTGTATTATAAGTTTACATACGTTTCGTATTGAAGTTATGAATGATTATAAATAAATTTGTAGAACACAATAAGACATATTTGTTTTTGTCTTTTTAAATGGCAGTATCTTTAGTGTTTCCAACACTGAATGTCAATATTGAATAACATGTTTTGTATTTTATTAAAAACTGTAATTTAGAGGCACAATAAATTTAATGCACTGTGTTTCTGGTATTAAAAATTCACTGTTTCACAAGTCAGCAATAAACATGGTTAGAAAAAAATGTTCCTATTTTATTGTGAATGTTTTACACAACTTATTCTTAGATTTTATGGGAATGCGATTTTTATGATTTGAACGAATAAAATATAGAGTGTCACATTTTATTTTATTTATAAACTTACTAAAAGATAAGTAAAATTTTATTTTTAGCATCACTTGTTAAATAAAGGAGGAAAATGGATGTTAAAAACCAACATAATGAAAAAACTGAAAAAAATAACAAACAACAATACTTATGTTAGCAATACTTGTGTTGTGTTACTTCTGTTGCTTATGTTAGGTTAAAAAGTTAAACTACAGACAAAATCTCTTAAGTCAGAAAAAATTTAGAGAAAAAAGGAAAGCAGAATTTTCATTATGAATGAAAAACTATAGGGCAAATAAAAAGGAACAAGAATTCCAGAAATGAACCGTCTTTACTTAACGTCCAGTACTTTGAAAGCTTCTTGGCTAATTATAATGTGTAAGCCTAAGGTATGTGATCCTTGAGCTCGATGACATAAATTTAATAAATTTTCTTTAAAAAATTGTATAATAGTCACTTCAAAGTATACTCTTTATTATTTTTTATACATCCACACAGCCTGACTTTGGCATTTCTCCAGTAAAGAGACCTTTTCTTGAATTAAAAGAAAAAACTCCTGGTATGATAGGCACATTTTAAATTATATGAAAGTTGTTATTCTAAACCTCTAAACATGACCCCTTGAGAAGTTACTAGTACGCATGCTTGTTCACTTAACATCCCATGTTAGCTAGCATCAACTAAAATATTTTAAGCATGCAGACCTGCTGCTGAGTTTGCTGGGTCCAAGTGATTTGTCTCTGTTGTATCTGTGGTTGATTCTGTTGTTGCTGTTGTTGTAGTTGCTGTTGACGCAACTGGAATTGTTGCTGCTGCTGTTGTTGTTGTTGCTGATTCCAGTTGATCTGATTGTTATTGGAAAGTGTGACAAAGCCCTGCTGATGCTGCACCATCTGAGGTTGTTGGGGCTGGGGCTGCTGTTGTGCCTGCACTCCTCCACTCGTTTGATTGGCCTCGTGCACGATGAAGTGCTGCTGGGTAGGTTGTTGTTGTTGCTGCTGCTGCTGCTGTTGTTGTTGCTGCTGCTGCTGTTGCTGCTGCTGCAAGAGCGATTTCTGCTGAGCCAACACCAGATGTTGCTGGATGTGCTGCGGTTGCTGGATATTTTGTTGCAAAACTCCTTGCTGCTGAATTGGTTGCTGCTGCTGCTGCTGCTGCTACAGAAAAAGGAGCATAGCACCATTATTTACCCGATGTTGAACAACTTCCAAGGGTATTTGTCAAAAGTTGATTTTCTACAAGCTAATTTAAAGTTATTCTTGCTGACCTAATACACCAGAATACCTGTTTTACTACGAATTGGAAGGATGAAGGTGCAATGTAAACATTCAGTTGCGAGTACAGAGAGAGCAAGCATTACAGTTGAGGTGACATGCAAGTAACCACATAGCCAGAATATATAGCAAAAGTACTAATTTCAACATTCTATGAAGGAGACAGTCAGTGGATTAGCCAAATATACTCTGGGGGGATTAGTAATGTGACATGTATTTACATAAACAGAAAAATAAATATAACTATTATCTGCTACAGTACAGGATTATACAAAGCAGCTAAGGTAGATATAGTAACTGGAATGGATTAGGGTTTATCAAATAGGGCAAGCAAACATGCAAGATAATTAATTTGAAATATGAATTTGCAATACATTACACACCATTTAAGTATCAATACATGCAATTTGACAAGCAAAGCTACCTAGTTGAATGAATAGTAACAGCATACAGTAAATATAAGAATACAGTTGTAGATGTTTGACAACAAGTAGTTTATTATTCTTAGGGCCGCTTTCCCCAAATCAAGTTTAACTCTGATCGTGGTTTAAACTCTAGTTTAACCTCAGATTCACTTTCCCCAAAATAATTTCTCCGTTTAAACTAGGTTTAAGTTAACCCTCCGGGTGAGGCTGGTTTAACTGGCGATCCATGGGTTAAACCAGGAGAGAAGAATAATAGCTTGATTTTGATTGGCTTTGGCTGACTTGTTACGTTCGGCAGACGGCAATGGCAAATATCTTTGTTTGAGGTTTGTTAAACATAACCTCAAATAAATTGAACTGGAAATAAATTAAGAAATAGTAAACCACAACCTATGTAGATAATTCATGACTATTCTAAATTTAAAGATATAAGGCTACAGATATAATGGTTTTAAGGTTTTTAAATGCGTAGAGTAGGCCTGAATTATTATATTTTCGGTAGGTAGTATCGTAGTTGTGTACAATCGATAGGCTACCTTGCCCACAGCAACGCAACAGTGGTTGGAGAGTTTGCTCATAAGAAGCCTTTTGGTTTGATTTTATTTTAACACGAGTCTTACATTACATAAAAGTAAATATTAGTTAACATTCGGGCCTAACCACTAGCCTATTATCATGTGTGAATTATCAACTACTGTAGTAGGCCTAAAATTAAAATTTAGTTCTGAAACATTGATCGAACGTGTCTAATGCTGAGTAGCCTAGGCCTGACATTACAAAGGATAGGCTCTAGTTTTTAATCCACAAACATTAATTTTGTGTCTTTCCCAACATTTTATTTTCCCATGATTGTTATTAATGCTTTTATTTGATGCGTACAGTAGGCCTACTGTTTAATTAAATTTAAGCTTAAATAAACCCACAAGAATTGAAATGCTTATAAATTATAAGCATTATAGCATCAGTACAATTTATCAGCCTGCAAATAAAAATGTTTCTTCTTAATGTCAACAATTGGAGACAATGACACGAAACTTAGTACAAATAACCAAAACACGAGAAAATTAATGACAGATATGTCATAGTGAGTGGGAAGTTAAACAGCTAATATTGCAGACAAAATTGCATAACAGTGTTGCCAACATTGTTGCTTGCAAAGAAAAGCTAGGTTAAACTAAACTTTCATGACAAAACAGTGGGGAAAGCCATCCTAAGTTTAACCCACCGATTAAAGTTAACCGAGATTAAGTTAAACTTGATTTGGGGAAAGCGGCCCTAAATAATATTTGGATTATTGTAGACAAATTTCAAAATAAGGGATAATAACTTTGAATCATCAATTAACATTGCACCAACTAAAGCAACACGTAAACTTATTTACTGTATCATGAAATACAGATTTACAAAAGTAATAGGCTAATGAATTATCACAAAACTTTGTAGATAACACTTTTTTATTATGTAAACACAAATTAAGCTTAAGAAAATTGCCAACATTATGGAGACAACTTCTTGTCATAGAGAGTAAGTATCATTAATACAATTAACTGCTATTAAAAGTAAAATCTGATTGAATCAGAACATATTTCCATTTATTAAATGTAGGTGTTGCAATTAGTTTAAACAAGTCCATCCATGATAAACTCCATTAAATTCTCAGATCTATTTGTTAAGTTGTAAAACGCCTTGAAACTTAATTCATACATCCTTTAAAATTACAATGACAAGAAAAGAAATGTTAAAATAAAGAGTATTAGTACAAATCATGTAATTTACAAGTTTTAAGAATAGGTCCATTCATCTTTGAAGGACTATTTCTATTCAAATTTAACATATTTCTTATCTTTAAAATAGAAAACAAATGTTTAATTAGATGTTAAAGAAGAATTTGTCTTCAATTAAAATAACCTATAAACATGGATTAGGGAGATTGTCATTTTCAGTAGAGTCTCGACTATCAGATCTCCGTGTTATTTGACAATCCTTATCAAAGATCGAGTACCTTGGAATCTCATGCAATTTCAGTGTGGCATGACTATATACCATAGCCGTTATGTCGAGACAACCTTTTGATGAGTTCTTCCCTAACGGTTCTCAGAAACTCAGAAGTTACGAGCCAGACTAGCTTATGACTGGGGAAATAGGGCTAAGGGCACCTGCCCTTATATTGTACTGTACATTCCTTTGATTTGCACGCTGCATGCCGATAAGATTAAGGTTACTAAATCCTCATACACGCATAACTCCCTACTATTCCCTTCGTCTTGGTGTGAACACATACTTGTAGCAAAGTAGACATTTATGGTTTTATCTTGTATTTCCCTGTTCCAGTATTGGTGATTTATTTGTGACAATGGCTTCAGAATAACAAGGTATTGAGATTTAACGTGATTATTAAACTATTTACTAAACGTATATTTTAAGTTTTCATTATTAATGTATTTTTAAAATTTGTATGATGTTTTGCATTAATTTCCGGGTCATCCGATCTTGCTACTGCGGGTTTAGGTTGGATAATTGAGACCCTACTATACCATGGAACAACACTATGCAATTTTAAAAATTGATTCTAATACTCCTGGTTACTGTCGGGGGAAAAATTGTTGACACTCGAATTTGGAGCTCTACAAAAAAGTAACCTAACTACTTAGAAAAACACGGAGTATATATAAATTTTTGTTGTTATATTCCTGTGAAAACAAAAAACTTTTAGCTCGTTTAAAATTTTTTTTATGACAGTCGGAAGGTAGAAACCCCTGTTTTTGGAGTATCAAAAACTATCTTATGAAAATTCGCACATTATACAGTAAACCAAAAGTCAGAACTTCATCAAACTTAATAAAATATAAATACATATATAGTGAGTTAATTTGTATGGTTTCAGAATTTTAACTTTGTCCAAAAAGTTTTTGCTGTCAATTGTGTAAGTTAACTTTTTATGAAAACGGCAAACGCTAGAAAAAAATTGAAAAGCTTGTTTTGAAGGTGATTGTGTTTGTATTTGAAATATTCATACTGCTCAACCAAATTGTTACGCATATTATTTATATAAATTAACATAAAACTGTATTATCTTGAGCCTGCAAGGGTGCAGACGCCATCGCCTGCTCAGGAATCCAGTGCAGTGTTGCCACGATGAACCCTGACCGAGCGTAAGGTGATTCACGCAGTGTGCGTCCCTGACGACTGACTCACAGGACACATCATGTTTTGCATTCTTTCAAAGGTGCAAAGTATTACCACCCCAAAAATGCAATCATTAATCCAACTCAGCTTGTCTCCAATTTTAGTTGTGATCACATCGCTAGAAATAGGTGCCAAATGTAAATTGTCAGTTTTGGAATATGCTATGGTAGTCAGTGCTATATGTTTTTTTAGAAGTGAGGGAGAAGCATTAGGTGATATCCAGTACATTAAAAAGTGCACGAGTGTTTTGAAAGATCATTGTAAATATGCAGTTGACTCAACGTCCCTGCCCAGTGTCCATGTATTCAATACGGCAAGCACCCGGTCAGAGTCGGCGGTAGTCTGGAAGTGTTGTATTCGGCCGCTACATCATTCAAATTTAATGTTAATTTATATAAATAATATGTGTAAGAATGTGGTAGAGCCTTATGAATATTTCAAATACAAACACAATCACCTTCAAGTAATAAGATGGTTTTTGATACTCTAAAACAGGGGTTGTTTACCTTCCGACTGTCATAAAAAAACTTCCAATTGAGCTAACAAATTTTTTGTTTTCGCAGGAATATGTTGAGTAAAACAACGGAAATTTATATATACTCTGTGTTTTCCTAAGTAGTTTGGTTAGAGTTCCAGGTTACTGTAGAGCTCCAAACTCGAGTGTCTAAACTATTTTCCCCTACAGTTGGGGGGAATTGAGAATAATAATTTAAAGTTTTTCAATCACAAATCCCTGAACTAAAAAGGCAGGATGGTAAATTTATGTATCTTTCGAATAAGACATTTTTCAAAACATAGCATATTTGAAATACAAATGAATTCTTTCGACAAATAATTACCTGGGGTTGATGGATCGGTTGAAGTCCAGGCTTTTGTCCCATTTGCTGCTGTTGAAGCTGAAATCACAAAAAACATGGTTCAGCTAAACTTAAACTACAAGCTTGAAACCTTATAAATTAAAATTTTATAAAAATATAAAAGAGTAGCTGGAATGCTCTAAATAAAAAAAAAACTACTCCTACAAACCACCTGTCTAAGCAACGCTAATATTTGAGTTTAATGATGTAACATAGAGCACAAGGTCCTAGGTGTTACAGACAGATTTTTGTTAAGATATCAGTCTTAACTGATTAACAAGAGTTGATTTCTCTAAAAACTCCCTTAGTCGAAAATCCTGTCAGTGAAGAGAAGTATTCTAGTTTTTGTGTAGGCCTATTTTTAGTGTAAAGTATTTCTTGTGCCAGAGTGGTCTCTTTCCCATTCAGGATTCAGAGAAGCCTTTTAGCCTAGTATTTTTTTAAAACTTAGAATTAACTCTGATAATATTGATATATTTTTATTAACAACAGAATATTTACATAACTAAAGGGATAGAATGTTCAATTGAATAAATTTTCTTCAAGAAACAAAAGAAAAAGTTCTATTAAAAAAAAATTTTAGTTAAGTAATATTTCCTACAAGCTAATACATTTTCAGAAATATACCTGGTTTTGAGGACGCCACTGGGATTGGGGGATCAACCTCTGCTGTTGCAAGGTACGTTGCTGTAATAACTGATGCTGGGGTATCTGTGGCCGATTTTGCTGCATAATGGTTGACATTGGACGAGGCGGGGCAAGACCCATTTGAGAGCTGGTAAAAGCCTGTTTCTGGGACAAATTAAAACATGAAATTCAAGTTTCTGTGCTAATATTTTTTTCAGGTAACCACAAATGGTATTTAATAAAGTTATGTTAGTTTCATAACATACTTCAAAAACCAATTCAACATCTTGGGAAAAATAATATGATTCCTTGTTACCAATAGGGTTTCTTTAAAGAGAGAGCGCTTATCAAATCAAATCAAATCATTCTTTATTCATCATACACAAAGAACATGTATTGAATAGAGTCAAATAACTTATAGGCTATAAATACATCTACACAAATATAAAAAATGCTGAAATGCATTTAGTTTCCGGGCTGAAATAAATTAAAAAATAAAAAGTATTCTTTTAAACATGGTAAAAATTTACACCTTTCGCCTAATTTTGTTATGGAATTCAAATTGAAACCATGAAGGCCTACCAAAACTAATTTAACTTTTTTTTTAAGTCTTCTAAGGAATAAAATGGAAATCGTACCTATTAAAAAATCTTTCAACATTCTTTGAAATTTATTTAAATTTTCTTCCCTCCTTATCAAAGCTGGTACCTAAGTGCTGTAAAAATGTTAATCCTGAATAGCTAGTTTTCTTTTACAAAACAATTCCAGTTAAAGGCCTATTTTGCTTGGAGCGACTGTAGCGATAGTCGCGCAGCGATTATCGCTCAACTACTATCGCTGTTGTGGCAGCCGTTTTGCTTAGAGCAATTGGTTTTCGGCCGCTGCGCGATTTTTCATAGTTTACTTGAACACCAGCGGTCAAAATAGTATAGTCATGAGTGTGTGTTGCAACCTTTTAAAATATCTCCTCAGTGAGGAGTTAGAAGACAAGGCTCTACTTGAAGTTTTGACTGTTCCAAGAACAGTCAAACATTCTATATTTGAATATCGAATAGACGAGTGATATCTAAAAAAAATATATACACGACCATTTGCGCAACGATAATGCAAAGTTTTCTGATTTTTTTTTTCCGACTTGATATGCGCAGTAAGTGTAGATTCCAAAGTTGTTAAGAATTGAAAACCTATAAAATGATGTGCCACTTGACATATGTTGCTATTTAAACATTTTGAAAAATGGGCATTTTAAAATGTTCTAAAATGAAATTTTTGGGAATTTTTATTATTTAAAAAAAAACTTAAAATCCTAACTTAAAATTTCTCCAACACTATTTGATTGTCTGCAATGACTGCTCACCTGGATTAGAGGGCCTCCCATAGGCCCAGCAGTAGAAGAGGCGGACGACACAGTTTGGCTTGGTTGGTTCCAAGGCATGCGCAGCTTGAGTTGCTGTAATATTTCTGAACTGGGTACGATTCCGCTACTTGAGTTCTCGTCTGGGACCACATCATCCGCAAAACCTGTTATGTGAGCTGTAGACTGATAGTCTACAAAGGAAAAAAAAACTACAGTACCGTATAAAAATGTAGCATATAGAACTAGCCAATTACATAACTACAGTCAGTAATATAAACGGGGGAGCGAGCTGGTCTAGTGGTTAGAACACGGGACTTTGGTTCTTGAGGTCCCAGATTCAAATTCCGCCATGTCACCAATAAATGTTACCCAAGTGATAATGCCGCAACCCCTAGGTCCAGCGGCAACAACAACAATCCCCGGGCTCATGCCTAGCGTCTTCTAGGAGAAAAAATATATATAAACAGTTTCTACATCTTCTGCAAACATTTATTGATCATTCAAATGGTTCTGTTAAAAGAAACATTGAATTGAAATATTTATTATTTCAATAAAACACAAAGACAAAATAACTAGATCACAGTACATGAATCATAGGCCCACACGGAAAGATGGATATGGGTGGGATACAAGTCCAACATATTTCATGAGAAAAGAAATTCATTAAATGTTTATAATCAAAAGGAAAGTCCACAACAAGATAATTACCATGCATAATTTACTCTTTGACAACATTTAATAATTTATATCACACTGTATTTACCACTTTAAAAACACAGTAACCAATAAGTAAAAAACAGTAATAGGCCTATTAATTGAGAAAAAAATATTGTTATTTTATAAAACCGACTAGGTCTAATAAGAATTAAAGTTGGTTCAGACTTTTTTCGAGCCTAAGCTAATTATACCCCCGCCGCAGCAAACCTGCAGACTGAGCGAATTTCAAATTGTCTGATTACATTTTTACTAAAATATTTCCATAAATAAGACATATTTATTCTCCCAATTTAAATAACATTAGATTTAACGAGTGCTTAGGTTTGCTGCTATGGGGAAGGTAAAAAGTGTTTTTTAACTATTCCTCAATAGTACAGGATGAAATAAATAATATTTGCCAAATTGTATCAACATCTATCCATAAACAAGTAAACTACAACAGTTTTCATTTTCTCCATAAGAATAACATGGGAATTTTAAATAACACTTCTTTTAATTTTCTCAGTAACCGTTAGGCATACAACAGCGCTTCAATATACTAAATTATTTATTTTTTTTAATCTCTACAAAATGGTTTGGAAAGAAATTGCAATTTTTTTGTTTTTATGGTCAAAAATAAAAATGGAAAAACCCCATTTTAACCCCATAAAACCCCCAATAAATCTCCGTTCCCACGGTCGGATCATGCTGGTTCGCGAACTCGTTTGAATATAAGGTTTACACGTTTATACTGAATTTCATCAAAATCAGATCAATTTTGCTTGAGTTATCGTGCTAACAACAAATAATGGAGTGCTAAGTCAACATCCGTTTTTAATTCTTTTACTTTGAAGTGAATATGCAGCTTATAGTAAAATTTATTTTGTTTAGTGGAAGTTAAATAGAAAGTAAAATAAACTAATTCCGTTTTGTGATTTTGATTGTGAAATTTTCAATCTGGTGGTAGCGACATGGCAACTGCAGTTTGAAGTTGTTTATTTTAAATTTGAAGTGATTTTAACATAACCTAGTAAGTGGTGAGTTTGGAAAAGGCCAATATAACCGGCTACAGTGAAATATGTTATAAATTAACCCGTACCGCGGTACAGATATGTAGGATGGCCTTGACCGGAAGGCTACATATACCTAAAAAATATTTGTTCCTAATAGTCAAAGCTGATTTTTTTAAACAATTTTAATTATATAACAATAATAAACCAAAAGCAATATAATAATAACGAACACAGCGGAGAACGAAGTTTCCCACGGAGTCTGCGAGTGAACTAACTACTTGCAAGTTAGTGCGTCCACAGTGCTGGCGTCTTTCATAGCAGAGACCGGCAAGTGTACACGTCGCCATTTTTACATTCTGGAGAACATCGTAGAGTGGGGAACATTGTTATATTGATTTTCAATCACGAGAGATACTCCCCAATAGCTGCTGCACTCTATTGGCAAAACTGGGAACTACCAAGACCAGCCAATGCACTCTGTATTACAAGGCGAGTATAGTCGTCCATTCCATAGCTTTTGAGCAAAGGGAATTTCGGAAAATATTAGTCTACAGCGTGATAAGGGTTAAGAGTTTAACGTGGGATTTTATTTTAAGATGATAGGCATACTACATTTTGGTTGGTTTGATATTTTTAGTCTGTTAGAGACGAGTGACTAATGTAATTATTGAAGAGGAGGATAGCCCTAACCTTCAAGCTTAAGGCAGCTACCGCAGCTCTGCAAATACCGTATTGCATATTGATGTTTTAAACTAAGGTTATACAGTGGCATAGATATGGGGGAGACCAAAGGGATATATTCCCCCCCCCCCCTGAACATATAATAGGTGGAAAAATCCTTTCTGAAATTGTTTGTTTTAAAATTCTGTTACACTGAAGGACTTATATTTTATTATTTGCAATACAATATGTTATTTTTTTTTATTTTTACCTCTATTACTAAGTTTGTTTTTTGTAAGTATACTTTCAATATCGATAACTGGTACCAGATAAACTGCAATACCAGGTAGCAGAATACGGTATTTGCGTGCCAAACAGTCAACAGCATAAAAACCCCTCCTCCTTCTCCTATCCCTTCAACCACACTACGCTTGATCTGACTTCCATCCACCTAGTGTCAGTCATCTGGTGTTCATTCACGCATAATTCATTGGTTTTTACCCGGAGTGTATAATTCACGTATAACCCCTGATCTTCATGGAATTCCCGGTTGCTGACAACCCTGACTACGATGAATAGAGTAGGCTAATAGCTTTTTCTTTTAGAACGAGTTAGCTACCAATTAATTGCAGATTTGTTTAAACCAGAACTTAACTTAAAACAAAAGACAAATAGTTTACATCAACGTACCTGATTTTTGGGGTTTCTCGATGATCAATAGGCGAGGGTGATATAAAATCTCTGCGCAGAGGCTGTTAGTTCGAACTGAGTCAATGAGCCAATCTGGAGTTACCACATGGATTATGTCAGAGCACTTCAACGCTTGTTCATACTTTTCCTGGAATCAATGTTATTGACATCTTTAAAATGTTCAGTAGAAATTAAAAAATGAAATTACAAAAAAACCTATACCTAGTCATATAATCAAGTGCATTTTAGACACAACCAGACTAAACATGGCCTTCATTCTTTCAATTTTTCCACTGACGTGTTCTTGGAGGTAGACTATAATATAATAAAACTCACATTTGTAACACGGCACAAATGAACTTTATTAGGTAACGCCAGAGACAAACATTGTTGATATTTTGACTGCCCAGACTGGAATGGCCAACTATCTGAGTACGGCTATCGGTTACCTGGTGGGGGCATACCTATGATACATCACTCACCAATATTTTAGGCTAGGCAAAAGTAAAACTCAATAATCGAGAGGTGGAAGTACTGCTACCAACAGAAATATTTGTAATTGTTAAACAAACTCAAGTGTCTAAAATAAATTTTAGTGTGTATATAAATTTTTTTACCGGAACCGAAAACCGAGAACCGTTTTCAGCCAAGAACCAAACCGGAACGGAACCGTTAAAATTGAACCGACACATCACTAAATTTTATAATAATATAAACTACAAACTCATAATCCTAGGGGCTTAACACACAAGACTCAAGATACATGAAGTAAAAAACACTTATATATGGTAAAACTACGGTACTGTATAACTTATATACAATATAGCATCAGTCAAGCTAACGTACAACACAGAACTTTAGAAAAAGAATGTAACGATTGTTAATTCTTTAATAATGGAGATGAATGCTTAGGACAAAATCTAAAGCCGGGAGTTAAATCGCAGTAACAAAATGCCATAAAAAACTTAGAAAAAACTTACCCCTTCAGGTTTCGAAACGATCAAATGGGTTGTGTTCTTGTTGAAGCTAGAGCTGTAAACTCCTCCATAAAACTTTAGCATCGCCCACAGTTTCTTGTGGTCATCTCGGGTCAATTTTGAGAAGTGTGCAACAACTCCAGTAAATAACAGTTTTTCACCACCCTTGAAAGCAGAAGTACTAAAAAATGTTAAGGAACCTTAGACTAAAAAATGTTATGTACTCGTAATAGATTGTGTATTAGTATTTTATGGACATTTTACTTAGATCATCATTACACAATTTCAACCACATTAACTAACTGAAGAAACCATAGCTTACATACATAAATAATAACATCACCAGAATCTTTGAAATGGGCATCAAAATAGACCTACACTCAACTCCCAAATGACAGTAATCGAATTAACCTTGTTGCGGCTTGACAGGGACACCTTTAACGGTCCGGAAAAAATATGTAAAATGAAAATGGAGATGGTCTTGATTCCGACACAAGTCAAATGTTTTTGGGAAAGTAGGGTCTTTTTCACAGAAGGAAGCACAGTAAGACATTAATATAACTGTGCCTTTTACAACAGAATCGCACATAGTGAGGATTAACTGTAGACGACAAGAGGCCAGCTAAATAATAGTAAATAAAACAAAAGGATACGGCAATAGCTTGTTGCACTTGAGACTATATGAGACCCACTCAGGTGTGACTGCTGGTACTTCATACAATTCGTTGGCATCGCTTATATCAGTATCAACAGGATCAGTGCCCACGATGCAGTGAGTTACGTAATCAGAGAAGTAACTGAATCCTTCAGCACCATTGTTTTGAAGAAGTTGTTCAATCTGAAAGCAAATAATACATTTTTATGCAAGCTGAATTTTCAATTTAGGAAGACAGGATATGGGTTAATACTTGTAGTTTTAAAATGAAATTTGTTTTATGATATGAAAACATAACATCTGTTCGGTTATTTATTTCCTTTAAACGGGATTTCATTTTAGTGCAAAAGACATTTTACACTAAAATCCAACACCAGTGTGAATAATGTGTCCTCGTCCAGGAGGAGACTAAACCCAACATCTCGGCTCTTATTTAAATGTAAATTTATAAGTTGAATTTTTTCAGTGTTAATTTTTAGTAAGTTGTCGTCAAACCATTGAATTAAGTTATTGCTTCAGAAAAGGATAATTGTTCCAGATTGTAAAGATTGGAGCTAGATATGGAAAGGGAGGTATCGTCAGCAAACAGTGATAATTTTGAGGATGTGGTGCAGGAGGGGATGTTGTTGATAAAATGGAGAAAAAGGACAGGCCCCAGAACGGAGCCCTGTGGTACACCTCTCACAATGGATTTTTCAGCAGAGGGATAGGATCTCATGAAACCAGCCTCATCTACTGCCCTTATTTCAACAAATTGGCTCCTGCCACAAAGATACGCTAACTAGTCCAAAGCCAGTCCTCTCACCCCAACTTCATTCATTCTATTAAGCAAGCAATGGTCAACCATATCAAAGGCTTTACTTAAATCAAAGAAGATACCGGCCGAATAATTACGGGGTCAAAAATGGGTCAAATTATCCTGTAGAGTAACTTAAGCTGAACAAGAATGTGCAAGAATTTTCAAGATCCGTTGGATATTAACGGAGATACGGCCGGAAAAGCGTCGGTAAATTGAGTTTGCACCAAAATGATCTAAAAAAGGTAAGGTTAGGTTTGGTTAGGTTAGGTTAAATTAGATTGGGTTAGATTAGATTAGATTGGGTTAGGTCAGGTTATATTAGGTTAGGTTGGGTCAGACTATATTAGGTAAGGTTAGGATAGGTTAGATTATATTAGGTTAGGTTGGGCTAGGTTAGGCCTATTTAGGTTAGATTACGTTGGGTTAGGTAAGGTTAGGTTAGATTACATTGGGCTAGGTTAGGCCTATTTAGGTTAGATTACGTTGGGTTAGGTAAGGTTAGGTTAGATTACATTAGGCTAGGTTATGTTGGGTTAGGTTACTAACAATAGGTACCCATTTTATTGATGACATAACCTAACCTAACTTTTTCTGGGGAAAATGACGGTAATTATATCGACCTTCGGACGTCACGAGAAATTAATTTTTTTTTTACAAAATGGTCGAAATTTTACGATGATTTCAAAAAGGATTGTCTCTTTCTGCGGAAACGTCCCGTTTTCCCGGAAAATGGGTAAAACGGGAAAAATATTTTTTTGCTCAAAACCAATGTTGTGAGTACTCAAACCGTGCGGAATTTCATCCTGAACAAGAATATGTAGTTTTTATTACGATCGCTATTAAGTAAAATATCACCGGAAAGGTTAGGGGAACTAACCTAACTTAACATAAAATAACCTACGTTAACCCAACTTAGGAACTTCGGTTAGGTTAGGTTAGATTAGGTTAAGTTAGGTTAGTAGTTTACTTACAATACTCATGTTATTAATAAACTAACCTAACCTAACCAATCCTAACCTAAAATAAAGCCCGCATTCCACAATGACTTAGAGTCACCCGCAATGCTAGGGCTATGCGGCAGTATATGAGTAGCCAGCGGCCTGCTTTTCCGGGGATATTTTACTTAATAGTGTGTTAATAGTAAGGTTGGGGAGCGAGCTGGCGTAGTGGTTAGAGCGCGGGACTTCAGTCCCTGAGGTCCCGGGTTCGATCCCCGCCAAGTCACCAATGGATTTTATCCAAGTGATAATGCCACAACCCCTAGGTCTAGCCTGAAGTAATGTGAAAAACAATCCCAGGCTCGTGCCTAGCGTCCTTAGGACTAAAAAAAAAAAAAAAAAAAAAAAATAGTGGTAGTCTGATCGTAATACAATTTACATATTCTTGTTCAGGAGGAAATTCCGCACAATTTGAGTAGGCCTAACTTACCCACAACATTGGTTTTGAGCAAAAAAATATTTTTCCCGTTTAGGCCTATCCCATTTTCCGGGAAAAGGGGACGTTTCCGCATAGAACGACAATCATTTTTGAAATCAGCGTGAAATTTCGACCATTTTGAAAAAAAAATTTGATTTCTCGTGAGGTCCGGAGGTCGATATAATTAGGTACCAAAATGACAATCATTTTTGAATTCAGGACGTTATTTAGCATAGGTCTAAGAATAGTGAAAAAATAAATTTAGCAAGACGTCCGTGATGGATATAAATACCAGCCTTTCTACATAAATTAGGCTTGGCTACAATTAGGCCTAGGCCCTACTAGGCATAGGCTTGGTTGTAATTAGGCCTAGCCTAGGATTCATATTTAAAGAAAAGTTTATCAACAATCCACCTTACTCAAAGCAATACAATTTAGAGTTATTTTCCTTACCTAATGCTAATTAAGTAAGGGAATTAACTTAAGACAGAGATTTTTATGTGATATATGTAATGATTGAATTGATAATTGAATGGGTTCATCAGGTAATATTGACAGATAAGGCCCGGTGATAGGCCTAAGCGAAGCTTAGACATTTATGAGGCTAAGATAGGCTATATAACTTGGAGGGGTAGGGTAGAAGGACAAGTCCATTAATTATTGATCATAAGCTGATATTAAAAATCACCTTTCATAAAATAAAATAATTGTGATATTATATTTAAATGATAAGTCAGTGCTAAGGCCTACGGAAATTACAAAACTGCTTTGGGTCTAACAAACCCATAGGCCTAAAACTACCTAGCTGGTTACTTAACTAACCTCTTCATCAACTTTTCCTGTGATCTTATATTTAACCTTGCCAAAAAGCTTCGGTTTGTCGCCAGAATTTTCTGAATCCATAGTATCTAGATAGGTAACTTAAAAATTATCACAATAAATTAAATTCAACATAACACGAATCAGTCGGCGTCGTCTCGTCTTTTGCTCACTGCCACTACTTGATTCCTACATTTAATTTTACTACTACTACTAGTCGAGTCGAGTGAGTAGTACAGTAGTACAGTTGTCGTTCCTGTTCTTGTTCTTCAGTTCTTCTTAGCTATTTTCTTCTCTTCCCTCCATTTTTCTCTCTTGGTTTTCTTCTTCTTGTTAAGTTATAGTTATCATGAAAACCCTAATTTAATGGGTCGCGTTCCAGACAGGTTCACAGAAGCCACCCCTGACGTCAAATTGATGGTCCGTTCCCATATTCCAACTCCAACTTTCCAAGATTAGGTTACTTTATTTCAGATCAGCGAGATTGTCTGTAACAGTGACGTCACGTAATTGCCGTCTGCCGCTATAACTGTCAAATCGTCAACACTGGTTGTTTATTTCGAATTTATAATATTATTGGATAGGTCTAGTAGTTATTATATCATTGATTTGACAAAGAATAATTTATTAATACAACTCTTGAGATGATGGTGAAATATACTATGAATTTGTAGGCTGTTGTAATTTTCAAATTAATATAACGTAGGCCTATTTTGAGAGAGTTCTATGTGTAAGCGTAAGCTAGATAACCTCTCCACTTGTGCAGTCTGCAGGGCAGTCATAGGAAACTCCATCCACTTTCGTACTTAGAAACTTTAAAAGATGTGACGCTTGATTTCTGTTATAATTTATATTTTATAAGGTTATACTAGTCTTATTCTGAGCATGTAAAATGTACTGATATGTGTTAGTAGTTATTATAATTAAATAATAACGAGGAGCATGCCCATATGCCCGCGGCCAGGAGCGCGCTCGAGTTTTTGTGCAAACCTCGCACTGTCAAGTTGATAATTTTGAAAATATATATGTGGATTTTAAATTTTTATGGAGCTGTACGATAGTATTGAACTTGTATATGGATGTATAGGCCAGGGTCAAGATTTTTAAAACTACTGGCTCTAAATTGACCCTCATGTTAGTTATTCTTATAGGGGCAAAGTGCCCCAAGTGACTTATCTTTTTCTTATTGTATCTACTTACTTGCAATCAGCAAAACGCTTTTGAGTGTGGCCTTAGTGTACTTGTTAATGCTAAGTTTATTTATGAGGGGTTTTATAGGTTTGTTTTGAGTCCCTGTCATTTTCAGTTGGTTTCTTGAATGGTACAATTGTTTTACTGGGGAAGGTGCTGTTGTTAGGTGATGGCAGCCAATGTGAACTCCTTTCAAGGGAAGGAAAAAAATGCCGAGTGTGGCATTAGAGGTGGCTATGGTGGTACTCCTTCACATATTGATATCATTTCTGTAACAAATGTTCTAGCTGTGATGCAGACAATGTTAGTATAAGTGGGTCACCTAACAAAAGGGTTGAATCAAGGTAAAATTTCTTCTTCTGATTATAACTGGAATGTCCCTGGGTGTTATGCATAACAAGCGGGGAAGCAAGAGTAAGAATAAATCAATGAAGAGTCAAATGTATCAGAAGGCTCAGATTGACTGTAAAAATAAATTTAGTGCTCTACAAGATTTAGATGAGCCAATGGGTACTTATGTATTGGACTCGGTAAAAAATGTTTCTGGGGTATGGAGTGTTAGAAATAATACTAGCTTAAAGAAAATAATGTAGAAAGTAAAGTACAAGTTTTGGCGAAAAACAAATATCATCCTAATCTTACAACTTCTGATGTCCATGTATCAAGAGACAGTGCTTTTGGTCAGCGTGTGGGTAATGGTAATAAAGCCCTAGTAGCACAAATATATATTAAATGAGTGAAAATTTAAAAACGTACGTTTTCAGGAAACACACTTTGCAAATTTTTTTCCCCTTTTTTCAAAACTTTTATTATTTTTTTGATTTCATTAACATTTGAAGTTTCATAAAATGTCCATGGTAACGCAATATCTTTGGTAGTTTTTTTTTTAAAGAGCATCTTTAGTGGAAAAACACAAAATCCTGTCACGACCATAACAGACGTTTAAATGAATATTAAAAATAGTTAATATTATTTTTATAACTATGTTTTGCTATAAACTAATTTACTTTTATGACCATTAAACATTAAAAAGGTCACTGAGCTTTTAGTATATTTGGTCTTTCTAGAAAAAAATAAAAAACTCAAAAAAATTGAAAAAAAGCCAATAATATCTTTTTAAGTTTGTATAACTCTGAAAAAACTTACCTGAGACCCGAAAAATCGTTATGTTTGCATAGAGGCGTGCTTCTTTTGTGTATAAAACATTGAAATATGACAATATTTTAATTTTTGGAATTTTTATGACAGAAATCATAAACGTGATGGTCAGGGACAAGCGGTACGGTCGTGAATTTTATAAAAAAATCTAAATCTTTCCAAACAATCCTTTAATTATACTGTTAGTTATAATAAAAATATGTGTTTCAATTGAACTAAACTGTTCAAATTACAATTATATTAAAGTTATTGTCACGACCAAACACACTATAATCCATAAGGCTGGATAGGTTGTGAAAAAACCCGCGATGGTCGTGAAACTTTGGTCGTGAAATTACGTGTTATTTGGCTCTGTTCTGGCGGTAGCTCTGCACCTCATGTTCGAGGATACAAAGTGGACTTCTAGGTTAATCTAGCAATTGAAATATCTTATAAACAAAAATTAACACCATGTCTACTTCATCCAATGACTATGTACGGTCATGGACACACCAAAATTACAAAAAACACAACCTTTCCTGTATTAATCTTGTAATTCCTCCTTTCAACTCGAAACGACCGGCACTACAATCCTGACGTACACCCCGAACTAGTCTCTAAAACCAACTGACTCCATCAACGCCAGGCTTGCCACTGTCGTGCTCCAAAGTTGAAAAATTTTCCCAAATGGTCGTGACGCCAAATCGAGGGACAGACTTATTATGTCATGGTAGTCAGTTTGCAATGACAATAAAATTATAATATGCTCCTTTTTTGTAAGTTTAATAACCATTGATGACATAAAAATATGGCTTTATATATTTCGGCATGAATAATTAGTCTAAAAACAGCGTGAAAGTTGGAAAATGTACCCTAGGGACAGGTCATGGTCGTGAATTTCGAGACTTTAAAAATACGAAAAAAATACCTAGAACCTATTTAAAACCAAATAAATGTGTGTAACATGTTGCCCCCGTCCCAAAAAATATTAAAACACATAATAATAAACTACAAATCCAGTAGCTACGAAGTAAAAGGCCAGGGACATGAAAACGTACGTTTTTAAATTTTCACTCAAATACATATCAATAAATATATTTAAAATCTATTTTATATATCTCAAGTGTGTATTAATGTCAATTTTATATAATATTTAAAATATATTATATATATAAAATATGTTTTTGAATCTATTAAATATTAAAAAAATATGTTCCAATAATATATTTTAGTGAATAATATTTAAATAAAAAATGTATTTAATATCTCTTCCAAACATCCAATGAGGCCTAAACATAAAAACATAAAATAATGAAGATTTAGTATGAAAAACACAATTATCAGTTGAGTAAATTGATGAAATAGTTCATAAAAACAAATTTTGAAAAAATTACTGGATAAAATTTTTTGGCCCGGGTGGGTCTCGAACCTGGGTCCTTCGACTTGTGAGCCTCTTACCTTACCTCTGAGCTACTTGTGACTGTTGCTAACAATTGTTTTCAAATGGTGAAAGAGCGGCCGTCAGTTGCAATGGTTGCAATACTTGAAAATTTTTTGATACTACAGTATATTATGATTCTGTTAATCTGTTTTTCCGTAATTCGTTTCTTAAACGGTCACCAGTCGCTAGCACCCTTTTCTAGCCAATCATTAGATATTTCTATGATCACATTCATTGTCACATATTGCAATTTAAAAAATAAAACCCATCAACACTTTTTTTTCGTTTGACCCAAATGTAGCTGCCGAACATGTATACTGCCTCTTAACCATATGCGTAATTTTTTCTTTACGTGCATGATGAGTGACACCATTCAGAGTACGTATTATTATTAACTTAATTTTAACGCTTTCATAATAGCAATTATCATATAAAAAATGCATGTATAAATTGATAGACACTATAAAAAAACAAAAAGATGCAAATTATTTATTTGCTAATTATAAAAGATTATATGCTATAGCCTATATTCTACAAATATATTATCATTTTATTAATAAAAATAAATGACGTTTTTCAAAATATATTTATAAATACTTTAAATATATAATATAGTTTCAAAAATATTTTATATATATATTTAAAATATTCTCAACACATATTTTTTTTAAATATTTAATAGGAAAAATATACATATAAAATATTTATATTATAGATTCTATACTTATTTGATCAATATATATTATGAATCTATTTTATACCTTTCAAAACTTATATTTAATTTATATTTTGCATTGCTTTTTGGTAATATTTTAAATGTATATTTGAATATATCAAACTGTTATTAAAGATATATTATTTATATATTTTATTCGAGGTTTATCAAATACAACTTTAAATATATAAAATATTTATAAAATACATATTTGTGCTACTAGGGAGGGAGTTTCGCTGGCAAACACGTTGGTAATTGGGGACTCACTTTTGAGATTTTCAGGGGTAAAATTAGCTGACGAAGGGGCTTTGATTGACGTAAATCCAGGGTCAAAAATTAGACCCATAAAAGACCCACTTTATGGGACTTTTATTAAAGACCCATAAAAGAGAAACTCGTGAATTATGTTACTTGTCAACCGAAATGCATTTATTTTCATGTTCGTACAAATAACCTGATGTATGGCTACAACGGTGGTCCAGGTTATAATGGTGGCTCGGGCAAGCGTGAGGCCTTGCATGAAATGGCAGATCTCTTAAGTACAATCAGCTAGGCAGAATTTCCCACTATCAAAACTTATTGTAAGAAGTGTCCTGTGTCGTAGAGACATAGACAACTCATCACTTGCTTATTTCAATGATCGGCTTTACCTCATGTGTAACAACTTTGGAGTAGTCTTTGCTGATGGAAACAAAACAATTCTCAGATACCATCTGTCTCGGGGTGGGAGGCATTTAAATAGATTGGGTGTAAGAATAATGTGAAATTTAATATTTAATTGGGTTTCAAAGGATAGGCTTAGGGAAGTAGGATGTGAAGTAATTGATGCAGAAATAAAGGCGTCAAGCCAACTCAATGTAAGTCTGGTGAACCCCAGCAATCATGTGTAAACACTGGGTCAGTGTCTCAGGGGTAGTCTGTTTTGGGAAACGGGGAAAAAGTCCCGTTGATGGCTTCAGGATAGGACATGTAAATATAAGATCCCTAAATACAGGTTTTCCTGAGTTCAGTTCTGTTTTCAGGATTTTGACTTTGACATGCTTGGGGTGCCGGAGACTTGGCTTAACCCAGAAGTTTACTCAGACTGTTTTAGATTACCGAGATATACATTTCTGAGGAGTGATGGGAGGTCTGACTCCTCTGTATCTGGCCAAGGAGGAAGTGTTGCAGTCTATGTGAGATCTGATGTTGACAATCGTATGGACTATATGCATGAAAGTTTATATTGGCAACAAAAACTGTGTGTTTGCTTTATATATAGATGCGCCATATAGTTACCTGAAATCTGTTTTATACTCAATTTTTATTGACACTCTCCCAATAGTGGACTCTATAATATTATTAGGGGACTTGAACATAAATCTATTCGGAGAAAAAAGAGTGATGGCAGGTTCTTAAGTAATCTTTTGGAATCCCTGAGCTTATCGCAGTTAGTAATGGAGCCAAGTAGAGTCACAGAAATGTCATCGTCACTTTATTGACCATATCATCACTGAAAATAGTAAGGATACAAACATTAAGGTGGGATTGATTGACACTTCCCTAATTTTAACTAGCTTTGGTAAAAACTAACTGACCACTAACTGGTTTATTGTGACTTTCCGTGTAGCAGACAAAAACGGAATGCAGAATATATTTCATATCGAGACTTCACAAAGTTTGACATGCCTCACTTTATTTCATTAGCTTCAAAAACCAACTGGGTAGCGATAGCCAAGATTGATGGTTTAGAGGAAATCTGTAGCAAACTTACATCCTCAATACTGTAATTCAGATTTATGATGACTGTGCGCCCGTAGTTAGAAAAAAGTCACAAAACGGAAAGCTGCGTGGAGGAATTACGAAACAAAATTTCTTACAAAAATAAAAGATAAATAAAAGAAGGAGCATTTACATGCCAATTCCCCTGAGTCTAGGCAGCAGTACTGTGGGGCTAGAAACAGGTTGAATGGTGCCATCAGGTGAGCAAAGCAGAACCATTTCAGTAATAGTCATTTTTTATAAATTTATTTTGTATACAGGGTGATCAACTCAAGGAGGCCACCATTTTCTTGGGATATCGGAAACGGTAAGAATTAGAGAAAACTTAAATGGAGGACATTCCTTTATTTTTTGTGGCAGTTAAAAAAAATCATTTTAGTTTTTCGAACTTCAGCCGCCATTTTCCAAAATGGTGGCCAACTTTGGAATATCTTATGGAACACCCTGAAATTTCTTATGGAAATTTATATTTCATCATGTTTTCGGATGGAACACGCAATTTAAATTTTGACATTTTTCGATAAACCCACTCGTTTAGGAGTTACAGCCTATGGAAAAATGACTTCCGGTGTACATCTTACATCATGTATTTCGAATTTGAATTTCGAAAAACTAAAATCATATTTTTAACTGCCACAAAAAAAAGGAATGTCCCCCATTTAAAGTTTCGTCTAATTCCTACCGTTTCCGATATCTCGATGGTGGCCTCCTTGAGTTGATCACCCTGTATATATAAAGGTTTAAAGGTGTAAGGTGAGATAAACTTGAATGAGTTTGCGAAACAGCATGATCGGACCATAGGAACGGGGTTTTACGGGGGCTTTTCTGGGGTAAAAATTGTTTTTCTCATTTTTGACCCTCAAAACACCAAATTTCCCGATTTCTCTCCAAACATTTTTAAACAACTCTAAAAACAAATAATTTAGTATATCAAAATGTTTTTGTACAATTATTGGTAACCGTGAAAATTAAAAAAATAATTGTAAATTAAAAATTCCCATATTATTCTTACAGAGAATATTGTAAAATGTTGTTGTTTGCTTGTTTATGGGTAGATTTTTATCAAACTTGGCAAATTTATTTATTGTATACTAAGCTATTACTATTTTACTAAAAATCAACTATAATAGTTTCTTTTGTAGCAGCCATCCCAGGTACTCGTTAAACCTAATGTTATTTAAATAGATTCAACTAGAGCCGACCCGTGGTTGAAAACTCGACCAAAAAGTATGTATTGTGCAAACTTCTCTATTTTCATCCCACGCTGTAAATGAAACATGTGATTGGAATTTCTTCAATTGTTTTGATTTTCTGTTTACATATATATTATAGTTTATTTCGTCATCAACATGGCAACCCAAGGCTCGTGTTAATTTTAAACAAATTTGAAATTAATTTTTCGTGCTTTTTGAATCTATTTGAATTTATAAAGGGATTCTGCACATCTATAGGAAAACATATTTCATTTGGTACCAACCGCGTGTAATTTGGTCCAGTAGTATGGCCAAGCTAGCTGTCGTAAGTTGGGTTTTTTAATAAGATTGAAAATCAATTTAGACAAACGGAAATTCACTTAGTCGGCAGGTTTGCTGCTGCGGGGGTATCATTTTTGATTAAAGTTATAACATTTTAAATGTATAAAACACTGACGAAGTGTTTTAAGGTAGAGTTTTTATGTAATCATTATTATACCTTTGGGCCACAGCACCTATATCTATATAAAAAAAAACATGAATGAAAAACCATTTTAATAGTAATTTTTAAATATATAGTTAAAATATTCTTAAAATATATAAGGAAGAAATATAATTAGGAATGAAAATATTTTATATAATATGATATTCTATGTTGTACTTTTTATTGATACTCTTTTCACGTAAGGTGTGGTCTTTATTGGCTAAACCAGAGCGTGGCTTTGGCTTTCAGGCTGTTTTGTTCATCACATTATTTATATAGTAGTGGCCATCTTCATTTAATGTTGGATGTGAAGAACCCAAGTTTTAGCTGAATTCTTTTGGTTTGTGTTCGTTATATCAGTTTTAGAGTTAAGGTGTATAGTTTTTAAGATTTCATATTTTATAATGTACAGTCAGTTAAAGGTCACCTCCGCTAAGTTTAAGTATTTCGCCCTTCTTTTGGTGTAATTTGGCTTTGGTTGATTGCAAAGTCAACGCACTCCCTTTTTTGTTGGCCAAGTGTTAATTTAGTATATACGTCCTATTTATTGTCATTAAAACTATACCTAAACTGTTTAGGTATTATCTTGATGAAGGATTAGTCATAGGCTACGTAAATTGGAGGTAAGATCATAAACTGTAATGATATTTAGGGGAGTGAAAATCTTATTAGGCCTAGGCTATTAGGCTAAGATCCTATTCCTTAAAGATAGACAAACATGGGCCATATAAAATAGCTCTCCAGCATATAACTGTTAAATTCCAGAATTTGAACTGCAATTTAAGTTTGAATGACTAACTTATTGTATATGTCGGAATAAGGTAGCCTAGGCCTATCGGTACTGCACATTTACCTGAATTTCTGTGGTCCGGCCAAATTATTTAGGTTTTGCTAATTTGAGGTCTAGGTAACTATGAATGATTCCCCTGAATCTGACTTGTCTTTTTTAATGTAATGTAATAACTCCGTTTTTCAAGGCTTAGGCCTTTACCTTTACCTACCTTTATACCTTTATACCTTTATACCATGTATCCATCGATGACCAGTAGTGACTGGATAGATTTCGTCAAAGAAAAAACATTTTAAACATTTTAGTTTTAGTACTTTTTAATTTATGTGGTTAACATGGCTGTAGATTACGAGGCCCATTCACCATTTTCCTCTGTGAAATATTCCTTCATGGAGTACAGGGGCCGCGCCTTGAGTAGTTCCTCCACTCTCTTTTTAAAACTCTTAAGAGGGAGTGACTTTATGTCTTGGTGCAGGTGGTTATAGAGTCTGATGCCAAGGACCGGATAACAGTCTTTTTGTTTACTGAGCCTGCAGAAAGGAACGTTTAGGTCTTCTCCTTTTCTCGTATTGTAACGATGTAGCTGGTTTCTGCAGCTGAGGTTATCTATATTTTCCTTGATCTGCACCAGACAGCTATAGATGAATTGGCTGTATATAGTCATTACTCCTAAGGCTCGGAAAAGTGGCCTACAGTGTTCATGTCTTTCGCTGGATGTTATGGCTCTTATGGCAGCCTTTTGAACTATCAGAATGTTCTTGGTCTCTGAAGCGTGTCCCCAGACAATGACACCATAGCTCATCAAGCTGTGGAAGAGGCCATAATAGGCCAGCTTTAAATATGTATCTGTGACCAGATTTTTTAATTTTCTTAAGAGGAAAACAGTTCTGTAAAGCCTGCTTTCCAACTCATTTATATGTTTGTCCCATGTCAACCTACTATCCAGCCAAAAACCTAGTAGTTTGACAGGTTGTTGTTGGAGAGTTTGGGGTTTTAAACTGCATATAAGTTCTTGGGTTTTATCATTGTTTATTTTGAGTTTGTTTGATGAAAACCAGGCTTTTGCCTCGTCCAGAATTTCAGCTGCTTTGAGTTTTAGTTGGTCCAATTGACTATTGCTCGTGATGAGGGTGGTGTCATCCGCAAAGAACAGGGTTCTCCCGTCAGTCCCCAGGTCGTTGATAAAAATCAGGAAGAGAACAGGCCCCAGGATAGAACCCTGGGGGACCCCTAAGCTGACATTCAGGTCACTGGAGAGAGCTCCCCTTATAGATACCACTTGCTTTCTGTCTCTCAAATAGTCATGAAAAGTTTTTAATGCAACATTCTTTATCCCGTATCTTTCCATTTTCCTCAGCAGGACGTCGTGTGAGATACAGTCGAACGCCTTGCTGAGGTCACATAGGGTTAGGTTTGTCAGGTATTTATTGTCAAAAGCATCATTTATTTTTGATGTTAGATTTAGCAACGCAGTGGTTGTGGATCTGCCCTTTCGAAACCCATGTTGGTCATTTGTGAAAAGATTCGAGCCTTCAAAAAACTCAACCAGTTGGTCCTTGACTATGCATTCCATAATCTTAGCGTACATTGGTATCAGGGAGATAGGCCTATAATTAGATAGTTCTTCCGGGTCACCTTTCTTAAATACGGGGACTGTACGGCTTATTTTTAGAAAACTTGGAAAAGATCCCTCTCTAAGACACATATTGATCACTGTAGCTAGAGGTTTGGACATACAGTGGATGGTAATCTTTAGAATATTCACATTTATTCCATATATGTCAGGGCTGTTCGAGTTTGAGAAATTCTTAACAATAGACTCAATTTGACTTGGGGTTACGAGTTTCCAGTTTTCTAATCTGTTCATGGGGTTTAGAGGGATATTGTCAGCTGGATCAACATTGCAATTGGTGAAATGTGAAGCGATGTCAGTAACACTGTTAATGAAAAAGGTATTGAATGTATCTGGGCTATTGTTGTTTTTGCAAATTGTATTGATCTTTCTGCTTGAGTTTATAAGGTCCCAAGCCGCTTTGTTCGGGTTGTGGGAATTTGTGATATAGTTTGAGTTTGATTCCTTTTTGGCTTTAGTTACTTTACTCCTGTAGTCTTTTTTGGCACATAGATAGAGATGATAATAGCGCTCCTTAACAGTATGATTTGTTGCAGATTTACAAATGTCATTTAGGAATAAAACTCTATTTCTCAGATTGGCCAGGTCAGATGTGTACCAGCTTTTGTTAACTCTAGTCTTGGGAATTTTCTTTGAATTATGGTTCGGGGGCTTTTTTGGCACTACAGGGAAGACCTTGTCAAACACATCCTTAAAAGCTAAGAAAACACCTTCAAATGCATTAGTTGGTAACTTATCGCTAATAATTCTATCCCAATCTATGTTAGATAATTCCTCATTGAGGATATCAAAGTTGGATTCGTCAATAGGCCTCTTATAGAAACTATAATGATTATACCACAGTGGATGAGATGTATGATTGTCACTTACCAATGGAGTCTTCATTTTCATGATAATGGCATTATGATCGGATATTAAAGGATCTACGATGTTTACCTCGAATTCAGATGGCAGCAAATCGGTCACAATGGTGTCCAGGCAGTTTTCTCCACGTGTAGGTTTTCTGTTCGCTACGAAAAGACCATAAGAAAGCATTAGATTTATAAAATTTAATGTGGTTTGACAGTTTTCATTCAGATGGAGGTTGAAATCACCTGTGAGCAGTATTTTCTTGGTTTGTTTAGAAAGATATGCCAAGCAGCTATCCAGTTGAGTGAAGAAAGTCTCCACTGAGCCGCTAGGTGACCTGTAGGCAGCTACCACAATCCAGTTTAATTTAATCAGATTGATTCCTGTTAATTCGATGTCTAATTCTTTACAGTAACTATTGAGATCCAAGGCCTTAGCTTCGAATAAGGTATTTGAACTATTTACATAAATGGCTACACCTCCGTGGATGTGCTTCTCTCTCGACCAGGAGCCTATTAAATTAAGATACTCTATTTTGGCATAGTGTACTATTTCATTTTTATCCAACCAGTGTTCACATAAACAAACAATGTCAGGCAGTGAGTTATCTATAAAACAGCTTAGCTGATTTAACTTAGTTCTTAGGCATTGTACATTCAGACTTAGCATAGAAATGTTCATAGAGCTATCATTTGTTGATTGAGGTACAGTAGGCCTATTTATTATGTTTATATCTAACGGAGAGTTGTTTAGGCTTAGGCTTACCTGGTCCGAGGTTAGGTTAGGTGTTAGTTTGGGTTTTGGTTTTTCTCCCTCCAGAATAAAAAACGCTTAATTACAACGTTTTTAGGCCAGAAAGATCCGTTCATCATGTCATCCTTGAGTTGGAAGTCCGTCCCCACTTTAAAGCTTGCGTTTAACCCTTTGGTTTGTAATTTTTCAACAATGAAGTTCTTGTTGTTTGGAAAAGTCTTCATAAGATAATCCTTTATATTGTCTTCAGTAGTTTCAGATTTAAGTCGACTAAGGTGAAACCACGCTCTTTTTACTCCAACTAGGTCATCACCGCCGGAGCCGATCGTAACAAGCGGTTTTCTAGATGAAGGCCTAGATTGAGAAACTCTTCTTTGTTGGCTTGTGAAGGTATTTTCTTTCGATAGTACGTTTCTCGAAGAATTTTTCTTGTTTCTTTTTGATAAAACTTCACTGTACAGTAGATTTCCTTCAGAAGATTTCAGTTTTGATGTTTCGTCAAGTATAACATCCGATGTTAGGGTTAAGTCACAACTTTGTGAGCTTAGAAGACTAGTAGCAGAAGGGATTGATGATTTGTTGGTTCTCTTCTTCTTCCTCGTGCCTAGTGATTCTTCTACTTGAGCGATGTCGTCTGCTGATTTTTCCTTGGCTTTGTCCATGTCATGGCCGTTTGACTTCGTCATATCATTCTCTATGGTCATGTTCTTAGGGTTTACACCCGCGTCCGTTTCTCCGTCTGGAGTGGATTCAATTTCTGTGGTCAGATTGCAGTTGCCGTCGTATTGGACGTTGTCGTCTGCTCGAGAAATATTTTGATTTAGAACTTCCGGTAGCGTTGTCAAAATTGAGGTTAGGCGAGATTCCATTTTAATGTTATGTTGAGATAATGATTCCATTTTTGTAATTAATTGGATATGGTCTTGGTTAAGGTCCTTTACTATTTTCAATAGTTTACCTACTGTTTCATGGAGAGTCATGCAATCGTCGGTGCTACATACGTATGTCCTCATGGTTTCCATTCGTCTAAGGCACTTTTCACAAGTCCACTGAATAAATTCATGTAGCCTGTTTATGTCACTAAAAACACTTTTTGATACTTTCACACATTTTATATGGAACCACCTCCTGCAGAATCCGTCACAAAATAATCCATCTTGGTCTTCTTTCACTGTTATATTGCACACAGCACAGTCAGAGTTCTCGTCGTCTACCGCCATGTTAACCGGAAGGTTAACCTACCTACCTTTACCTAGGTCCTCTTCCTCATAATCATTGCAACCAGGGAATCGTCATTCTGCTATCAAGGCCTACTTACTTAAATAGTTAATATAATTTACTTGGTAATGATTAAACTCAGTTGAAATTAGGTCATTTAAACATCTATTTACTCTGCAGACCCGAGTGTTGTGACAGGGTGGTGTGGTGTAGGCTGTCTTTGTTACATAGCCTACCTGCCGTGTATATAACATGACTAGCCCATTAAATGCATGTACAAATTGTGAAATGTTTACATTGAAACGTGTTTGTTGTTCAGGTTATTTTTTTGGATGCCCGATTCACCTAAAACATTCAAAAAACACTTTAAAACAGTTCCT